CGAGGACAAAGTCTCCGACGTCCAGGTCGTTGTGCGTCTGGTGGAAGCGCAGCGTGCTGGCTTTGATGCCGACGTAGAGCGCGTTGTTGTCCGTCCAGGCGCTCCGCATCGAAGCCCTTATCCGTGCCCGAGCTGAAGAAGTGGTCGAGAGGTTTGCCGTCCCCCAGAACGCGCCCTTGATCGAGGGGTTATACCAGAACATGGACCACGGCTCAGCGGCGTCCGCCATATCCGCGTTGAAACAGCGCATACTGCGGCTCGTTGTAGTGATCCGCGTACAGAACATCGAGTTTGGCGTGGTGGAGAACTTGTTGGCCCGTGGTTCGCCGTAGTTTGAAGAGACGTCGCTCCGTGACGTACTTGAAATCGCCCGTCTTCCTGTAGAAAGTCGGTGTTGGTATCCAGCAGGCCATAGTCAGATCCAGTAGCGCTGATGAGAGACGAGGCCATCTCGGCGTGAGCTGTCGATGGATCAACAATGTGCGAATCAGCAACAAACGAACGCACCCGTAGTACCGAAGTACCAGTAGTTTGCGGTCTCGGCCCAGGTCCCATCTGGCGAAACGGCCTTGGCAACATTTCCCACTGCATTCGGGACGGTCTTGGCCAGCAGTTGTTCTGGAACACCGGCTGCCATCGTCTCCGAGATAGCCAACGACGCAAGGGTCAGGCCGCCATTGCCCACGCAGTTTCCAGTGCCGGTGATGTTGTTGGCCCACCAGCCAGAGCCGGTCGTGAACTGTGACAGACCAGCTGGAGCCCGTACTTTAGGAGCGTGAAGATCATCTTGTTTTTTCTGGTCCTGCGACCACATTTCGTACAGCCAGTCGTAGGCGATGGCGTACGCCGCGGACATCTCAGCGTGTCGAGGAAGTGCGCAGCGTTCCATTTGTCGGTGTCTGGCCGAAAGGAGTCGTGCCGTTCCAGCTGCGTTCTAAAACCAGTCAAGATCGAAACATCATATACCATTGGAGAGGACTGCCCACACCTGAATCTCCTCCCACGTCCTGTCCCCCCACGCAGTATCATCGTCATGCGGTAGCATACGCGAACGCCTTGATGCTTCCTTGACGGAGCGCGAGTTGTCTAAATGCCACTGGAGCCGTCCATGAAGTACACAACGGGCGGCGCCGCCCTCCACTGTGTCGCGTTCCCGAAGATCGTGGCGTTTCCAGCCCTTGAGATACGGGTCGTTCGCGATGATTCGGGGAGGGCGGCCCATCTGTACTCGGGGCGATGAGGGCGCGGTCGGTCAGCCGCACAGTCGTCCACGTCCGCGAGCTCGGGGAGAAGGGGTCCTTCGGCCACGAGTTGGTCGAGCTTGTGGACGGGACGAACGTCGGAGAGCTGAAGGCGGAGCTGTCGGTCGTGGAGGGGTAGATCGGCATCCTGAACTCGCTGTTCGTGGCCGTGGCGAAGCGACCCAGGGCGAGCTTGGCGCTGACGGCAGAGGAGGCGGATGCATGCGCGGACGCGGCTGAAGCCGGTGGCTTGGCTTCCTGACCCTGAGCGGAGGATGAGGAGATGAAGAGATGAATGGTGGCGCGAGCCGACGACGCCTCGACTACGGCAGCGACGATGACGACGACTGCGACTGGTATGCCGCCTAGCATTAAGTTTGAGAGAAAGGTTTAGGGGGGAGAAGAATGAATCCCTTGACCCAGTTGCTTATTCCCTTCTTTGCTGGAGACGAATGTATCCCGATCCATTATGCGCCGTCGGAGTACATGGGCTGTTGCTGCCCTTGGATGCTCTGATACTGCGTGGCCCATGCGCGGGGCAGAAGTAGCAGAACGAGGGGGAGGATAAGATGAGGAGGAGATCGAGGGTATGTATAATTTTAACTGAAAACGGCTTCTTTTTCCCCGCCACAACGCCTTGACCATGCCTAAGACACCATGACATAAGCTGACGTTGCCTTGGCCCTTGGCGGGCTGCTCAAACGATCTGTCCGAGTCGTCCGACATTCCCGTCGATGAGGTGCAGAGTGAGGCAGTCTCCTCGATCTCGTTGCACTCCGGATATGCAACGTCCCAGAACTCAGTAAGCGGGGCGATGATCTCGTCCTCACGTTGCCGATACTCTCTAATTCCGTCAAATGGCCGTGCTTCTTAGTCCTTACTGACCTCTTGAATCCTTCAACTGTGACGACTTGAAGATTCTCGATGTCGCTGCAAGCTCTCAATGCTACCTTTCCTGGCAATTTGCTCGATGGATGATCGGCTGCTGCTCACTATACCTTGCAATTCTCCATCCGCTGTTTCTTCCTCCTACACGCGAAGCTCCCACTGCTGCAATCCCTGACGATCTTATCTTCGCACACTCGATGAGATCCTCTCCTCAAGGCGTTACCTTGTGGCTCTGCGTCCTTCTCTTCGTCTACTTTGACGGACACTGGCTCTTAGCGCTCACGCCCACTCTGCAGACTGCGGCAACATCGCGAGAGGGCTATATTGCGGTTCCTCGAATTCCCCCAGCGTGCGATCTCTCATTAGCTTACTAGTCGACAGAAGCTGTCAGGCCGCATGTCGTGGCACACCCCACCCCTGGTTATATGCAGCATGATTTGGCAGGTAAGCTCAGACTGTTACACGATACATCTACAACGGGCAAAACCTCTATTTTCTGGATCAGCGACGAGTGTATGAGTCGAGCTGTATCATACCGTGCAGCACAGAACGTCAGTGGCTGATGTGTGCGGGCCACATCGACGGTGCCGGTGGAACACGCAGACCCAGCGGGGACAGAGACCTGGGAAGTGCTCTCAACTAGGAGTCCGTATGCAGTCAAGCACCAAGGGATTACGCACACAGCCAGCCTGAGCGGCAGCGGAAGCCACGAGGGCGGCGACGACGGCGAGTACTTTGAATTGCTCTGGGTGAAGGCGATGGGATGTATGTTTTTTCGAGACTGTACACCCTATTTTATATTATACCCACTCGTTGCCGACAATGACAGAAATCTTGGGCGCGATTAGATACGTACTTTCATCGCAAAAAATACATCGTACGCCCTTGATCGAGGGTTAATAATACCCTAGGCTGGGGGTCAATTTCTTTGTACCCGCTACTTCTGCGCCGACAAAAGTGGACGGCGTTTTGAAACAGTTTGGGGCTGATACTCGGGCTCGATATTACGGTAATCCTGTAGGCGCGGGTCATCATACTCAGCCGAAACTCTGACAGACGGCGGGAGCGGCGCCAGTACGTTACGGTGCTGTAATCAATTCAAAAGCGGCACATCCGATAGTTCGAGGTAGATAAAAATACATGGGCGAACAGAGAGCATGGGCAAGCGAGCGATACCGGATGGCGGTTCCTACCTAGTACTTAGTTCACTTGTTTCTTTCCCGAAGCTGATTTGACAGCGACGTTGTGCGCTAGGGTGAGCTGCCCGGCGATGTCCTTGCCCAGGCGCCACACGATAACGCGAGGGGACGACGATCCACAACCTGACGCAAAGCTCGGGCACCGGGGCGCGCTGCGAATGGGGCCGAGAAGACTCACCCGTTGGGGATGATCCAGAGCAGGATCAGGTCGTTGATGGAGTTTGTGCCCAACGGCGCAGTAGTTGCAATAGTACTCCTGGGCCCAGTAGAGCACGGTCTTCGAGAGCGTCATGGTCGCGGCAGCGAAGCCGATCATGGGGGCTGGCGGCCACCGGCGACGTGCGCGGTGTAGAGGTAAACCACATTCATGATGGTTTCGACCACGTTAGAAGTGCTGTGGAGACGTTGGAAGTGTGCAACGCGAGCGCGTGGTGCTGACTCACTTTGGCATTGGTGAACCCATCCCCCGCGTTCCAGGGCAGCCCACGACGCGTAGACCTACGAGATGTTGAGTGGGAGTTGCCGAGCGACGCACGCGACTCGAGTCTTACTAGGTCGACCTGCTCGAAGTGAGGGTTGAAGCTCGGGTAGAAGAGGACAGCTCACGTTTTGATACGCGCATAAGGCTTCCAAATCCAGTGCAAAATCACCTCCCTATTGACGTTGAAGCAGGGTTTCCATATCAGCTAGTAGATGACGCGTACGATCATCGACCGGGGCCTATGCTGGAAGGTTAGCGTCGAATAGGATGCGTTTTGACGCGTGCCTCATGAAACAGTAACCTATGTCCCACGCGACAACCTGCAGAGACACGCATGAATGAACGTTCCGGACACTACGCAGCACTAGCGCGTACAGGAGCGGTGACGAGAAACCAGAGGGACACCCAGCTGTGGGTCTTGACTGCCATGGGAGTGCGGAGGGAAGGGGGTCGACCCTTTCGTTACGGATGTCATGTGGAGACGCCTGTTGCGAGAAGGATGATGATGATGTGATGGAGGTCCGATCACTGGCAAGTCACCCGCTGCCAACGCATCTTCCACCGACGCGACTCGCGTCCGTCGACTTCGAACGTCGCACCTTCTTGCTTCCGAATGCGCGCGGACTCGGACTTGGATTCGGTGCTTCGCACCTGTTCCGATCGACCTGGAGCATCATTAACGTGCCTTTCGAACCCGCAGCTCTTGCGTTGCGTGGGGCGCGGCCTGGTTTCTCGATGCGTGCGAGGTAGTCTGCTGAGAGGATGGGCAAGCCGCTGCGCATAGCCATACTGAGTCGAGGAGGAGGAAGGAGTTTGAGAGCGAAGCTTTTCGAGCACCTTAGAGGCACACCCCCTTGGCAAGGACGCATGAGGCTTGCACGCGTGGCCAGGGCATACCGTTCCCTTTGTCTGTGTCCCCTTGTCTCAATCTCAACAAAGACACAGACATGGGAACGGTTGACCGCAGGCCTCGGCGCGGGGGAGCCCGGGGCGCTGATTACACCGACATCATACGCTATATGCATGTCATCGGGGAGTCGGAGGGACCGAGGCTGCACACTTTGAACAGCGGCGTCAGAAGAAGGCTGCCATGCGATAGTTTGTGTGCATGCAGCCTAGCCGAGTTTTCGGGCGCTAGCCAAGCACACAACGTAGCCGACATGTACAGTAGTTGCTTTCGATGTTTTCCGCCGCACGGTTGGTGACGCTTACTGTTGTTAGAGCCGGTGTGCGTCTGGTGCTGGCGATGTACAACCAATGCTGCTTCTGCTACTGTATGTGTGCAGAGGTGCTCGAGATATGTACTGTTCCCACAAGTTACAACGCAAAACCTCAAGTCCAGGAAGATCATCTCGCTTATAACGGTGGCGCAGGGGTATAATCTCGGCATTGGGCCAAGGTGGCTATGGACACATTTTCGACTGCAGCTTTCGGTGAGCGCTTGAAGGGGAGTAAAGCATCGGATTTGTTGAGCTTTTTTAGACCAATAGCACTCAAACGAGGCAGTATACAGACCGAGTTTCTTGAATATCTGCAAAGTTGAACACGAGTGGCTACCGCCGGTCCCAAAGTCGCCGGTTTGCAACCGATCCGCGTGCACGCTGATCATGCCACCCGACGAAGCCTGACGATCGTCTTTTGATGCTGATTTCTTGTCATCTCCGTCCAGAGTCCGCTTCAAGCCTTCAACTCCTAAATCCGATTCTGCAACTAGATTTCTTGGGGCGGCCTGGCTACGCTGTGAGGATATCCTCAGGCTCATGGAGAGTACAATCAGATCCCGTGCAAGGGGGGCCTTTTGCAAACACCCGGATGACCTGGTGGGGCGTGTCAATGGAGTATCGGAATCCTTATCTATGCGCGGTGGGGGAAGCGCTCAGATCTCGCTCAGTGCCGTTCCTGGAAAGCACGGCTCAAGTATTTAAGGTCTCGTCGGCAAACCACAGCAGGTGATCGCTCTTCTATCTGCGAACCCCCGGTCCCCATGCGCCTACCGTCCCTGCTCGTCGTCTTCGCCGCTGCCGGCTCCGTCCTTGCAGCGCCCAAGCAAGCTTCTGTCGGTTTTCTCTACCCTGTGACGGATTCTATGAGCTAAACAACGATGTGCCTGTAGCCGGATGGGGTGCTGGTGCGCTGAGCGGTCTCTTTTGGTGACATGTTCTCATTTCTGATCTCTAGGTCGACGATGCTCCTCCTTGGAAGCGAGCCACACCCACCGCCGCTGTATGTATGCTCTGTCGCAAGTCGGATCATGCCTGATGATGGTTGGCAGGACCCACCTCCTTGGAAGCGCGCTACCGATGTCGTAGGCGTCCGTCGTCTCTGTGGTATCCATCCGACGCAGCCAACTCACAGATCTCAGGATGCTCCTCCCTGGAAGCGTAGCCAAGCGACCGTGGCCGTAAGTGCTGCCGAGTGTGCCCCAGCTTATCTCTGAATCCAGACAGGACGCGCCCCCTTGGAAGCGTGTGCAGCCAACTGTGAGCTCCAGATGCACTCGATGTCTGATCCGCTGACGTTTTTTTCCCCCCAAGGATGCTTGAAGACTGGGACGGGTGAGTTTGTGGAGAGCCTCCGAAGCGGGCGTTTCTAATTGCAAGGCCAGCATGCACGATGACGCTCGAAGTCGCGTGTGCGAGGTGAAAGCAGTTCTTCGAGGGACGTACAAGCATTCACTCACCTTCCATGCAGCGTAGATTCCTTAGTTATAGCTATCTATACCGATGAACATCATGCGTCTCCTCCTGCAACTGTTTTTTGCAGCCGAAGGTCCTGAATGTGGCGACCACGACAGGCGAGTCTGATATGCTTTAAAAGCCAATCGGGAAGGCACCGCTCTTTTTCTGGGACGCCGCATATTCGCTTGGATGTCTATTTGAAGTCTATTTACACGGAGAACCACCAGAGATTCGAACGGGCTTCGCATGACGTTGACAGACGTCGAAGACACGTCTAATTGCACACATACCGGATTCAAATGCAGGCGCGTCCCCTTCAGCTGCTCCCTGCTTCCTCCTGCTTCCTGCCTTCCCTCCCTCCCTCTCCTTATGCACCCATGCCGGTGCAACACTTCAGTCAGTCCGCCTCGCGCACGCACGCAGCAGCGTCCTGAATGTCCCCATCCAGCGCTCGCCAAATTCAAACCAGAACTGACGGAGGATGAGCGCACCGACGCGTACCGCACCGTGTTCTCCCTGCTTGTCGCGGGCCTCGCCATCCCGGGCTTCAATGCGTTCAAGGTTGGCCCGCCGTTGAGCCCGCGCGGCGCGCGTGGATATGAATTCGGTCCGTGACCCGGTCGGGACCGGCGCCAGCCTTTCTGATCCATCGACAGCCATTACGGTCGAGTTCCAGGATTTGAAATCGTTCACGTATGTGCCGTCGCCGGTGTATCGCCCCTTGTTGACCCCGATGCAGTGAATACATCCCGCACTCTCACCATCGCACCGTTGCCGACTTCATCAACAACTTCTCTGAGGGTGAGATCTTCCGTCAGTCAGCGATCGTCCGAGGAAGGCTGACCGTGGGGGAAGGCACACCGCTCTCGTACCAGATCGACACCACAAGACTCGCCAAACTGTAGAACCGCCTCGTTATCTTTCCCCTTGTTTTGCGCTCCCAACCATCTGTACCATCCCCACGCATTGCTATCGTTATCATCACCTTGATTCTTTCTTTCTGTGTGAAGCGCTATTTCCATGATACATGGTACTGGATTCATACGCCGTCCTTGCATTACAGCAATCCAATGTGTATATCATCATGCCCACAGCTTCGTTTTCAACGATCTGAGCACCGTGAAATGGGTCGGTGTTGTCCAGCATGTAACCGTCTTGCAGAGACCCTGCCTCGACAGCAGTACGCGGGACGATACACAGGTCACACATCGTCGGGTGTCTCTCCTGCGAGCGCGAGCTCTCTGCGGCACCTCTGGCACGCACATTCGAAATACCAGTGGGCACGGAGCTGCTCCCGTCTCTCCGACACGCTGTCCTTGAGATCGACATAGTTCGTGCACAGTTCCTCGTCCTTCTCGATGTCCCTCGTGGTGTAGAAGTGCAGCGCCCGCCCTTCTCTCCGCTTGCGCACATTCGGTTCGCAATCTGCCACACAGAATAAGGAGAGAGGAGCGAGGAACAGCGAAGGCGATGACATACCGTGGTTGAAGAACGAAGCCGATACGTACATGCACCAGCCGAACATCTCGCTGTCGCCCGTCTCGTTCATCTCGAACAGCCCGAAGACGTTCCCCGGATCCCGCGCGAGAACGGCGCGCACCGCGGCCGGGGTCTCGACGTAGGGCTTCAGGCACTCGAGAACTGGCGAGGAGCGCACGGCTTGGCGGATGAATGCGAATATGCGGACGTGCGACGGCAGAGCGTGCGGCTTGCTTCGGTAATAGGGAAGCTCGTTGTCCTGAAGCTCCAGCAGATCAGGCCAGCTGTTGAGAGGCGTCCCAGAGGAGTTTTCATCGTCAGTATGTCGGCGAATAAGGGCGGATAGAACGAAGCGGACTGTTTCCAGCTCTAGTTCTTCCAAAGGCAGGCGAACGCTTGTCGGACCCTGGGCCGCGTTTTCCCAGGCAGAATCGATAGAAGTCTGCGAGATCCCAGGAGAGTTCTCCGCAAGGGCGGAATGTGCTGATGCTGTGGCGCCCCGTTTCCCGTCAGCCTTCGATAATTTGTCCACCGCGGCGTTGACAGTCAAGGTCATCGGCCCGCCGCTCCATTCTTGACGACAGGTTGAGCTGCAGAACCAGACACCTGCCCCCGGCACTTCGTTTCTAATGTTCCAAGCATTCCGGCGGACATCGAAGGAGTACGCGAAACACTGCGCACAGACTTCTTTGCGAAACTCGCGATAGATGACCGATGCATACGGGCCAGGGCACGTGTGTATCAGGGTTCCAGCGGGGATGGCGCTGTTGGCGAAGACGCCTCTACCCCCGTACCAAGTCGATTTTCGTGTGAAGAGATCGGAGGCCATTCGCTATCGATATCCCGGGATTCATCTTGGAGAGAAGGAGATGATCACGAATCACGTGTGATCAGGCCAAACAAGGCCAAGCGCGCCAATTGAGTCCCATTTTGTTTCCTACCTCGCACGACGGGGCTGAACGCATCGTCGCACGCGACGCTAGATGGCGAAGCGCGTGGAGTCTTCGGAAGACGGCGATATGAACTCTAGTCCCGAACCCGCCCGTGTTAAAGGCGGCAAGACGCGTCCTAGTGGCAAAGGAAAGGCGCGCGACGAAGAGACCTCTCCGCGTGGAGCCAAACGAGCACGCGTCAATGACGCAGGGGACTCTGCTCATAGAGAAGATGAGGATGAGGATGATGGAGAAGTGGAACCGAGTGAGGGTGCGGATGAGGAGCAAGCAGTAGACGACGACGACGACGAAGCTCCCCCATCTCGTGTGCGCGTCAAAACACTCCCTCGCGACGTCGATGGGTCGGTGCTCTTTTTTCCGGTATAAAGTCTATGACTCGTCTAAATGGATCTTCCAGGTATATCCCGGGCTCCATCGTCCGCATCAACCTGCGCAACTTCGTCACCTACGACGCGGTGGAGTTCTGCCCTGGGCCCTATCTTAACATGATTCTGGGACCAAACGGAACGGGAAAATCGTCTATCGCCTGCGCGATCTGTCTCGGCCTGAACTGGTCGCCTGCGATCCTGGGCCGCGCCAACGACCTGAACGAATTCGTCAAGATCAACACCCAAGAAGGGCACATCGAGATCGAGCTCAAGGGGCCTGCGGGGGAGCCGAACCTCGTGATCCGCCGCAATATCACCTCTCGTGCGAAGAGCTCGACGTTCACCCTGAACGGCAAGGCGGCGACGGGCGGCGAGGTCAGCGCGAAGGTAGCCAAGCTTAATGTGCAGGTCGGCAACCTGTGTTCGTTCCTGCCGCAGGACAAAGTCAGCTCGTTTGCGGCCATGTCACCTGTCGAGCTGCTGAGGGAGACGGAGAACGCGGCCGGCGACGAGAGACTCAAGAGTTGGCATGATACTCTCAACGACGCAGGGAAGGAACTAAAGCTTGTCTCCACCGTGCGTCGTCGCCGCGCATCAGATCTCGGCGCACTGACTGGTCCCGACAGACTATTACTGAAGAAACGACGACCATGGAGACCATGAAGACTCGTAACGAGGGCATACAACGTGACGTCCAGCGGTACCGTGAACGAAAGAAGATTGAACACGAGGTGGATACGATCTAGCAGGTTCCTGTGGCGCAGGCTCACCATTCCAGATCACCCTGCTGCGCGTGCTCATCCCCATTCAAGAGTACCGCGAGGCACGCGAGCTGTACGGGACGCTGAAAGACAAGCAGCGGGCCCAGCACGCCAAAGTCTCCAAGTTGAAGGAAAAGAACGCTCCAGCGCATGCGTATCTCAGGTTGGTGCTCAGCTCTGCCTGTGACGACGCTGACTCTTTTCCCAAGGAAACTGGAGAAACAAGTGGAAGAGCTGTATCAAGACCGTGATTCTTCCAAGAAGGTTCTCAAACAGATACTCGACAAGAGCGAGAAAAGCACCAGGAAGGCTCTGCAACTTGTCAGCTTTTCTTCCACCGGGATTCTTTTGAGCTGAACCAATTGGCGCACAGGAATCTGAGCACGACGATATCCAGAACAAGATTGATAATCTGAAGAAGAACGAAAAGAGCCGGGTAGCTCAGATGAAGGCCTTGGAGGACAGGATCCAGAAGCTGACGACCGAGCTGGAAAAGGATGTCAGTAGCATTGGGCTGTTTTGCCCACTCCACCCGCGCTGACGGCCCGTTCGCTCTAGGTGAAGGGCGATGTCGAAGCCGTTGTCATGGAGGAGAAGAACCAAGCCAAGGCTGAATTCGCGCGAAGCCCATACCACTCGGAGCTGGACCAGGTCAACCGCCGGTCCGGGGCGCTACAGCAAAAACGACAAGCGAATGAACATCGCAAGAACCAAGCATACACCCGGTGATTGTCATTCGGTCTGCTCCCTTTGCTTGTTGCACTCACACGCCGTCAGCCAGCGGGAACTTGCCTCCACGGACGGCCAGAAGCTCGCTGCATTCGAGGCATGGGATAAGAACTCTGCGATGGCCGTTGTTTGGCTCCGGCAGAACCGGGACAAGTTCCAGATGCAGGTTTTCGAGCCCGCGGCGCTCAGTGTGACTGTGCGTGATGCGCGCTTTGCGTCGATAGTTGAGAATGCGCTTGGGTCGCAAGCACTCAAGGTGGGTTCTTGGCTTAATTCGCCGCGCTGTTCCAGCCATACTCACCCCACATAGACCTTCGTGTGTCAATGCCAAGAGGATAGCGACACCCTCAACAAGTTCATCAATGACGATAAGGTGCTTGGCCCCCGAGTTCGCATCTCGGTCTGGTACGGCAGCAGGCAGGGCACAGGGCCTATCACGCCGGAATCCGTCAGCCTCCAGCCCCTGAATCCGGAAGAATTGAAGCGATTCGGGTTCAGTGGGTATGCCAGTGACTTCATCGAATGTCCGGCAGGCATGGAGTTCTATCTCTACAGCGCAGTCAACCTACATCGAGCGGTGATTTACCACAGTGCTGGCTGATGTCGATCGATGCTGATAGGCTTTCGCGTAGCCGGTGACTCTGCAGCCGCTTCCGCCGAACAGCATCCAGACGATCATAGACACGCTCGGTCAGGATGGCCGCGCCAGATTCTATGAGGGAAGCACCGTGCATCACATCTCACGGTCTAAATATGGTCGAAGGGCGCTGGGGACGTCGTCCAGCACGATTGGACCCGCTAAGATGTTCGGCAGAGTGCAAGGTCTGGGTGTTCTAGACGCTGGATGATGACTAAAGCTGAATGCGATGCAGTGAATCCGGCCGACAAACAGCGTGTTGACGAAGCAATTCAGCGCTGCCTCGAGGAGGAGAGCCAGCTGGAGCGGGAATACAACGAGCTGAAAGATGAGCGGGGAAGATTGTCGGCGCTGCAGAGGGATTACAAGGAGAAGCAGGATGCCTTCGATGTCCGGCTCAAAAAGATCGCAGATCAGCTGAAGCAGAGGCTCAAGACGGATCGAGAGAAGAGTAAGTCGTGTCGCGTTGTTCCAGGAGTTCGCCCACTCACGATGTGTTGTTGATACCAGAGAACGCACAGCAAAAGCTGGCGCTGCTGACCAGCAAGGGAGACTCCGTCAAAGAGGGCAAGGAGCTGCGTGGTCAGTTGGTCAAGAATGCCACGATGCGCGTCGACTTGGTCACTGAGGTTATCGTGAGTTCCTGCCGTCGACCCATTTATTTCCAGGGAGGGTGCTGATTCGGACGAACCAGAAAATCTCTCACGAGATTGTCAAGGAGCAAACACGCGCCACCTGCATCGCACTCGAGTATTACCAGGTTCTAGCCAAGAAGAATGCGCTGCAGGAACTCTGTGATCGGAAAGACGCCAAGTATAACGAGGCCATGGAGGTGTTCCGCAAAGGTGCGGTCCTTTTTGGTCTTCTGACCCGCGATCTGAATCTGTCCTCGCGTTAGTGGACGCAGATTTCTTGCGTATCAAGAAAGAGGCTGCCGATCTCTTCAACAAGACGACGGAGTTGCTGCAAGAGATGCCCGACGAAGTGCGGGACGAATACCAGGAGATCGCGGACGCCCGGGACGAATGGGAGAATCAGATCACACAGGCTAAGCAGCGCGGCCATGATCCCCCTGAGCCTGGGGCAGGCGTCGACCTGCGCACTGTGTTTGACCTGCAGGGGGAGCTCGAGAAGCAGCAATCGCTGCTTCAGGCTAACACCAATACGAATCCGGGTCTGGTCGAGCAGTACGAGAAGCGGAAACGGGATGTACGTTCGGGCTTCGTATATGCGATCGCGGCCAGGGATTTGATATCTTATTCCATCGCAGATTGAATCCCTCGAACGGAGCATCGAGCAGAGACAGCGCCAGGCTACCAAGATCGAGAAGCAGATCAAGAATGCGAGAGACAATTGGGAGCCTGAGCTACGTGCGCTGGTGGCCAGCATCGGCAAGAAGTTTTCGGCGGCTTTCGATCGTAAGTTGTGTTGCCCCCGCTGTCGTTTAGTGGGATGAATGACCGAATGCTGGTTAGGGATCGGTTGTGCTGGGGAGATCAAGATACGTGAAGCCGATGCGTTCGATCAGTGGGCCATCGACATCCTCGTCAAGTTCAGGGACACGGAGAAGCTGCAGCTCCTGACGGCCCAACGACAGTCCGGTGGCGTGCGTTGCTCTTCCTCTTGATTTGCAGATTCCATGTTCCGCTGACACGCTGCTGCAATCCGCCAGGAACGCGCTTTGACGACGATCCTGTATTTGATGAGTCTCACGGAGGAAGCCCGTGCGCCGTTTTCGCTCGTGGACGAGATCAACCAGGTACGTCTTACCGTGCGGATGGCCAGGAGGGAGTTCTGACGTCAGTAGGGAATGGACCACATCGCCGAGCGTATGGTGCACAACTCGATGGTCGAGGTGACGTGCAAAGAAGAGAGCGCGCAGTACTTCCTGATCACGCCGAAATTGCTCCCGGACCTCGAGTACCACGAGCGCATGCGTGTGCTGTGCGTCAATAACGGGGAGTGGCTGCCCGAGGAAGCGGGGCTGGGCAATATGATGGACATGATCGATGGGTATGTTGCGAAGAATCCTGGGGCAGAGAAGGGAAAGAGACGCGGGTAGTTGTTTGTGTTATGTTATGTTATTTCAGATTTAGTGCATAGGCATATGACTCTCCTAGTTTTACTTACATTTGAACCTATGTTGGGTACATGCAGACTGTTAATGCCAAAATAGACCGCACTTCCCTGTCTGGTGACGTTAGGATGTTTTCGTGATAGCCAGTGTTGCCTTGTCCACTCCAGATTACTGCCATAATGTCGACTACGCATCCCAGCACGCACGGGCTTGGCTTACGCTCCATTTGTCGAGTCGGAGCTATCACCTCCGGTAACGTCACACCGACAATCGTGGCTGCGATGAGTGCTAGTCTTTCTATCTCGAAGGTCTAGTTCTGGATCAACTAAAGATCAGAGTAGGATGACCTAAACAGAGGCCCGATTGCAGAATCGACGACCCGATCGAGTTTCGAGCTTCAAGCTCGGTTCGATGGCCAGCTGGAGAAGCACTGGGCCAGGGAGCCGACGGATGTATTAAGACGCGTTACGGGATTCGAAATCGTACTTACTCACGTTTTGCTTGAGTACTGACGATACATATCTATGATTTTGAATCCGAGCACGATCTTATCGATGGGGACCACGTGCTGGAGTGCACGTGAGCGGTGTTCAACTCGACTATGCGTACCATGATGAATTTAGAAAAGGACAGAAAATGCAATCACGAGGTCCTCGTCTCGCCGATACACCCGCTTTTCGATTTACTATCGAAATGATGGATTTCTCTCTGCGTTACATACATCACGGCCCGAAGAGACCGTTTTAATAGAGCGGCTTGGTAAATCACGACGCATCGAAGCGGAAGGCGCGATTGTCCAGTCTCACTTATTTCTCAGGGCGATCTGGTCACCCGGTCACCCGGTCAGCGAGCCGTAACTGTCGTGACCGAACCAGAGCATGAATCATCACTTTAATGACAGTAGAAGCACTTCTTGGGTGTTCATCAGAGCAGCTGGTGCAGGAAAGCACGCAAGCGGTGCATTCAGATGAGGGTTTAAGCGGGTGACACATTTCGATTACAAGTGGTATGTATTGCGAATACCGTCGTCCATAAGGGTCAAGGTCTGTTTGAGGAAAGTGCGATCATGATCCAATGCTGGGGTCCAGCGAGTGATCTCCAGTCACACCGTGACCCCTCCCTGGTGTGTCATTCGTCGTTACTCATCGCCTCGCCATCTCTTCATCCCATCGTTATTTGTCGCGTCGCGCTTGGACCGACGCGGTCTATGTGTTCTTTGTGCGTACGTATACAACCTCTTATTCATATATATCTCAGTTACATATGTACACACCCTCTGTATTCAAACCCGATGAGAATCTTACAATTCTTATTACCCTCCGTGATACACGACCCTATCACTTTTCAAGGGCAAGGTCTGCTTTACCGACAGAATAACACGGAAGCGCCTGCACCGACTCTGTTCCTCCTCCTTCACAGACGATGGGCCATTGCGGTGGCTGCTCAAAGCTTGCCCGCCGTGTCAAGCGCTCGACAACAGATATGACGCCGTGGTGCCTGCCAAGTATGGCTGGGTCAAACTCGACGAATGATGCCAACAGTCAAATGCTCGGAACGAGGCGCGTATCAATAAACCTTACGTGACATCACGGAGCACTGCTCCTCACGTTGCTCATGCCGAGGCTTCACTTTATGTGGCTATTTGGGAAAAAGTGACTAGGTAGTTCACATCTAGAGGACGCTCAATTTCTGTATTTCAAGACCCAAAAACCAGCACCGGTCTTTTTGACGCGTGAAGTCATACTCACGTGATGACCTCAGATTAGCCGGGAAGTAATGCTTTTTCTCTAGAGCATTGGTCCTAGGATCTCTCAAACATCCTAATATTCGCCGTAAAACGAAAAAACAGCTCTGCAGCCCGAAAGTACCAGAAGCCGCTGTTAGCCGCTGTTGCCATCGACGACGACGACGCTTACTTTACCGAAAAGGTACCCGATATCATCTCACTAAGCAGATATGAGGCATAGGGTCACGGAGTGCCAGGACCCCCAGCACTTAGTAAGTTCCCATCATCAAGATAGACCTTGACCCTTATGGACGACGGTATGCGAAGCGCTGCTCACTCACTGTGAATGACGAAGATGCTGGAAATCTCATCGATGTAGCCACGTGCGGATGAGGGGGCTGATCGCGACTGGGACACGTGAGCCGTGTTCAACGTGATTCGGAACCACCTGCCAGCGTTCTCGGGATGCGCGCGAAGGACCCTGATCAGTCCTGCGTTTCCCAGACCCGGTCTCCGTCTATTTTCAGCAGGATGCTCGGGACAGGACCGGGCCGAAGAAGAGAGTGTGGAAGACACAGAAGTGCTTAAACCTGCGTCCGACGCCACAGCTCGCTTAACCGCCCACCCCGATGTCAACGAGCGATCGCGGTACCGCAATAGTCACTGGTGCCGGTACGCATCTCCTCCGTCCCGCTCTCCCCCAGCAGCCCGTCTCTGATACATGCATCTGCGATGGCCCCGCAGCCCAGGGTATCGGACGCGAGATCGCGCTGCGCCTGGCCCGCGACGGATTCGCCGTGGCCGTGAACGACGTCCCTGCGAAGGCGGACAAGCTCGCGCGCGTCGTCGAGGAGATCCGGGCGACCGGCCGCCCGGCGTCCGCGTACGCGGCGGATGTGTCGGCGGACGCGGAGGTGAAGGCGATGGTCGAGCAGGTCGTGCAGGAGTACGGGGGACTCGATGTGGTGCGTGCGACAGTCGTGGGCTTTGGTGCAGAGATGATTAACTGAGACTCGTGCCTAGATGGTGGCGAACGCGGGCATCTGTAAAGCGATCCTGTTCTCTCAAGGTTCGCGTTATGTTTCTGATCTGGGTCCGTCAGTTGCTTGAGCACTCATTTCTCGACAGTAACTGTCGAGGAGTGGGACACGATCATGGCAGTCAATGCGCGAGGCGCATTTCTGTGCTACAAGTACGCAGGGCTACAGATGGTCCAGCAGGGACGGGGCGGACGAATTATAGGCGCTTGTTCGGTCGCCGGCAAGAGAGGTCAGTCAGATTTTTGACAGATTCAAACTCCAGAGCAATCTATGCTCATTGGAATGGCAGCCGGTTCTAGCTTAATGGGGCCTTACTCAGCGTCCAAGTTCGCCATACGCGGGCTGACGCAGGCTGCTGGTATGTTTTGTGGATGAAAGGCCATTGGCCTCTCTCAATCATGATCAGCTCTAGAATTTGGGGCTCACGGGATCACCGTTAATACCTACGCCCCGGGAGCTGTTGACACGGAGATGAGTAAGTTTGGACACCCGACATTTCGTTCGATTTGATCAATTCTTGAAGTGGCTGCCGTCAACGCGTCCAGTGCGCAGGTTATGGGGACCAGCTATTCGGAGAGAGTAGGTCTATATCCGGTTAAGACGATCTCATACTTATTTTATCGATCTATCAAGGTGAAGAATAGTGGAGCATTGGCTCAATATGGGTATCTGACTTCCATCCTCCCTGTTCCAAACAAAGCGCGCTCACGGGTTCTGCGCAGAGTTCCGAAAGACATTGCAGATCTTGTGTCGTTTCTTGCCTCGAAAGAGTCGGGCTTCATCACAGGCCAGAGCGTCAGAACTGTTTATTCAGCCGGTACGCTCGCTCTGATTGCTCTGTCAGATTTCCATCAACGGAGGCGTCTTCTTCGATTGAACAACAGCAACTTCTACGGTTATGAAATCGCAATCTATATACATAAGTACTTACGGGTACATTTATACAACATATGTGTGACTTCGTCTGATCAGATTTCGACGACGGAGTGGTGTCACATGCTCTCGACGAAAGCTCGCGCCTCCACAACCGCACCGCACAGGCCCCCCGCGAGGACGGGGAAGTCGGCAGCCGACGCGATGAGCTTGAAGCCCTGGGCGATGCGGCCCTTGATCATCTCCTCGCCCAGCGCCAGACCCAGCATAGGGATGTCGTGTTTCTTGGCCATGGCGGACGCGTGCTCCATGATCTTGACCCATTCGGGCTCTGTGGCCATCGGGAGCGCAGGCGAGAGGCCGAGCTCCATGCGCATGTCAGCGACTGGGTTCGCAGATGATTAACACCAAGACAGTATCGATCTGACTGCTGCGCCCCACGCACCTCCGACCATGAAGCAAGGGACCTGCTCCATGCTAGCGATCGCGTCCAGGTTCTCGAAACCAAGACGCGTCTCGATCTGCGGGATGATGGCCACATGCTTGTTCGCGAGCGTGAAGATCGAGTCGCCTGCCGGCGTGGTGTCTGTGACGCCGGGGATCTGCACACCCGCGATATGATCATCAGCCAGGGTTGGATAGGGATAGCGGATAGCGCGCGTGCGCGCTGCGGGGAAGTAGCACTTACGAAGGAGAAGGGGGGGAACGATCTGTGTCCCACAGGCCTGCGGAGGGGTGCATCGATATGGAGACTCTCTATGCCCCGTGTACCACGGACGGGGTTCAATGATGCACTCACGGGAACCGACATGCGTCCACCGCAGCTTGCATCTCCTCCACCGTCTCGAGGTGGGGCAGGATGACTCCGCCTGCGCCGGCGTCCAGGCACCATGCCTGCACAGTCCGGAACCGAAGTTCAGTCATGATGGGAGCGATGATGAGCGCGTGGGCCGCACCATATAGTCGAAAGCCTTCTTGTTCGGTACACGGACGATGGGCACCATGCTGCCCCCGCTTTCCTGGTTGATGATCTGGATGCACTCTATGAGTAGGGTGGGCGACCACGCGACGTGTTCGGTGTCCTGCCAGCGCGTCAATCATCCGGTCTAAAACAGCACACAGAGCGTCGGCCTCACAATCCAGCACCAGTCCGCGCCGCATGCGGCGACGGTCTTGGCGATGTGCACGCTCGGATAGCTCAGGACGGAGCCCACGGCGATCTTGCCGCTCTTGAGGATCCCCGTGAGGTTCGCAGGCTGCTGCAGCGTCGGGGCCCTGAACTGAGCTCGCTCGGTCGTGGAGAGAAGTGCTGCTGCGCTCATGGCTGGGATCAGGTATAGGCACGAAGCACCCACTCAATACATGCGCTTTTGTACAGAGCCAGTTTGACAGGCACTAGAAGCAATGGGCCACTTGCGAATGCTTAGATTAGATCAAGAGTGCTACTATCGGGACTAAAGATCTCCGGTTTCCTTCTAGAGCACGTGAGGGACGCGTTTCTGGAAGGTCGCTGTGATAGATGGGAGACTCTCTCGCGCATTCGAAGCTAGAGAACGTCCGCACTCCCCGGCACCGCCGCCAAAAGCCTCCTTGCACTCGTTCCCTAGCACTATTCGACAGTTCCGGCCCCTCAAATCAGCCTTCCACGTGTGCATTTTTGGATCGATTTCCCTGTAGCACACGAGCGCACCCCACGGGGGCGGGCCGTTTTAAATCCTTGCATCCCGATCTGGACATGATTGTAGGAGATAAGATAAGATAATGCGGTACTCCGTCGGCTCATCCTTGGCTCTTTGCTCAGGTCGGCCGAAGTCATCAGAACGTTTTCGCGGGCACATATGTGACTAGGACTGCACAAATGCAAGGGTCCGGAATCTGACAGCCAAGAAGCCTAAGGTGCCCTTTCACATGTGCTTGATACATTACACGTCTTCGCCGGGTAAAGGGGTGGAGCCTTCTCGACGGGGACGAGTGGCACTCTGGGCTCGTCGGGGTTCCCCTTCTGGGTGGCAAATGCGACGGCGGCGGCGAACAGGGCAAGCGGGAACATAAACCACGGTAGAACGGCCAGCAACGCCGCTGGTGCGGTGGGCACAATGATTCGGAGCGAAAATCCAATCCAAAGCGGCACCAAGCCCACAGTAGTGGAAGTCCTTGGCAGCGTCACTAGTACGGTAAGTACGATGATTCGGAGCGAGGATCCAATCTGAAGCGGCACTGAACCCACAGTAGCAGAAGTCCTTGCGAGCGTTCGTCGCACTATCAACCGCCTCGCTCGAATCTCCTCGGCATGACACTGCTCGGAACTCGCACTCCATCGAGAACAAGCGAGACTCGCGCGGCCCGTGACGCGCGACGCCACGAAAATAGAAGCCGGGATCTGCGCTGGAAATGACCACAAGCTAAGAAACGCGAGCGAAGCCGATTGTGCGGGGAGGGTCCGGGTATGCCACCCGGTCCTGGTGCGCCGCAGAGACTCAAGGGTGAGAAGCACCAGGGAAGCGGTGCATGCCGATAGAATTAGAATGAGCGCGGATACAGTTGCGACTACGGCACCGACAGAGGATATATCTGCTGACCCCCATCAGCAGCTCATGCGTAACGTCGGACGGAGGAGCCGCGACGACGAAGCTCACCGCTTGAATCGACACGAACGAGCGTCGAAGCGGGGATCTTGTGGAACAGAACGGGTTTTCTCTTGTCCACATGGCCAAACGCGTTGATTCCTGGCTTTTAATAGGCGAGGAGAGCCAGGCCGAACTCTCGGACGTACCGAATGCCATGGACACCTAGGCCCGTACCCACGCGAGGAGAAGAGAGAGAAGTCGGGGCCATCTGGAAGGCAGAACCGTGCTAAACCTCATGGGTGTAGAGAGGAGGACGAGGGGCTGGGGAAGAGGGGCCTTCTGTGCAGGCAGCGACGCGATACTATCGCGACGCGTCGTGATGGCAGTGTCCGCATCCGGGGTCGGGTTCCTGCTCGGCAATGGCTCTCGGCCTCGAGACGCTGATCCAGGGATGGGATGTTCGAATCTGGGGCCCGAAATTTCGACTGGCCAGTGACCAACTGTGCGCTGAGACAAAGCCAATCCAGGTCACGCAAGCATCTTCAGACCCACGTGATCATTTGTCCTATGACGTCGACGCTCATCGAAACCCGGACCAACGCGATATACATACTGTACCAATGCTTGATTGCCACACAGATACCCTATCTCAAGGTTTAGACGGATAACGTCAAAAATGGACCATGGACCAGATATCCATCTTGGCTTCCCCGGGATCAGAGGCAGCACTGCCTGGATTTCCAAGTCTTTCCTTTCGAGACCAGTCAGGCTTGGCCGGCAACTTGGCGCTGCAGATCATCTCTTTGCTTGATGGAGGAGTCCTTCGCCAAACCTTCCATTCTAACTGACCGGAATGCTCGTCTCCACACTCTTGTGACCTCGAACTCTGCTGAATAGCCGACAATTCTATTCCGGATTGAATCGTAGGACAGCATACCCATCCGTCCTTGGTCTCGTGTCTTGCGTTTTCGGCTCCGCTTCGATCTTTTATCATCCACCCCCTCGAGCAAATTATTCCATCATAAGACGATCCAGCGTCAGACGACTTGCCCCCGAATCTCAATTTGAGACTGCATTCGCACTCTTTACCACAGCCCCCGGAATGACGCATATCGCATTTCTCATGTGGTAATGGCTGCGTGCGCTAATGGGTCACCCAGTAGACGTGTTCGCATGCGCAAAGCAGGCCAGAGTATTGGGAAGGCTACAGTTGCGCTCAAACAAGCCGCAGAAGACCACTCGATCCCTGTCAGCGACGTCGAGTGAAAACACGCCCGCAACCGGGCAGTGTCTTTAAGGCCGATACGGACGATGAAGACGCAAGTTCTCGTGTACGAGACTGATGTCTGGAGCGAAAGGGAAATCGAGGGGATGGTTGATAATCACGAGGAGCTAGACTTGTCCCTGGCGAGCAGTCTTCAACTGCGACATCCATTGCAGGACCGGTGTAAGTGACATGAGTTGTACTTGTACAGATGATGATATACCCGAAGTTTTCTATCCTAGATCTTGATAAGCGCAAGCCTCTACTTTGACCAAATCATGGCGATATCTACGATGGCACTCTGCAAGGTCATTGGTCGTCCTCCCTTAATCCTTGAAGACTTTGAATCGGTCCTCGATCGGCGCGAAACTCTTCGCGGCGGCATCGGCAGCAGGAACACCAAACGGCATGATGGCACTCGACGTCCATGTCTCCGGGAGACCGAACTCGGCTCTGATGGCGCTCGCGAGGGCGGGATTCGCTCCGTAGTGCTGCAGCGAGGCGCCGAGTCCCTCCGCGTCCAGAGCGGTCCACACGATGTACTGCAGGATGCCCGCCCCGTTCTGGCTCCACACCGGGAACTGCGTGGCGTATCTGTTCATAAGAAAAAAGACTCCGAGATCAGCAGAGCGAACGTGGGTGGGGCGAATGGCTCCGTACGCAGGTATCTTGGCGATCAGCCCGTCGACGACGGCCTGGTCCTCCCAGAACAGGACAGACCCGTAGCTGTTCGTGAAGCCGTCGATTCGTTTCTCCGCTGCGTCTTTGCGGTCGCCTAGGGAAACAGCATCAATGTATGCAGGCCAAACGTCAAGCACGAAGCAGCAGACCATCAAGACCGGCGACAGCCGATTCGCGCACCAGCGACCAGAGCTTCTGGTTCTTTTCTCCGAGAACGAGGACTGCGCGCGCGGACTGCGAGTTGAAGGACGAGGGCGCGTTCAGCAGGGCGCTCTTGATGATGCCCTCGAGTTTTTCGTCCGGGATGGAGGACTTGGGCGAGAGCGCGTAGCGGCTGCGGCGGGCAGCGACAGCGGCGAGGAAGGCGGTAGACATTGTAGGCTAGGTTGGGATGAGCGGGATGGGAGGTGAGCCCATCCCCCGCCCGTCTTTATGGGACCCGACGAGATGGATGAACGAATTATGCGGATGATGTGTAAGATAACGAAATCACGCCCACGCAACGACATGACTGAGGAGCGTGCGCTGAGCGAGCACAGTGGGCCTGCTGGTCGGCCTGAGCTTCGGGATTATGCTATCGATCGTCCGGGTAATTGCCAGGGAATCAGCATACGGGCGACCTCGCCTGGTTGAAGTTCAATATGAATATCATGTCTTGTAAAAGTCACGTGGTGATACGCTTCTTAGATCGAGCTCTTTCGAGTGCTACATGCCCTTGTAAGTCAACTACCGCGGAATAAATGGAGGAGTCGTCTCTTTCTTACACTTCTGAATCGGAAATCGCATCTTCAGTGCAGGAAGAATATTACGTTCCGCCAATCCTCAACCAGCTAGCTCACTGAACAGCTGATGGCATCGAGTAGCATGCTGTTGACCGTGATGAACTGGCACACGAATGCCTGGAGAAGTTTACAGATGGTATTTTTATATCTCAAATTCTGCCCGAATCGATTTGTTCGATATTTCTCCGTTACTTCCATAAGTGCGTTGTTTCCAAATAGAAAATAACGCGTGACTCTCATTCAAGTTGAAGATGAAGTCTTGAGCCGTAAGAAGAGCTGAGGGGCAGTCTTGGCGGGCACTTTGGGACTCGCAGCCTTCGACGCGCTGACAGTACCCGACATTCACCTATTCCCAGCATCTGTGGACAAGCGTGGGACGGTGAGGAACCAGCTCTGACAGGTGGAACGGGCAGTCGAGATCCTTATTCGCCGCCAGTGGCATGTCTCAAAGTGAGAGCTTAATGGCTATGATTTCACTCCAGGCGGATGATAACGAGCGCCACGCACAGAAAAGCCCCTCGTCGCGGAGACTTTCGAGTTCTCGGCCAAAGACAGAGCGCAACATTCCGCGAGGATTTGCCCACAATGCCAGCGGACAGGTGAGCCCGCACCCTGAACTTTTGCGCGGTGGCAATGAGGGAGCCCAGGCTCGGTAACGACGGCGACATCGCAGACGACATTCGCCAGGTTCCTACCTCTCAAAAAGCAGGCAGTGTGGTATTGTACGAAATGTGAATGGAGGAGGGCGATCAACGAGAGGTGAGTAGGGACTAGTAACCTCGTAGAACTCGCGGCGCGTAAGACTGACATGTGTTGAGAGTTGGGAACCAGCCGTGTCAAAGAGCGCGATCATAGGACGGCCGTCGACCAGTGAAGAGGTCAATCCCATGTATAGGATGGCGGAAATGTGGTATCGACCACCTGCAGATGTGTTGACCGAACCACAAGCCAATCCGAAGCACAGCGTGACGGAGGAGGGTCGAAAGTAATGAAAGTTTGAGACTGAACACTTTTTGTCTCGCGCTGCTGTGACTCACGCAAGAGAGCAGCTCAGAAAGCGCCGACTGCTGAGTCGGAGGCTGGCACGGTGACGGCAAGGTGGCACATGTCCCATCAGTGCATCAGGCTCACATGATCAACGGGTGTCGGCCGGTGTCAAATCTGTGGCTGTGGCTGGTCAACAACGGCGGAGTTGGAATTCATTTCGACGCGCTCCTCCATGTCTGCTACACTTCCGATCACATAAACCATTTCTTCAGCCCTCAGACGCGACTAGGAAGCGTGTCTTCAAACTTTGCTCATCCGACCCTCCGAACTGCAGTCCCTTCCCATGTCGCAATCACAATCGCAATCGGACGAAGAAGGGCGCTTCTCTCCGCATTCGAGCGATGATGAGAAGCTCTATGAGGTTATCGAGATCTTGAAGGAGAGCAAGTCGAAGTACTTGGTCAAGTGGGCAGGCGTGGACAGTAGAGGCAAGCCCTGGCCAGATGATTGGGTGCCGAAACAAGATGTGACGAATCAACTGGTATCGACCTGGAAGAAGAAGAAGGCTCTGCTGCGCGAGAAGAAAGGTGCGCTTGTGGTAGCACGAAGCTGGTCTCCTCCCTTCTAACTGACGAAAGCTGAGAAGGCTGCGCGCGCTACATCGAAAGCGTCCACTGCTCGTGCGCGTCGTGCATCAACAAGTACTACACCCCGCGCACAACGCTCGACCCGTTTCTCCTCGCACACTAGTGCACTTACTGGCGATGGTCACCGGGAAGATGTCCACGGAGCCATCTCGACTACTTCAACTCTCGGAAAGAAGCGTCGACGTTCACAGCCTGTTCCTGAAGAAGAGGAAGAGGAAGAGGAGGAGCAGCGGCCAGAGCCAGCATCCAGTCGGCCTCTTCCTCGCAAGCGGCCTCGGTTGGTTGACGATCAGGAGGTTCAACCCCAGCCCGACCCTGCTCCTCTCTCTTCGGTCGGCAGCCGATCCAAGAGCAGAGAGAAACGAAGTCCAGTCCTTCTGGACTCGAAGGTCGAGGAGGAAGAGGAGTCTGGAGATATCTCTGCACTCGAGCCAGAGCACGCGCATGGACCAGAAGAGCTGCAGCTCGACTCGCAGGCGCTCTCTCCAGGGGGAATAGAGCGGCTAGCGCAATTCGACCTCGATATGATGCAGCCAGCACAGACGCAGAAAAGCCAACCGCTATTTCTGGCAGCCTCGGATGACGACAGCGACGACAATTTGTTGTCCCCGCAGCGCTCACCCGCAAAGGCGCCGTCCCTGTCTTCCATTCCCGTTCGTCGAGCGAAATCACCAGTGGTATCCGATTACGAAGGCGAATATCAGTCGCCGTCACGTCCTCGGGCTTCCTCCTCACATCGCGTAATTGACCAGTCGTATCGCTCGGGAGATATCCCGGAAACTCAATCCGCGTCGCCTTCGCCGCTATCTGCGCCGAAACGTCCGCCGAAAGAGTCTACGGCTGGCCAAACAAGGAGGCGCTCACCTGATGAGGGCCTAGCTCCGATTCCTATGATGACTGCGTCCCGATTCGTTGCCCGTGCTGGTCAGAATGGGATGTATGCTAATGAAGGGGACGATCTGGATACCCCGATGAGTAGCATCGAACAGTTCAGCTCGCCCATCAAACCAGACGCGCATGCGGTGAAGAAGTTGAAACGACGTTCATCGAAGGCAGAAGAGTTGATCAGGATCCCCATACGAAGAGGCTCGGAAGCGCGCGAGGAGCAGGGGGTTGCGATCAATCACGACGTCGTCGTCGCTCGCGGTGTTGAGCTGGCAGCGAAGGCTTATAAGGAGCGTCGTCAGGAGGCAGCGGCGTATCGGATGTTCGACGCGCCTCGCGTTTGGCAAAACCCGGAATCGCAGACCCAAGCGGCGACGAGTCAGAGCGTTACCGAGGCCGATGGTATGGAGTCGATTGTCAGGAAGACCGAGTTTTCTCCCGCGACTCGGTTTGCTATGCGGGAGGAGGAAGAGGAGAACACCCAGGACTTGCTCAATGAACGACTCGGACTGCGACAAGAAGAGGAAGAGGAGAAAGGTGCAAGTGATATGGAGGACGTCCAGGAACAACTTTCAGAGCCCGAAGTCCAGCTCGAGGCTCAGTTCTCGGAGCACGAGACGGAGATAGAGCCATCGGTCGATCTCGACGCGGCAGAAAAGTCCGCTTGGAACATCGAACAGGCTTCGCAGCGAAATACGTCCGATCGACTGGAGCCGGCGGAGGAATCGATAGAGTTGGTGAGTGGTCAGATTCAGTGGAGGAACTGTTGGTCAATGACCCGAAGAAATACCCTGCTGATGCAGAGGATGAAGGAGGAGCGCCCGATGAACTTGGCGAACTGGTACTTTCGGCTTCAAATCCGATTTCCGTCGACTGATAATTCTAACCAGGCCTACCCCAGCAACGACGACGACGAGGCTGCCCCCGTCATTAACGGCAGGACGGCACGGACTCGATCCCCCTTTGTACATCCTTCCAATGAGAGCTATGAGCTTCCACCGACTGCCTCCACTCGCGAAGGAGGTGGAGATCTCAAATCGAGCCATCCGGTACGCCCTCCACTTTCTTCTGCTAGTCGAATTGTAATGGCGATTTCAGGCGGTCGTTCTTGATCCAGATGCCATGATGACTTTGTTGAACCACAAATCTGATGAATGCAAGCAACTCGAGGCTGAACTGAGCCATGAACGATTAGCTCTGGTAGCCCAGCGAGCGAAGAACCACAATCTCGAACAGGAGATTCAATTTCTGCAATCACAACTTGATCAGGACCCTCGCGTAGTCGTCACAGATGCGGCCGACGAATCCTTGATTGCAGAACGCCAGCTCAAGGACGCGGCGATCGCCGAGCGGGACACTCTACAGAGCAAGCTAGCCGATGCCGAAAAGCAGGTCGAACTGTTCCGCGAGTACTATGGGAAAGCATCCGAGTTCGGCAGCGAAAAGTCGAAGGAGAACAAAGCACTACAGGAGCAGCTGACGATGGCAGAGAGTGCCAAGACTCAGGGTGTCGCTTTGGTCAGGGCGACTTTCGAGAAACGGATCGAACAGCTCCAGACGGACGCCAACAGCTGGCGTAATCAGGCTGATTTCCTCCGGCAACAAGCCATCCGAACGAACGACGACGGTCTCAGGAGGCGGGCCGCTGAATACCCGGAGCTCCACCGACGGTACGAGAAGCTGGTCTTTGACAACGAAGTGTATCAGGACCGCCTGGACGCTCAGGACGAGGATCTGCGCGCCAAGATCGACGAACTGCAAATGCTACACGAACAAATCGCCGAGCTCAAATCACAGGCAGTAGTCCTGGATGGAAGGAGTCAGGTATATCGATGTGCGTGGCGAATAGAAGGATCGGAACTAGCTTGCCCGGTGTTCTGCACCTCAAGAGAGGTGAGCTCGTTGTCCGCATGTGCTAGTGAGTGGCTGCTGACGCTCCCCTCAAGGACCTCGTCATCCACGCTAGAATGCACGTGCTTCAACCCCCTGATCATTGAATGGACGACTACCCCGTATAGTGTGTATCTGTCTGTAATCTGTAGTGTAACAACAAGTCGTGCAACAGATCACGTTACCGCGAATAATCTTCCCTCCCGTTGCCAGTCCACAGTCGTCTATCCCTTTCTTATCCCTCTGGCCCGCCTTCGTTCTCCAACCTCATCGCCTAGCGCAGGACCCAGCGATGTTCCTATACCCTCTTCTACATTTTGCAATATCTGCTCTACTATTCGATTTCGCTCGGGCCTATATCTACCCGACATTTCCTGTTGCCAACTCGCGACTCGCCCCGGGGAAGAACGCGACGCTCAGATGGAAGGACAACGACAAGCACCCCTTGATCTCTGAGATGAACGCGGTCAGGATCGATCTGTGCACACCGAACGGGGTACGCGTTTCGCACTTGGAAACGCGCGAGTCGGAAGCTCACCCGTAGACAGACCGTGCTGCACAATCTCGCTCAGGGCGTGGATCCGGCTGTCCTGCACAGAGTCGTGCACATCCCCAACACGCTGTCGTCTGGAACTTTGTACGTCCTCCCATCATGGCAAGTTGCGCGACACGCCCATTTCCGTGCCCCACAGCGCGATCACGTTCAAATGCGATGACCCGCCCCTCCGAATGTGGACCGCGGACTTCACGATCGACGCGAACCCGGACGCGGTTAGCAGCGTGTCGGCTGACGGCGGCCCGGCCACGCAGACCGCAGTCGAGACCGCTCAGACCGTGGACGCAACGAACACACAGACGCAGACGCAAGAAGCTGACGACGAGGTGACGCTTGTTCTCCCGGATGCGACGGTCGTGCGCTCGCTCCTCGCGAATCCGACCATGGGTGCCTCGACGACGGTTGTGGCGGATCCGCTGCCGCAGGTTGGAGGTGCGGGCACGGGACTGAGTCACATACTGTCTCAGGATCAGAAGGGAGGAGCGAGTGCGAGAGGAATAGGCGGGGAGATGATGATGGGAGTGACGGTGATGGCGGTGGTTAGCTTACTTAGCTTGCCGGTGTAGTCCTGCTGCTCCGCGTTTGTATGAGGAGCATGAATTGTATTGTAAAACATCCCAGCATTTACATATCTTCTACACTACACGTCTGTTAGCTTCCCCTTTCGGGTACTAGTCTCTTGAGCCACGGAGAGGCCAGACGCTGGACCATGAAGATCCTTTTTCAAGAGGGGCCAAGCGGGTTCATGGAATCCCTGACTTGGGGGTGGGTACAAGAAATGCTCGAGACCAGCTCTCACACACCGCCGGAGCGGATTCATCGTGCAGAAACACGGAAAAGACTTTTCAGCGGCTCGACCGGTGACGGGAGACACGCCTCGGAGACTCGTGCCGCAGGCCGGATCCTTGTTACATGGACCCAGGCGCCAGATCAGCGACGAGCACCGCAACGCCAAACAGAGGAAACGCCGTAGCGCCCAACGACACAGAAACGACTTCTCAGCGGCTCGACCGATGACGGGAGACACGCCGGACGGAGACTCGAGCCGCAGGCCGGGTCCTTTTTACATGAACCCAGGCGCCAGATCAGCAACGAGCACCGCAACGCCGAGTAAAGTAACGCCGTAGCGCCCAATCAACAAACACTGGATCCCGAAACCATACGCCGTACGTAGCGCGAGACACATCGCAGACGAGGCACGGCCAAGCAGAATGACACGGGAGTTTGGTAAACGACCCCCATTCGTCCGACTGCCGGCGTGCTCGTCTGAGAGCAAACGGAGCATGTGGGGTTGTTAGCGCGCTGTGCGACACGATGAGAAAGATGGAGCTTACCAGTAATCGACAGGGTCCACCTCCTACCTCCAGTGCCAACCATCCAGAGCTCATGCGTCGTCCTGCACATGAAGGGCGGAGACTGGCCATGAGAGGAGGAAGAGCACAGAGAAGGAGGCGGAGAGGCCTGCTCTTCCACGCTTGATAACGGGAGTTTTTATAGTCTCGCGGAAGAAATGTCTCACTCCCGATTCTGCATTTGCGGAGCGCGGAGAGTGCGGGACTTTGGTCGAGTCTCAGCACACGAGCGATCATTCCGAGTTTCCCAAATGGAGACGGGAAATTTGGACTGAATCAACGTTGGGATGGACTGACTTGCGCACCTACTGCCCCCTCCATGCGCTACCCCTGCCGTCCCACAACACCTGCCATGCCGCGAGCTGAATCAGCACCGTCACCGTGTCGTAGATCACCACACGTGAGAGGGAGCACGCAAAAGTGTCCAGATGCGCGAGAGACACGCGTTCGGGCGCGTCGGTCTGTGAGTGAGTGATGCCGGGGCTCGTGAACGACAATGATCGGCGAGCCGGACGCAAGAAGTGGGACAGGTATTCTGGCGATGAGTCTCTTGTGGCCCGGGTACTCGAGAACTGCCGAAGTGGAGGCAATGAAGTAGCATTTGTGTGTCGATTTCGACAGCCTGCTTGCACCAAACCTTCGAGAATATGAACTCGATCGCGGCGGCCGTTGCTTGTACGGGCGCCGCACGCTGAGAACTCTACGACATTCCAAGTGATATTTTTCGTGTTCGACTTTCGGATCTCATAAGTGACCAGGCGTTTGCTCGATTTGAGTTCCATTGATCAGGGATTATAGACTATAGTCGTGGGGAAAGTGTGGGGAGGCGGAGAGTTTGTGACGCAGATCGTGTCACAAGCCTGTTTGATTGATCTTTGATCAAGGTTTATGATGCGCTCCGTCGGCGTGTGACAGTGGGAAAATGAAATAACACGGAGCCCCGTAAGCGGTAGGTGTGACGTCGGTAGGTGATAGCGGCGGAGAGAGCAGCGGAAGCGGATGGGCGCGGCTGGGCGTCGATGGCAGACCAGACGGGATGCTTGCTATATATCTGGCCCTGAGTCCGCTGTCACTCCCTTCTTCCCTCGCCTTGGGCTTTGTCTGGCTTGCTCGCTCGTTGTGGGACGCGGCGGCCTGGGTTCGGTCCTGTTGGAGCTCTTGAAGGTGATTGGCCGGATCAATTAGGAAGTGAGGCGGAAGATGGTCCCAGATACTGCCCAGCCGCATGAAGCGTCTGTGTGTCTTGGGTGCAGCTGTCCGTCTGGACTTTTTGGGCACTCGAGGCTCGCTCTCCTGCTGCGCGACTGCGCGCTGGTGCACAGGGGGGGACGGATCAGGTTGACCGACCGTATCATATCCACTGCCTCGTGGTCAAGTGATGCAGATGTCATTGACTCGGTGAATTGAGATCCTCTCCGTTTCTTGCCCTCTTCGCCATTGCAGTTCTCCAAGCGGAATGCCACCGGACACGACACCGGACTCGGCCGCACTCTTAAAGGAGCGGAGGTTCAAGCTGAGCAGGTGCGTCGTGCCTTGTGCGGCGGATTTACATAATTGAGACGAGCTGGGCAGGGCATGCGACCGATGTCGGTAAGCTCCCCGCGCCGCGCTGCGAGTCCCGGCTCACGCGCACGCACAGACGCCGGCGCATCAAATGCGACGAGGGTCACCCGTGCCAGGCCTGCCTCGCAGCGAACTCGGCGTGCACATTCGAGGAGCAGGGCAAACGCACGCACCCGCACAAGTCGAAGCGCACCGCAACGCTCGAGGACCGCATGCACCAGCTCGAGACGCTCGTGCAGGCGATCCCCCCAGCCGTCTTCGCAGCGACCATCGGTGGTGCGGCGCCAGGCGGATCGGGGATGGGCATGGGCGCCCCTGCGAGCCCCGTGGCGCCGTACACTGCATTCACGCTGCCGCTGGGCGTACCACCGCCTTCGCTACACAACTACCCCCTCACGAATCCATCGACACACTTTATGCCCCGGGAATCTAAGCAGGAAGAACGTGCGGGTTCGTGCTCGTCCGAGATGGGCGATCAGCTCGCGGAAGACACTTCTCGGCTGACGCTATCCGCATCCTACCTGTATTTCGACGACGAGGGGTTTACTCGGTGGCAGGGCGAGGCATCGGGCTTGCCGCTGCTGGATCTATTGGTCGAGCGACATGTGCCGTCGACGGCAGACACACCACCCAGCGTCCCGGCTGAGCAGGATTGGTTCCCTAATCGAACGGCTCGCCGCATGGATGTGAATCCAGAGACGACGTGGAGACTAATAACTTCATACATTCCCCCAGAGCTGATGGACAAGTGGGTGCCATGTCGCCGCTTGAATCTCACTGAGTGTGCTTCGCAGTCTCGTCCAGTGCTTCCTGTCTACATCCTCCTACATCCTCCCTTTCTTGCATGTCCCGACATTTCTCGGCGTGCGTTTTTTGACCCACAGCTGCGCGTCATGTGAGCTGATCGCCTCGTGCAGGACTACAGCAATCCTCAGAAGTGGGGAGAGCCGGGCTTCCCGATGTTCATTGTGGCGATCTGCTGCCTAGCCTCACGGCACATGGATGACCCCCGTGTGAGGTCTTCTCCCAAAGACGGTGTTTCGGCTGGAACACAGTGGTTCGAACTGTTCGAACGGCTTCGGATGATGCCGATAGCGGATCGCCCTACTTTATACACCATCCAGGCCAATCTCATCGCTGCTGTATATGCTGTCGGGCTGGGGAAACTGACGAAGGCGGCTGCGCTGCTGTCAGAGGCGATCACGATGTCCATCGACGCGGGTCTGCATCGGAGCGCGGACACGTACGATCTATTCGATGCGATCGAGGAGGAAGTCCGGAAGCGCACGTTCTGGTGTGTGTACATATGGGACAAGCAGCTTTCTGCCCACTTTGGCCGGCCCCCGATGCTCCGACTGCGCGACTGTGATGTCGGCGAGCCCGCGCCTGTGGACGATGAGTACATCACGCCGGAAGGCGTCGGTGCGCCCGCCGGTTTGCCTCCCGGCGCGCACTGCCGGATGGCCGCGTTCGTGGTCGCGTTGCGGATCCTGGTTGTGCTCGAGAGCGTACTGGACATCCCACCAGCGAGAGACACAGCTGGCGGGTCTTTCCTTCTGAGAGCTGCTTCCGTGCTGAGCAACCCGCGGCCGCGGCGCGAGCTCCGCGACGAGGAGACGCTGCTGGACGAGATCCACCACAGCATCCCGCCGCATTTCGCGCACTCCACCGAGACGCTGGCCAGCGAGGACACCATCCGCGTCACCCAGGCGGTGCGGCTTCACTGTGCAGAGCAGTTCGTGCGGCTGCTGATCTACCGACATCGATTCTCGGAGTTGGTGGCCGAACGCACGGCGCCGATGGATCCGATTGCGCGGCCACCGCAAAGCCAGGCCGAGCAGGATGCGATGGTCAAGGCGCATTACGCTGCGCTGCAGATCGTCACGTCCCATGTTCTGATCGCCAAGCGAGGGCTGATGACGTACTGTAGGCGGCTTTCTCGTGCCTGATGGTCCATCTAACCCCTCCCATAGATGGTGTACACGTGATTCACCAACTGACTCAGGCTGGTCGCACTTTGGTTGCGATCCTGCTCAACTGTCAAACAGAACCGCTGCAACCGTTGATACAGCCTGGTCTCGATGGCGTGCGATCATGTGTGCTGTTGCTTCGCCGGTTCAGTGGTCGCTATGTATGTGGCCAGCGGTCGGGGGATTTGATGGAAGAGTTCTGCCGACGTGCGTGACATCGACATCTCATCCGGTTGCCTGGTTTCTCATGTTTCTTCCTCAGTGACCCAGATTCCGCTGGGAGAGCCACCCGAAACGAACGGGAACCCTAACGCGCGGCCCCCTTGGGTGCGGCCCGTGCGCAAAAAGTCGGTGGCCATGAACGCCATTACGTCGAGAAGCTCTGAAGGCTCGAGCCCGGATGCAGACCGCGTCTCTGTGCAGGCGTTCGACGCCGACTACGTCTCCTCTCTCTCTGTCGATCCGCTCGCGCTGTCGGTGGACACAGACCCGCGGATGTTGGCGGATGTGTTGGCCATGTTTACAGACAGCTCACCCACGGATGGGAGTCAGATGTTCCCAGCGGACGAGTTTGATGGGGCATTTGGTGCTGCGGGATTCAAGATGGGGCTCACTTCACCTTGATCATTCTGTCTTCTGGTTTACTTATCGCGCGCGCATGTATCTACTACTACTATTTGGAATGTAAAGCATCCTGTTGATTATCGCTCATTGTTTTGCTGTCTGTCGTTCACGGTGGAGAATTTCCGAATATCAGGCACACGCTCAGGCGTGCGCATGCGCATCAGACGGCGCACAAAGACCTTGCCTAATCCGACACCAATATGCCTTTTGGGGATATACCGCTTTAGGCGAGACAAAGAGGCTTCCCCATTTGTATACCTGCCAGACAGCGGGCTGCAGTCACCCTTTTTGGGAAAACATGGATGCATACTTCCTGGGCCGCCGATGAGTCGTCTGCGTAGGCCAGTGGAGAATTTCCCAGTCGTCGTAGAATATTCTGGGAGACCAGCTGCTCGGTAACCAATGCAACTGCCAGATAAGTAAGCTGGCGCCGAATTCTTTCAGCTTACCTCCCTTGGCAAACACAATAAACGAGCGCCGATCACACACCAAAACGGGAAATGACTGTTGCCTCATCATCATCAATCTCTTTTGTCTCGTAGATACATCCCGGGGCCAGGGTTCTTCTGGCGGGAGACACAAAGAGGATGTGATCTACTTAACGACCCCCCTCCTGCTCTTTCCCGGGCCTTGCTTACCCGCACACCCACGCATCTCACCATGACCCCACCCTCCCCAGACGCGCCGCGCCGCCGCCCGCCCATCGACGCCCTCCCTACTGAGCTGCTCGCCTACATCCTCACCCTCGCAACGCACGCCCCAGACGCCGAGCCCCGCCCCGCGACGGTGCCGGACCCGGAGCAGGAGGGCGGCGACATGTGCACGTACCAGCCGTTCGACGCCGCATCCGTCAAGCGCCCACTGCGGTACGCCGGGACATGCCGGCGCTGGCGCGCCGTGGCGTTTGACACCCCGCTGCTGTGGACGAACATCTGCGTGACGCCGGACATGTTCGTGCCCGGGTGCCCCGCGGACGGCGGGGACGAGGTGCTCGATACGCGCTGGCTCGAGCTGTACTGCCGCCTGTCGCGCAATCGGGCGCTGGATATTCTCATTGATGGGCGGGATATGGAATGGAGGCATGCGGATCCGAGGTGCGTTCCCGCGTCTCCTGTTGATCTCCTGTGTCCCATACCGTTGTTACAGATGCTACACTCCGTGGTTCACGACAAACCACATGACACACGCGCTATCTGTGTTGCTACCGCACCTCGGCCGGTGGCGCTCCATCTCAGTGCTTACGGACGTCTACAGCCCAATGCACGTCGCCTTAAAAGCGCTGGATACATTTCTCGTTGCCTACGGCGCGCCGTTTCTAGAGAGCATACGACTCATGCGATGCGATGCCTACGCAGCCTTCAGCAGAGACTCTCCTGTCTCAGATCCAGCGCAGTTGTTTCTTGCCTCGGCGACGAATCACAGCGGATTGCTCCCGTCCTTGCGCCACCTGACGATGCGGGGCGTGCCGGCTTGCTGGTCGAATGTTGCTGCTCAACTGACCGATAAACTCTGTTCGCTCGAAATATCACACCTTCCTCGACCGGCTCAGCCGACAGTAACAAACTTCGTCGCTCTCCTCTCCGCAGCCAAAAACGTGTCGCGCCTGGTGATGAATGGTGCCGGACCCTCACTCCAAGACGTTGGCCAGGACTTCCTAGACTCGGCGCCGATCGGCCCGTCGCTCCCCCTCCTCTCGCACGTCGTGCTCGGTATCCGCAAAACAGCGGTCGGATTCGCCTTGCTCCACATGCTGCACGGTGCGCCGAAAATGCATCATCTGACGCTGGAGGATGCATCTGACCCGGCCGAGCGCTGGTCGGTTGACTGCGCGCCTCTGATCGCGTTCCTCCACCTGCGACCCAACGGGGGTTTATTCCCGACGCTTGCGGAGCTGAGACTGCGCCGAGTGCGGTTCGGCGGGCCGGTTCCTCCAGGCGCGCATGTGCCGTATTTGGAGCTCATTAGTGTCGAGCCGAATGCGCTGGATGTCCAGGCCGACGAGGTGTGCATCCGAGGCCCGATACAGCTCCCGAGACGGCCGCTCGCTATGTCTATCGAAGACTCGTGCGACATGGTGCAAACGACGTGTCTAGGAAAAGGCGACAAGGCACCCCGCTTGGTTACCGTGCACGAGTTCGAAGGACCAGACGGCGACGGCTTGCGAGAATACAGAACTTTCGGCAGCACGGAGATGCGCATCGTCACGAGAGCGTCTCGATGTACAGAGTGGTGGGAAGAATCCTCGAATGCACCGTCCTCCGACAGTGAGGAATCGGAAGTGGGCTCATCCAAGCTCAGGCGGGGGAGTGATCCATACAAATTGGACTGGCCATTAGAGCTGCATTGATACTGTATTATTAGTCTTCGTTTTCGAGTACTGGTATGTGCCCGAGTGCCCCGGATTGCACTGGGCTTTTCGAATGATTTTCATGTTCGCGCGATGTCGCTGTTATCAGTCGTCGAAAGCGACAGAGGTTTCGTTTTAGAACGCGCCGACGCCGGATCTCGCCAGACGTCAGGTGGGTCCCTCAACCCGGCACAGCTGCCAGTTTGCGGAGACGTGGAGAGAAGCGGGTGCCGGAGATCCCGCCTGTGCCTATCTCCAGCGACTCGCGGCGGAACTGCAACTCCCGGCTGGGAATGCCTGGCACATCGCGTGCGCGCAGCAGTCTCCGCCAATCCTCGTCCTCGTCATCGTCTCTGCTGCGTTGATGCCTAGGCATATTTGAAGAGGCAGGGGTGCCGCGTGGACGGGGTGCCGCCGCGCGTGTGTATCGGGGGTCCTGGACCATGGAAACACCAAGGCGTGGGGCAGTCATCCGCTCTGGAGACATCGACGACGGGTCGCGCATGGAAGACGATGAAGTAGAAGGGGATTTCGACAGAGCTGGCAGGTATGCAGGATAGGTTGTGCGACTTGGCAGGTAATGGTCTTCGGACTGGTTCAGTATCTGTTACGCGCTCCCGTTCAGATACAACGCACCCGTCCTGAGTCCTATACTGGGCCTTTCCCGTACATGGGGGCGCGCAAGCTGTCGCTCTTCGGCGGCATTCCTGCTGATCAACTTCGTGTTTTGCACAGGCTCCGGGGGCCCAAGGAGCGCTTTGGACAGCGGCTGCGCGGGCGGAGCCCCAGAAGGATTGTCTTCGCAGATGAGCCGTGCGAGGAGAAGGGACTCCTTCCGGATTGTCCGTATTTCCTTGCGCCGCATTCGTTTCGTGTGTGCGGCCTGCAGAGACGCCAGCTTCTCGGGGCTGTCGGCCAGGTGGTACGGGAGTTGCGTGCGTGTGAGGGGGAAGAGCGGTAGCTTCGGCATGCTCGTTTGTCGAGAAAGGGTGCGGAGAGTTCTTGCGTTCCAAGTAGCCGAAATCAGAGCCTTGATTCGGACCAAATGGAAATGGTTGCGTCGGAGTCGAACTGGTGACCGGATCTTTACTGGGCAAGCAAGGACATCCAACGTCACAATCACCATCACATGCCTATAAAACCCAGTTGCTTTCACCGTTCCAGCCATGCCGAGAGTGGATTCCTTGGAAGCTATTGCAATGCGCCAAAAGCAGGCTAATTCTGATCATACCGAGTCGAAGTCTTGGAAGGCCGCCTGGGATGAGGAATGTACATGAAACTCATTTCAAAACTTCGTTGTGAGGCAGATCATGGTGACTATCCTGGAATAAGATAGATTGCATGTTGAACGATGTGCAAGATTGTGGTAGTCAAATTATAAGCAGACTTGCAGGACCCGAAGCTTATTCCACGTGATCGTGTTACTTAGTCAGCGTCAGCGGCCGAATGACTGGTCGCATACTGGTCCAGAATGCGGACTTTGGATTTGAATTCATTTACATACATTGTACACCCAGACTACGCGTGATCAAAGCCCAAAGGCGACAGTCTGGCATCCATACATCTCCGATATCACTTTCGCGTTTCCGCCCTCTCCAGCTCCAGCAGCAACATAGATCGGCACGAAGTGCTCTTCTCGGGGGTGCGATGCCCGGAAGCCGCGGTGCTTCACGAGGTTGGCCATGGCCTGCTTCCGTGCCGTTTCCTGTGAGAAACCCAGTCAGTGCCCGCGCTTGAATAGCACAGTACGTCCACTCACATCTTCGACGGTCAGGGCATCCATGACGGCGCGGTCGAACGCGCGCTGGTCGTCCGACGCGGAGAACACGGACATGGACGTCGGCTGCCGCAGGTTGTGCGCGGTGAGCCCGCCGCTGAGCACGAGGATCCCCTCCTCCCGCAGCTTCGCCACGGCTTTGCCGAGCGCCCAGTTCGCCTCGGGCGTGAGGCTCTCGTCGATGGAGACCTCGACGATCGGGATCGACGTGAATTCGTCCCCGAACATCATGCGGAAGGGCACGAACACTCCGTGGTCGAGCCCGGGGCCTGTGCAGACGCGCGTCAGTGGCGCGGCGTTGGGGGATTGGCAAGTCAGGTACTTGCCTGCGAAACCTCGCCCATCTTGCCCACGGCTCTCCGTCTTCGGAGTCAGACGCGCGCGTTGTCCCGCCTGAGGGACGTCAGAGGCGGGTGGGGTGCGAGGGTGGAAGGACTGACGGCTTTGTACAATTCGACGACCCGCTCAGAGAGAGCCTTGTCTCCCTTAGATACAAACTTGAGCTTGTACATGACGGGATCGAAGCCCTGAAACAAGTCAGTCGCTCCGTCCCAGAGAAGCCGAGCACCCCGTCGCGTGAACGCACATAGTAATCCATCAACAGCGGGTTCTCGTCACCGTAGTCGGTCACTGCGAGAGACCGTGAGCGGGGTCGGAGAATTGCCGCGTAGCACACGCACCGAGACGTTCTCCGTATGTTTCCCAATGCGCGCTGAACACGACAATGCCTTTCGGCTGGTATTTCTTGAGTAAAGCCGGCCCGAAATCCTGCCGACATGGTCAGAAACGTCCGAAACTGCGATCGCAAGGCCAGGCTCACCTTAAGGAACGTGGCAAGCGGACCCTTCGGACCTGCCCATCTAGACAAGAGCAATCAGCAAACCACAGCCCATGCAGACGTAAGTACGCCAATAGACGAGACGCACTGTACAACGGACGAGAAGCGCGACTGGGAGTTATCTTTGTCCTCCGGGAACGCCATCAGAGGCGACCCGTGGCCGAAGAAGAATGCCGGGATCTTCTCGGGCGTGGCCGGCAGCGCGTCCAGATTCGTCTTCCACTGCGCCTGCAGTTCCTTCGGATCCGTGATGAAGCCGGCGACCATAGCGTGGGTGGTGCGGGATCGAGCGTGTGGGTGTATGAGAGTGTTTGAGAGGCGCTTGCGGAGGGCTGCGCCGAGTGACGTTATCGTGGAGGTCGGGTGCTGCTGCTAGAGAGGATGAGGGTCCGAGCTGAACGCGAGCTGCTTAAGTAGTTTGAGTGGGCGGCGCTCGTAAGCGCGATTAGGCCAGCTGACCAAGGGTGACATTTTCTAGGCTTCCCGATTAAAAAGAAGAAGGGGTAGCATGACAGCAGAGTAATTTGAAGACGACTGCGGTCGGATGAGCGAGAGGGATTCGGGGCTTGAGAGGTGGAGGTGTACTGGGATGAAAGATGGGTGGTCGCTCAAGGTGCTTGACTGAGGAATGCGATCCAAATAGCACACAACACTCGATCATCCTAACACTGGCAGGACGTACCTCAATGCTACCTCCTGGGTCCGCGGCTCGCACTGAACGTAGGCGTGACATACCAAGACGCAGATATTTACCTCATCGCAACGTCTCCAGTCGACGCTTCTGGTCTTTACTCTTTCTCGATCACGCATTTCAAGAAGAAATCTGGCATCGATGCAGCAGCAGCAATTGTACTGTACAGACAGCAATGACAGTCGATCCTACCCCTCCTGGGTCTCAGAGAATGGCGCACCCAGCTCCCGCAGCATCTATCGCAGCGGTCTCATTCTCAGTCAACACTAAACGACATGGTCGCCAGGCAGTCTTTGTGGCACTTTCGTGGCTGAGAAATATGGACCCAGGTCTCCGGCGGCAATATATATATCCCTCGAGACTGTGCTTCTTAGAGCTTGTGCTGGAAGAGCCAGAGCCAGTCAAGATCGCGAGCGGCGCGGAGGCGAAAGAACGGTTATGTGATCATCACCGTGCCTTTGCTTTCGCGCAGGCCAGTAAGACCTGATCGCCAGTCACACCCAGCGTCGTTGCAGCGGCCGCCACTGGCTCTCCGACGGGGCCACCGGGGAAATACGTGATGGGTTTGGGGTGTGATGTCGCTCAACTCGGCAGGGCAGACGATGGCGGCCAACGCATCTCAGGGCCCTGTAGGCTTCAATCGCGATTCCGTGTTTCTTCGAGAAGTCCATCGTCGTGCGCTGTTGCTCGTAGATGTGTGGATGCAGCTCGGTCTATGCGGAGCTTGTCAGCTCTCAGCGCGCAGCAGCCACTGATCTCTCCGCACCTGATTCACTGTAGGTTTCACGGCGGCCGCGGTGAGCAAGAGCGCGAGGTGCTTATCGGTTAAGTTGCTGACACCGATGATCTGCGTGCAGCGTTGGCCCAAGCAACTGATGATGGAATCCATATCTCGAATGAGCGCGCACTTTGCACGACCCTTCGCGTCCATCGGCTCCAACTCTCCCGGATAGGACGCTAGTCCGGCGGAGCCAGGCGAGGGAAGTGGATGAGGCACAGATTCACATACTGCAAACTCCTCTGCAGTGACTCGGCGTGCGGATGAAGGTACAACCACTCACGTATGAAGCTTCCAGGTCCCCAAAGCAAGACTCAGATGGGAAATTTTCGGCCTGAGCGCAAAGGTCTATATTACGAGGGCGAGGAGATTCTTGGGTCGGGTTTACCGTCGTTGAGTTCGGCGTCTGTCCGAGGCATTTGAGGGAATGTGAAGCCAAGAGCGAAAGGCTGCAGCATTGGGAGCGAGGACGGTGGACCCGTAGCACCTGATCTTATCGCGATTCTGATGGAGAGATGTGAGAAGTGGCATTGATTACAAGACACTGTCTATCCGCTCAGACTTGTCTACTTCGTACAACACCTCGGTTCTGATGACATACTTGGCGCCCCGAGCGACGCCGCTGCCCTCGTGCAAGAGGCTGCCCTGCGCCGCACCGTGAGGGAACACACAGACAGCGCCCATCCTCGGGCGGACCGGCCGCGCCTCCAGGATGCCGGTCTGCGCCGACGGAAGGAAGAACGTCGTGCACCCGCCCTCGAAGTCGTCGTTGAGGTAGATCAGGAACGTCAGGCGGGAGTAGACCGCGGGATCCGAGTCGTAGACGTAAGCCGGCGGAGAGACGCTTTCGTCTAGCCCCGAAGCTGGCCAGGCGCCGTCAATCTGGGCTCGGAATCAGCAACCGAGAGCTAGTGCGCAAAATCTCTGCACTCGCATGTGGCCGGTAGAGCGCCCCCGGCGTGTAACGGTACAGCCGGAAGCGCCGGTTGATGCCTTTGACGGCACCGCCGTGGATCGAGGCAGGCAGCAGCGGCGCCACGCGGCTGTACAGCGTAGAGATGAATTCCGCGTCGGCCAGCCAGATGAAATTGTGCGCGAGGATCGACGCGAGCTGCGTGGCGGATCCGGACGTCGGCTCGTCCGGCACCATGCCGACTCTCTCCGCCGCCTCGACGAGCGCGGTGCATTCGCACGGCTCGAACACATCGTTGATGATGAATGCACCTGTTCGCGGAGCGTCAGCCCGGGCCGTTCGACACGCGGTCCGTCGGGATCTCACCAGGCACGCCGTCGACGTCAAACCGTTGCGGCGCCCGCGCACGGCGCTCGGGGGGCAGCAGGGGGAACGTATCTGGTGGAGAGTAGTACACAATCGCCGGGTGTTTGTTCGGCGGCCGTCGTTCGGGCCCTGACGTCGTGTTCAGCGGGGCGATGCGCGGCACAGGATCGACAGCGGCGGTTGGAGCGGCAAACGGAAGATCGGGCGGTTCGCGCGAGAACGGCGGGTACCACCTTAGCTGGCTGCCGGCGTCGAGCGTGCCGCCGGTGCTGGGGCCCGCGGCGATGCAGTCGGGCTGCGTCGTGCGGAGAATCGCGCACAGGACCTTCCATACGAGGGCTTCCTCGTCTTTCGGCGTGGAGGGAGACAGAACGGCGTCACATTCCCGCACCCAGCGCTGCAGCGCGCCGAGCTTGGGCATCTGGCCCCGGATTTCCATCTCGGAGAGGAGGACCAGCGCGTCAATGTGGCGCTGGTCGACGAGTGCGGATGAGACCCGCGAGACCAGAGACGTGCCTTCCGGGAGTATGGCACTCAAACAGTGCACAGCGAGATGAAGCTCCGCACGCACCAGTAGATGAAGCCTCGTTGGCTATCCGCCAGTAATCGTGCACTGCCGTGCGAAATCCCTTCAACGCCTTGAGGTGAATGAGCTCAGGGTGGTTTTTGAGTGTGACGAGCGTCTCCGTCGTGGTGTCCAGCTCGTCCGAGAAGATGAGATTGCCGATCTCCGCGCCGTCGCAGGGCGGAGACACCTTTGATACGCACACAATCCCTGCAGGCTGGGTGGCCTCTTTTTTGAGTTTCTTGGAGAGAGATTCGGGCTGGTCCTGTGTAGACTTTCTTTTCTTGCTCTTTGCCATCGCGCTCGGGGTAATTGAATGGATGCGCTGCGAAAGACGAGAAGCTGGAGTTCAGGGATTCGACACTTGGCCTAGATTGGATCATTGATCGGTCTCGTGATTGACGGATGATCGACAGCACGCACATCCCAAACAACGCGTCTTTTCGTTCGCGCCGCGGAACGCCAGAACTCCGGGCTCAGATCCCCCTACCATCATGCCGGACGACGTGGACGTCGCTGCGCCCATGGCGCCGATCTACACCACGCTCGTGGTGCCGATGATGTCCTGCGCGCCCTCGAGCACCTCCTTCCAGTGGTCTGCCGACGGACAGGCCTGCTTCTTCACGAAAACGGCGCTCTACATCATGGTGCGTCCGTCCGCAGTACATCGAGGCACGGGTTGCGGATAGCCGAGCGTCAGACCCCCGATCACGGGCTGAACTACGACCCCGCGTCCGCGGTGAAAATCACAACCAAGGAGAACCCGCCGGGAACCGAGCCCGTGGGCTGGTATCGCACGCAGCTGGGCCTCGACAACCCCGTGGACTATCTATGGCCGGACCAGTCGCGAGGTTCGTCTCCGATTTGGGCTTTACCGGTGTTGATTGTTTTCTCCCCCAGATTGGTGTGCGCTTGTCCTGGGCCAGGTCGATATGGCGATATGGGCGATCGCGATATCGCCCAGCAGCATCTCGCCCCAATCTGGGTTGGTGGTTGGATTTGTGATGGCGTCTGTGCGAGCTGATGCGTCGGCAGATGTGTCGTCGCCGCGCTCACGTCCAGTATGGACTTTACCCTGTGGGTGGCGGGGCGAAACGGACTCAAGGGCGGGTGGCTCAAAGTGCTCTGTTTCTTCTAATCAATTTGCATATTCCTGAAACCTTTCAGATCTGCGACGTGACGCCTCTGCTTTTGGACTATTTCTCGAGCGAGGCGGATGAGAAACTGCGGGCTCTCAAGTCTCAGATCACAAGTGGGTGCTTCGTGGATCCCCGCAATGGAAAACGTCTGATATTCATGCACATTTGAGGTATAAGGTGGTCTTCCCAGACCGATTTTGGTTTAGTCCCAGCACCACTGCAAGACGCTTCGCTCCTTATCGCCGGGAATCGAGTGGGCACCCTAATACTCCTGCGGTGCGATAATATTTCACCCAAGTGTCTGAAAGCTCACTTTGTTCGCGCTCCAGGTACAACAAAAACAGAGTGGATGTGCTCCAAACTCGCGCGGCAGCAGACAGTTGGATCGTGAACCTGGCCATATCCAACTGGAAGTCTGCGGTGCAAGGCACAAGTGCTTCTCAATCCCGTCTGACATGGAGCAGACGAGCTTATGGTTTTCCAGGTGACGCGCTCCTGGCTTATGCGACGGAAAATGGCGTGGTCGAGCTCCAGAAGGTTCGACAGACTTTGGTGCAACAACTTGGGACGTCGTCCTTCGGAAACTCGTTTGCCATCGACGTCATGTTCGACGATGGTACGGTCAATCTTTGTGCACGCGACCATCGACCCTGCACGACACTTGAATGGTTCAATATTGCAGGTATAGTGGGTGATCTTTCATTTTGTTTAGTATCTTTTCCTTCTATCCCTTCCAGCCAACGCTGTTTTTCGCTAAGCCAGGTGTTGTATATCTTTGGCGCGAGACCGCGCCCGATCCTGGCAGCTGGAGCGGAATCCGGTCTTTTTTCATACACCGCCCGCCTAAAACCTCAGCAGCACAGTCACCGTTTCACCCCATCGCTGGCGTGCAATACATCCGGCGAAAAGACGCACTTCTGATCTGCCTGGCCGATGGAACATTCCATGTGCTGCATCACGTGACGGTTGAACCGTCGTGGACGTCTCTGAACGCAGACGAATCGGTCACGACAGACAAGTTGTGTCACGCGGCCCGGCTGATTTTCGAGCGGGTCGAGCAGCAGCAGACGAACAAGCAGACGGTGAACCGAATCAGCGGGATGACGTCGCACGACGGGCATGCGACTGTCGCCTGGCTTCACGAGTGAGTGCGCGTGTTCTGACGAGGGACGAGATCCGGAGGCCTGAGCGTTTATTCCAGAGCGACGCGACCGGGTGACTACAGCTACAAACATGATGCAAAGCACCAAAGCTTTTTCGTCGTCGCCAAATTGTGGGACGATGACGGCGACAGCGACGACGCGCTGACAACCCAGCTCTCGGAGCTGCTTTATTCTTGCCGAGTTGGTGAGTGGTCACAGACGACGGGTGGGATTTTTATTTATCTCTTTCCAGGCCAAGGACTGTCTCCTGCGTCCCTCCTTCGGCCCATCTTCTTCGATCTCACGAAACGGCGTCTGGAGAGACTGCATTCCCGATTGCTGGACATCATTAAGCCCAATTTCTCCGACCATTCCTCTGGCATCTCGATCCAAGCGTGGGACGGCGAACTCGGGCCGGTGGTACGAGAGGAATTCAAGCAGAGCCTGAAACGGCATTTGTTTGGTTGGAATGATCTGCTGTCGCTCCGTTTGCGGCTGGCAGTCGGCGATTTTGTTTGGGTAGGCCGTTGTTTGCTCTTTGCCGCTTTCTGACATTGACGCCGTGGATTTGTGGAGAAAATGTCGACTTCTGAGGAAAAACAGAGCCAATGTGGATTGGTCGCTCAGACCCTGCTGAACAACATCTCACATCGTGTGCTGCGGACCCTCATCCGGCACATTACTCCCGTCGTCAGTTGTCTCAAATGTTTGTTCCTTTCCTCGTTCTTATGCCGTGATCACTGATAATCCCAACCAAAGCGAGCGACGTTCCGTTTGTGTTGCGTCTCGTCGTCCAGTCATTCCTGCCCGGCTCCCCGCCCGATCTCGTTGCCGAGGGCGAACAACTCTCCGCTGCCATCAAAACCGCTTCGTCAGACTTGGACGTCCTTACGGGACTCAACGAGCGCTGCCCCGCCTGCAAAGCCGATATCCCGCTGCAAGACATCACGTCCGCGCAGTGCCCCAATGGGCATTCCTGGTGTACGTGCTACCACTTCCTTGCTTCTCGTCCAGTTACCCAATGAAAAATAGTGAGGTGCTCGATCACCACGTTCATACTGGCCACGTCGTTCGTGAGGACGTGTGTCGGGTGCAGCAGAAAGGCGTTCCTGCCGCTCGCGAGTCAGAACGAATACACGTCGCACGGCGGCGCGGGTGCCAATTGGTTGCCAGAAGCGGGCCGCGGATGGGTCGTCGAGGAGATGCTGGAAGCAGTCAATCGGTGCTTGTTTTGTGGGAATAGCTTTGTTAGTTTGCTGTAGATGGGACGGGTTCTTATCAGGACCTACTGCAGCGGTTTGAGATCGGGCAGCCTTGGCATCGATGCTTGTGAAGACGTGAGACAAGATCGCAAGTTACTGCGACCTCCAAGTGCGATATTTCGCATCTTCAGCGACTTCCCATTGAGGCCCAGCTTTGTTTTGCAACTGGAATGCCCTAAAAGTCGTTTGTGACTGCAAATCATCTCGGATCACACAGCCGAGCTGCCTAATCAAGCCTATATCTACGGATATCGCCGAAACCCTCGTCATTGCTACCCTCCCATCTGCTTTGTACCACCACATTCCATCGACTCCTTTTCCTCCATCTTTTCCATCTTGACGAATCATGTCCTGGCAAAGTCAGCCCGATCTCCATCGCCGACGCGTCGCGCACCTCCTGACCTCTCCCTCCTCCCACAGCATACGTCGACACTAACCTGGTGGGCAGCGGCAAGATCTCCAAGGCCGCGATCGTAGGGCAGCAGGGCGGCGTGTGGGCGACCAGCCCCGGGTTCGAGGCACGTATCCCTCTCTCTCTCCGCGTTTCGCGTGCGATCCTCACCCGCGCGCGCGCAGCTCTCGGCCGAGGAGCAGAAGGCCATCACCGCGGCGCACAACAACACCGACAGCGTGCTCGCGTCCGGCGTACGGCTCGCGGGCACCAAGTACTTCGCAACGCAGGCGGACGCGCGGAGCATCTACGGAAAGAAGGGGGTGCGTGTCCTCCCACCCCCCTCTCTCTCACTCTCATTCCTTTGTTTGATCGTGCGAGCTGACTGCCCCTCGTGTCTAGGGCGACGGATGCGTGCTCGTGAAGACGAAGCAGGCGATTCTAGTCACGGAGTACGTGCTGCCGGCCCAGGCTGGAGAGGCTGTGAAAGTGGTCGAGGAATTGGCCGACTACCTGATCGGCGTCGGCTACTAGAGCGCGTTTCGCGATGGAACGATCGCGTTAATGGAGTCCGAGGTGGTGCTTCCCCGTCACAAAGAATAGCCTGTATCTTATCACAACCTGCATCGTCGCTGAATACCGCATTATCGTCTGTCTGAGTCACTTCGTTTTGACTTGCCGCGAATGCAGGAGCCATTTGCTTGCTTGCTTGCTACAGGAAATCCGACCATTTGCCGAGCCCGACTTAGACCCAGTGTTCGGGCGATGATGTACCATTCATTAATGTCCGTCCAATCAAGAAGGCCAGTCCTACATCGTGACAGCCATCGAGAGTCGGCAAACTTTCGCAAAATTAAAACTCGGAAGACGCTGGTAACAAGAACCTGATTCATCAATCGCGAAACATCGATGACGAGTTTCAAAAACGCCGGCCAGACGAAGGGCTGTCGGGCCGGCGCCTGTTGGCCGATCTCCTCGATCGCCGCCTCTCCTTTGCCGAGAAGATCCGCAAGCCTGCCTGGAATTTTCTCGATGCGAGTGCGTTCTGCAGAATGAAATGCACGTTCTTGATGGGAAACGCTCCGTCGGTGTCTCAGGGAGACTGGCTGAAGAGGCATGGCGGCGGCTCAAAGCATCCAGTGTCCCAGGTCGAGCGTCTCGTCTGCACGAACCCCGGGAGAGCGCGTCTTGAGTCTGGATTTTGCTGCAGACGATGCGTATGAGCTTGCACAGCGACCGCGCCCAGGCCGGGAAGATGCTAGTCTTTCGTATCCTGACGTCTTAAAGAAGGATCAGACATCAGTTCAGCTTTGGAAAACGCGTAACGCGCACCGGCGGCGTTGTGTAGTGTTCGCCCTGTGAGGTCGGGAAGAGCAGTCAGGAGGAGAATCCTACTTTTGGACAAGCGGTGCTGGTTAATCGAACGGACGGAGCTGCTTGAAGTAGGGCCGCTTCATCTCTGTGCAGGGTTTGTTGGTCTGGAATGCTGGCCTGATTTATCAACCAGTCTCGCGTATTGCCTGCCGACGTTGCTGAAGCTGGCATACCATTGGAGCATCTGCGTCGAGAGCTCATGTCCCGCCGAAGAAATGGTGGATGAATAAGAGCTCATTCGTTAATTTTCTTCCTCGTCTTGGAACTGGGCGCCATTGAACTCCAAGAGACTGTGGTTGATTTCCGGATGACGCCCAGTTCCTTGAAAAAAATCTGTCAGAATGTGTAGAGCGAGAGTACCCGCGCAATGGTGCATGACGTTTCTCTCTGTGACGACTAGAAAAAGTGCTTGCAGAATGCCAGTGGGTGAAGCCGCCAATCGTCCCAATCTTCCCTGCGAGATGGATTAGAGGCTGGCCGTCACACTGTCTCCTGGAGCTCCAGAAGTTTGCTGCAGGATCTCAGCAGCTGGAAAGAAATGAACGCTGTGAAGCCAGAGGTGTCGAAGTGCCATCTCATGGGCTGGCATGATCTTGGACCTGGCTGGAGAGTGGTGACAGCATGCTGAGATAACCCCATATCGCAAAAAAGTGGCTGATAGAAAATACCTTCAGCCTCCACTCATATGATATTGCCGATTCCTTGTGGAGTTTCTCTTCAAATATTGAAAAGCACGTCACCCCTTCGCCTGGGATGGCGTTGATATCCTCCGATTTGGATGGAGGATTTGAGCGCGGTGAGCGCGTACCGAGACTGGCCGAATCCTGTGAACATCCGGATTTCTTCGAGCTAGAATCGGACAAACTGGTTAATCTGGACCGTTGACATGGTGCGTCACCGAGGACGCATGTGTTGTCATATTCGGAAGCCATCGTAAGTACTCAAGTACATGTTAGCCGATCTTCAACAACACGGCTGATTGATTGTACAGGTCCTTTCCCTACTGTACAAGGAATACACTTTGAGAGATGGAGAGCAGGTTTTCAGTGGCGTAATGACTTCAGACTCAGCATGGATATATCCACGAATGCGTCGAGTAATGAAGGTACCACGAAGGGATGTTGGCACTCCTTCCTGATATCGTCAACAACAGCTTCGGCGTCGCGCCGCAGCGCTCGTTCAGATTCCAGCTCGGACTCCAGATTTTGTATCCGAGCTTTCGTTTCTGTGGGAAAACAAGTTGCATTGAGCTGAACGGCAGAGCTTTCACTGGGGAGAAGAAACGGACCCCAATCGTCGCTGGCACTGGGTTTGACATCCGCGTCGTCAAAGCCCATCGTGTGGAGGAGAGCCAACAACTCGCGCTCCCTCGCGCTTGCAAGGTTCAACCGCCAGCGCACATCTCGAAGCTGGCGGCGGATGCTCTGGACATCGAGACTCGCCAGGGGCGGGGATGTGGGCATGGGTAATGGTGTCACCACCGGTTTGGGGGGGAGACCATGCATAGGATGATGATATTCGGACCACCCAGGTGCACTCGGTTCGTTCCACTGAAATGGTTTCCTCTCCTGGAAGGGGGGCCGAAGATCGACTGAATGCTAAGCTCGTTGAGATCATTCACTGAGGCTGGGAACTGCGACTGACATGATGTTGTCGGTCCTCACCCTCGTCATCGTAGCGAGCGCGCTTCAGCTGGAGGAAGACTCATGGGTAAATGAGAAGCGGAAAGAAGAGATGTACATACTGGGCGCCCTTCCGCCTGGACAATCGGAATCGGTGTCTGTCGGAGTCACTTGAGATCAATGGGAAGCACGATCTGTAGCGCAATTTATTCACCGGCATCTGATCTTTCGGGCTCCATCCCGCAGAGCCCAGTGCCAAACGCTACGTAGGATTTCACACTTGAGAACAGAAGTTATCACAGAGGCCGTGCAATTCTCACCTCGTATTCATGAGCTTTCGAGTCCAGGAACGGAGCGAACGGGGCAGCGGGGGTCGGGGATGGTGTGGGCAAGTTCGACTGCGCAACCGTACGAATGAGATCTCACACCCCGCCATGGATATTCGAAAGACCAGATACCTGGTGCATCCACCCGTCCCTCCCAGATTCCTGGCTCGGACCGGTCGGAATCTTCCCCGCATGAGGTTTACCTGTCTGAACGAGGCTAGCCATAGGGCTCGTGAGAACGCATGGAGGCCAACTGAGATCGAGCATACCGAGCATCCACAACCTCTGGAGCTTCTGCGAGGAAGATTGTAGCACTGCGAACCGTTCAGCGCCCGTCCCAGCCAGTGCCGTGCGCGTACATGGAGCGCTTGTCTCGCATGGACCGCAGGTCATCGTAGTTCTCAGTAGTTTGTTTGAAGCGGCTCTTTAAAGTCTTGTGTATCGCCTGACAAGAGTGACCTCTGCATCAGAATCCAGACACAGGATGCATGTACGGCCGGAGAGCGACTCACCGAGTTGGGTAGGGCAGTCCAGAAGAAGCGGACACGCCCCGGAGAAAGGACTTGGAAGTTCGACCTTTTTGGATGCGGAGCGCCCATGGACGTGAGATCTGCAGCCCGTCATTGACCTGCTCCCTCAGAGTCACCCGGCATGGTGGAAGCGGAGCATGCCTTTGCGCACGACATTCAGGGCTTCCTCGTGGTCCTCGATCTGGGCTTTGGTGCCCTTGTAGGTGATGCTGACCGTCAAGCGGAGGGGTGAGACCATGCAATGGTAGAAGCAAGCAGACGAGGCATAGCCCGAAGGAGTTAGTTTGCATCACAGGTAGAATCAGATTGGCCCATGCAGAGACATTATTGCACAATTACAACACATTACTACTGTAGCAGTACATTAGCGACTCTCGCCGAATCCGATATCTGTAGCCATCCCCTCCTCGCCGACCCTCTCCATCTTCTGTGGCGCTGACCCATCATCTGCGGACTTCATAGCATCTCCCTCATGACCACTGTCAAATGTCCGCTCCACGTCCGGGACATCGCTCAGCCACTCGTGTTGCACTAGATCTCCGGCGCTCATCCGCTTCTCGGGCTCCAGCTGAAGCATAGGGACCAGGAAAGAGGCGATGGCAGCCGCGTCCTCCGGCGGGAAGAGATACTTGTCGTGCAGGACAGATGACAGCGGCCATGGTCGCAGGTTCTGGATGTGGATGAGATTGCCTAGAGAGGAAAGCATGAGCCGCAGTCCACCGGAGTGGAGATAGAGCCGGGACCTTTCGCGTCGAAAAACTCGTTGGACCATCGCCCGGATTTGCGGATGCGTTCGGGAATCTCCCCCATAAGCTCGATGATCTGGGCAAGATGATCATCATCCTTAGTATACCGGGGACGTCCGTTGGCTGCCTTGGGTGCCGCAGCGGGATCAAAGAGGTAATCGCCCCCGGTCATCAGCTCGAACAACTAACGATCTTCAAGCCATGTGGTCGAGCACAAGTTTGGGTTCTGGCTCACCACGCATGCTATGCTCCATATGTCTGCGCTGGTGCCCCACTCCGTCGATCCGAGCAGAACCTCTGGACAGCGATACTGCCTGGTTTGGATGTCGTTTGTGAAGTGGTGATTAGTCCACGTCGCTGCGAAAGTGCAATTAGCCCAACCATTCAGCCCAAGCTAGCCCTGAACGTTCTGCGCACCATTACCTAGGTCCGCGATCTTGACTGTGATCATCTCGTACTCGAACTCGGGGCCGAACTCGGGGCCAACCTCTTCTACCCAGCCTTCGCCCTCTTCCTCGTGCTTGCCCGGCTCGCGGACCTCCTGGCTCTCTTGATGGCGGCCCATTTCTAGGCTCAGCTGTGAGGGCCCGGCGTTGGTGCGAGCCGGCGCCGACTGGGATACGGTCAGCGACGACATGCCCAGGTCCGAGCCGTCCTCGACGCCCGTGCTCTTTTCCTTGCCCTTCCCTTGCTTCGGATCATCATTAGAAATCTTAACCATTCCAAGGCCCCAGGTGTCGCCAGTGAGCTTCACGCGGGAGCCGTTGCTGTTGCCTGGACTCAGTCCTGACATGCTGAGAAAGCTGCCAGTGGGACTGACGCTCGGTAGAGGCTGGCTGCCTGTGATGCTCACGTTGATGTGTAGATGGCGGGCGCCTGGTGTTTGATTTCCACCGCGCCCAGTAGACGGTGGGACACCGACGAGTTTGTGGTGATGGCCGGCGTGCGGTTGTGGATGGGTGGAGAATGAGGGAGGTGAGGTAGATTGTGAGGCAAGCTCGGATTCAATAACAGACTCGACGTCCGGGATGTAGATGAGTACATTCTCGGGCTTCAAGTCTGAGGCATCTCTGAGTAATGAGTCGGAAGGACGTTAAGGCTGCCTCACCTGTGTGGATCACTCCGCAGTATCGATGCATATAATCAAGTCCGGTCAGGACCTGTTTGGCAATCTGCTTGACAATAGCCATTGGAACGCCCTTATTCTATGCGTGCCGCCGTTCGGATGAGAGAATCCAAGGATAACGGGTTGAGCGCACCTGGTGTCTTCTGATCAGGCCCAGCAGACTTTCTCCCAGCACCTCGAACACCATGCAGACATGTGTTCCATTTGGACCTCTATGTCGAAAGTGGTCGAGAAAGGTGATAACGTGCGATCGTCCGGGATGTTTGTTAGGCGACGTGGGATCGGAGGACGTCACTAGGCGTTGGAGCAGCTTGATTTCGTCGACAGCGGTCTCGGTATAACGCGGAGCAGACTTAACGATTTTGAGGGCGACGTGTCGTTTCATTCTGTCACCATCCTCCGTGATCAGCTGTCGCGCGCGCTGCAGCAGTGCACTGTAACAAGCCCACGTACTTCTCGTCCCGCGCGAGCCATACTGTGGAAAAGTGTCCCCACCCTAGTTTGCGTACGACCACATATCGGCTGTCAGCAAAGGTGTCGCCGATGGAGACAGGATGATAGCCGCCGAGTTTGTACTCCTGCCAGTCCTCTTCGTCTTCGGCCATAGGAGAGATGAAGCGAAATGAGAGAAAAAGGCTATCTTTACATTCCTTATCTCTGCCTCCTTTGGAAGCGACATCAAACATCGGACAAAAATGATCCACAAAGCTTGACCTGCCTGTAGTGCACGAGTATCAAGATCCGAGAGGCCTCAGGATGTACGCACTGCGCAGGACAGCCTCGAGCGTCAGGAGTAAGTCGTCTGAAGTGGCTCGAGCCGCCTTTCAATACTTGTTTCTAACTTGTTTGGGCGCAGGCCGGAATTGGCCATTCAATTGGCATCTGATCCGCTCCCCGAACACATGGCAGTGATGTCACATCCTGACTAACATTGCCATCGCTTCAATGGCTTCTACCCGGTGTGCAACACCTTACAGCTCGTTAATTCTACCGACGCGGCAGAATCGCTTGCGACTGACTCTTCGAGTTTCAGAAGGATCACTCCATCTACTCGGATGAGTTACTCGGCTGTGGCGCCGACCCCGGCAGTGCTTGACAATGTGTCATCTACCTCGAGTCTGTCTGTCGCACTGAAGATTTCATGGAAGAATTACATGGATCTAACTGGCTCCGAACGGCTCGCAAGCTCGACATACACACCTCGCATGTGTGGCAGCGTCCTTTTGTTGCTGAATCGTTCCGAGCATCTGCTCCCCAGTGACTTCTCTCTCGATGACATGGATATCACTTGATGCAAGCGTCCATCGGCTCGCCCAGCCTCTGAGCCCGTCCGGACGGATCTCGTCAGCGCACCTGCCTCGGTTAGCCCTCAATGCCAACTGCTATGTAGCCTGCCTAGGCCCCGCTTCCGAGGACTTCTCTTTCTTCGCCTGGACGATGGCGGCGTCACCGTATCACCGCACTCCAAGCTCTTGACTCCTGCGCGTCAAACATATATGATTCGGGAATCTGTCCTGCTTGTTCATCTGCTCTAGCTTATCTCCAACTCGTTGCATTCTCTGACACCGGTGTAGTCAATTTCTCCACACACACTTCTCCTGCGAGTCTGGTCTAGCGAAAGGGAGCATCATCCACAAGAACGACACGCTCAAACCTGCGTGCGCCAAACTTTCATGTCGGCTCGGAACCAATTATTGCCAACAGTCCGGTCTGAAGAGGGCAAGTGATTCACAATCTCTCCTTCGACGCAATGATTCAGCCAATCAGAAGAATAGGAGATCGCAGAGACATCTTGGCAATAGAAGAGAGCATCGCGAGGCGTGGGTGTCTCCGGCGATTTCTGAATGTCTTGGCCTCGTCGGGATTCAGGATGCTCCGATGCTCTGTCACCTTCTGGAATTATAGGTGGCTCCCACGGTCCATCATCGAGACTGCGACCTGAACCTCAGAAACCCGGTCCTTCCTTCAAGCTTTTTGTGCGCGAGACAAGCTCGTGGATTGCTTAACGCGTGATTTAAATGGTGTTTGGCCTTCGCGGGAAAGGCAATTAGTCTGGCTGTTCTGGTCATCTTTTAGAGGTTTTAGCTTGCTGCAAGTGCTTCAGAGCTACCTGTGAAACGGGCGAACGCTTCTTTGGCTTACGGCGCGGCGTCAAATCTCTCGCTCACGGAGGTCCTTTACTAATATCCGATCAAATAAATACCGATGGACAGTAAACATCTTGGTGTCTCTGGCATAATGAGTTGCGAAACAGAAGATTTCGGGATGGAGAGCTTCAAATATGTGCGCGTTCTATTTATAGTAGTCACGTGGTCGCGTTCAGCCTACTGGCTCACACGCTAGCTTCATCCTGTGTAATCCGGCCTTTAGATATCAATTGCCTGAGAAACACACCGTGTACAGCTCTGAGACTCGAAGCCCATACTCTAGCAGCTGAACAATGCGTACTGTGGCCTGCCAGTCCGCGCTGACCCTGGAAAGTTCGAATCCAGTTGGATACCCCAGGTGAGCGCCATGACCATCTGAGAAGATGGTTTCACACTCACTACAGCTACCTCGAGATGTTGAAACTTTGAGTGTACACCGTGACTGTTCGCTCATGAAACAGTGGCGGTGCAGATCAATCAACACAATCGCATCAACCTTCGATCAACTTGCGACTTGCGTTCTCCCATCTGACCGTCCGCGGCGGCACTTCTCTTTCTTTCATCAAGCTTGTACAACAGCTTTCTTCAAGCGAGTCACTCATTTGGGCTCCAAGTGACCGTCATCCCCGGCGAATCTATCCACCTCACACGACCTGATGCATGTCTACTACTACATCTTGGATCAAGCGGAAATCCCGTCTGCACGAGCTTCTCAAATCAAGAGACGAAGACGAGGCGGGCGTTGCTCTTGATCGCATCCTCCATGGGCAGAGTGTGATTGGGAAAACCGGTGCGTTGGGATGGGTTGTGCGGGCTGCCGCGCGGGCTCTGATCGCGTGGAGCAGCCAGGACCGTCGAAATCGATGCTCTGCGGTTTCAGGATGCGGATCTCCAATTTGTTGGGACACTGGAGCGAGGCCAGTTTGGGCTGGTGTGTATGCGTCGTCTGTGCGTGGTATCCATGCCCATCTTTGGCAGGTCGATGTAGTCAAATGCAACCTCGATGGTCGGACGTACATTCGCAAAACCATCGAGAAACGCTTCGCCTTACGGGCGCGTCAGGTGAAGCGATCGAGTGCCTCCTGAAATCGCTTCTGATCCCGCCCTCTCCGTAGCAATGCTCGCCTCAGGCGGAACGCGACATACTGCTACGCGCGCTCAAGTCGGACTCGGTCTGGGCACCGCATCTGCTGTGCGCATTCCAGACCACGACCCACCTCAACCTCGTGATGCAGTACGGGGACGGGGGAAACCTGTGGGATGTGCTCGAGTCGAGTTCGTTGAGCGGGCGCGTGACAGAGGATGATATGGCATGGTGGGCCCCGCAGATTATCAGTGCCGTGCATTGGTGTCACAGTCAGGGATTTGCGCACCGGTATGTCTGCTCATCCGTGTACTGAGCCTCAAACCCATTATGTCAGGGACATCAAGCCGCACAATTTCGTCCTGACGACCGGCGCGCACCTTCTCCTCATCGACTTTGGGTCTGCTGCGCCGTTGGAGAACGGGCGCCTTGCCAAGAAGCACTGTCTCGTGCCATGCGGCACTTGCGACTACATCTCTCCCGAGATCCTCGAAGCCCACGAGCAGGCCTTGGTTGCGCTTGAGATGGAGGAAGATGACTCGCAAGTCGAAGAGGAGCCCTTCGGTTATGGATTCGAGACTGATTGGTGGAGCGCGGGTGCCATGCTCTATGAGATGTTATACGGTGTCGCCCCGTTCTTTGCCACTGACATCGGCAAGACGTATCTCAGAATCATTCAGCATGAGGTTGGTGTTGTATCCCTAGTCGTACCGTATCCTCAGCCTCTTTCAGAAGAGCCTCCGATTTGATTCCTCCATTCCTGTCTCTGCCGCGTTACAAGACTTGATTCGCCGGTGAGTGGTCACGTCTGTATCAATCTGGGCTTATAGAGAAACCCCAATCCAGATTTTTGACCGATGCTGATCGTCGCTTGGGAAGAAGAGGCGTTCAGGAGATCTATGATCACCCTGCATTCTTCGAGATCAACTGGACTGCTGTTGCCAGTCGTACGCTATTCCCTTTCCTCAGTGAAAGAGGCTAAACATGTCCCAGAAACGGCGCCTCAAGGATTGCATCTTCCGCAATTCACATATGCTGCGGAGCCATCTATTATGATGTCCGAACATGATTCAAGCCACTCCCAAGGATTCGCGTTCTCCGCTCTTTTCCAATCTTCCCCGATGACAGCCTCTGGCTCGGCGGTGCATGCCACCCCCGTGCGAGGTAGTGTCAGCCTACCGCAGGATGACGCCTTCATCGGTTTCTCTTGGGGACCAGCTGAAGACGCATTCCCTGCGGACGTTAATTCTGCCGCGGACCTTGACTCTACCCCACGACCTTTACGTGTGCCATCCACACCACAGCCCAGAGGGCAAACTATCACCCCGTCCTATTATCCGTTCCTTACTCCAATCCGGCCAGGATCAGGAACAATACACCAGACCCTTCCTCGCAGCACGTTGAGACGCACTAGCGGACGACGGTCTGTGTCCGACCGAGAAGCCATGAAGCAGCTGGCCGACTGCATCGGGATGAGCGCGCGGAAGAAGGTGCTCGAGAGCGGCCGCAAGCCGCGCGTGCTGCCTTCGTTTTCCTCGCAGAAGGCCCTCCGATTCCTGCCCGCCGTGACCATCCAGGACTACGCGTCGTCCTCGCAATACCGGGCGAGACCGAGGGTCGCTGTGTCCGGCTCTGGGGAAGAGACGACGGAGGACGAGTCGGACGGACCGCCGAGCCCCAGCCCCACGCCGCGGCCGGGGAGCGCCATGTCGATGATCTCGCGGCGCAGTGCGACGCCGACGCTGACGGGCACGATTTCGCTGCGCAGCGGGGCGAATGCGACGTCGCTCAGCGTCCCCAGGTCGAATAGGTCCGCCGCTGTGAGTCAGGACCAGTCCGCGGACGACGCCGATGCGCCGTCGTCGCACGCTGCTGCGATACCGGCGTTCGAGGACATGTCGATTGACGAGCTGGAGGCGAGGTTCGCTGTGCTGATGCAGAATATCATGGGGCTCGAGGACCGGCTGGACCAGGTCTCGCACCAGATAGGGCGCTAGCCGTGTATGAGTACGCAAGTGTGAGTAGGGCAGACACTCCACATTTTTTGATTGCTGATGCTGGGACAGATACTTTTCGACCATCCATAGCTTAGACCATTAGCTTCTAGTTTAAATTACGGCCTGCAGATACACCGAACTGCAATAAGGATATGGAATCATTCACTGACCGGTCTCCAGATCGTAAAATCGCAACATGAAGTTTCGATGATATCAAACACGATCAGGTGACTTGGTGCAAGGGGTGTCTGCTGATTGGATTCGGGTTGCCTTCTCTCCTTTCTCGAAACTCGGGATGATCGACTGTGTGCTGAGACTCGACCAAAATCCCGCACTCTCCGCGCTCCCGCCAATGTAGAATCGGGAGTGAGACATTTCTTCCGCGAGATTATAAAAGCCCCCGTTATCAAGGCTGGAAGAGCAGGTCCCTCCGTCTCCTCCTTCTTTGTGTTCTTCCTCATCTCATTGCCAGTCTCTGCCCTCGATGTGCAGGACGCATGAGTTACAGATGGATGGCACTGGATGCAGGAGGCGGACCCTGTCGACTCCTGGTAAGTTCCATCGCTCTCATCGTGTTGCACAGCGCGCTAATAGCTCCACATACTCCGTTTGCTCTCAGACGAGCACGCCGGCAGTCGGACGAATGGGGGTCGTTTACCAAACCCCCGTGTCCTTCTGCCTGGCAGTGTCCTCGTCTGCGTTGTGTCTCGCGCTGCGGCGTCTAGTTTCTGGTCGTGGTGCTGTCGATTGGGCGCTACGGCGTTCCTTTGGCTTGGCGTTGCGGTGCTCGTTGCTGATCTGGCGCCTGGGTTCATATAAAAAGGACCCGGCCTGCGGCTCGTGTCTCCGCCCGGCGTGTCTCCCGTCACCGGTCGAGCCGCTGAGAAGTCGTTTCCGTGTTTCGACGCGATGAATCCGCTCCGGCGGTGTGTGAGAGCTGGCCTCGAGCATTTCTTGTACCCACCCCCAAGTCAGGGATTCATGAACCCGCTTGGCCCCTCTTGAAAAAGGATCTTCATGGTCCAGCGTCTGGCCTCTCCGTGGCTCAAGAGACTAGTACCCGAAAGGGGAAGCTAACAGACGTGTAGTGTAGAATACATACGTCAAGGTATATTCAAGATTACCGCCGCCTAATGTATCAATAACACTGAGCCTCAATGTCTGATCGGTGTTTCGTACAATAGACGCATAGATTTGGTATATGTGAAAGTATGAGACTGGCGAAGACACTGTCGATAGCGGATGCAAGAGATGTGTGATATGATACAACGTGAATAGATGGGGGGAGGATAAGTCGATAGAAGTGTATATACTACAAAGTGCATGCTGGAAAGCAAGAAAGGGAGACATTATGCATTGCCGCAATAGTAGAAGCTGAGCCGCGTTTGGGCTGCGACCTTTCTCAAAGCGCGTGAGAATTAGCCTGGGGTGCAATTCACCGCTGCGAAACAACCATCGACATCAGTATGTTTCTTCCCGGATATCAAGCGTGATTTGACCAAGGAACGTTCAGCCTGCAGCACGTACGGATGCCAGCCGTGGTTAAGAAGCTCCCATTTCACGAAGCTCGTGAACGACGCGCTGTTGAGTTGAGGAAAGGACACGATAATGTGCCCCACGATGAGCGTCTTCTGCAGCTGAAGGTCCCACAGACAAGCCAAAGACGAGGGAAGAATGAGACTGAGGCTTTGCAGTGTACGACAAGGCTCTTTGACAATGGCACAAAGATCCGAAACTCTCTGTAGAAGGATTGAGACGTAGCAAAAAGGGGGAAATGCCATCAACGTGCCTCGCACAAATCAAAACTAGGGCGCTTTGCGTAGTTTTGATGATCGAAGGAGAGGACTAGGCAGGTCAAGCTCGGAAAGCGACTGTGCACTGAGAAAACCGAGTACAAGTGCTCAGGGATTGCGAGTCCTTCTATACACGCAGGTGCCTCGGAACGAAAGAGTGAAGCGAGATCCGTCTCTGTCAGTGCTCGCAACTGGGGGAAAAATGCGATCTCTTCGTCATACAAGTGGCTTTCCTCGCCCAGGAGCGACAACGTGCGCACAGTACCGCGCGATAGAAATTGGAGCAACATGGGAGGCACCGTCAACGCGTCCAGCTGCGGTAAGGTTTCTGAATCGAGTTCCACTCGAGGAGTTTCCGAATGATCGGTCATGATGCTCTGGACGGTCAGAGCATGAAGCGTGGGTGCTTTCTCGAGAAAACGGAGGAGGAGAGGGATGTCAGAAACGTCGTGCAGCTCCAAACAACGCAGACGAGAGTAGGAAGATTTCAGGAAGTGCTCCGCATATGGCCAACTATCGGTTCGGAATTCGACGATGTCCTTCAGGCGGATAGCCTCAAGCGGGATATCCTCCCAGGACTCGAATGTCTCGAAAACCTCCAACACATCCAGTCGGAGCGAGTCCAGCCACTGACTCTGCTTGTCCGTCAACACACTCTCGAGGGCGCATGCGCGCAAGGACAGTCGTTTCAGGGTGCCACTCAGAGCAGACAACGTGCGCAGGAGCGCCTTCGTGATGGGCGTCGAGCGGAGAGTGAGCGCGGTGAGACCTGACATCCTGCGCACAGCGCGCCAGTTGCGCTCCAGAAACAAGTGCGCGTAGGGAATCCGCCCGCGGGGTTCTGCCCACGCGTCAAAGACGCATTCCCTCACCCACGACGCGATCATCTTCGCCAACTCGATTTCTGACGCGCTGGACCGCCCGAACGTGTCCATTGCGTCCCTGGGAGGCCGTCTCACGAGCAACGCGCATAGGGCATCCGGATTCATGCCCCTCGTCCTCGCCGTGTGATCTTCGTTGCGGGCCGAGAACCGGACTCGGCGGTATAGCGCGGTCAGAGACGCGGCGCAGAAGAGGCGGCAGACGCGCGATAGGTTGACGAAGATGTGGTTCGATTCGCGTGCATCCAGGGTCCCATAGCCGTCGCGGGGCTCCAAGTACGCGAAGATTTCGAGGTACACTTCATTGGGGATGAGAGACAGGGAACGGTGCCCAGACCGGCGTGCGGGTGCTGGAAGGAGAGTTAGCCCCTGGGTGGCAATCTGGGAGAACACGGCGCGCACTCGACCATTCGATCATGGGCGAGCATTGAACGGGGGATTTACCATCAAGATCAACTTCTAAACTGGGAACGATCTGGAATTCCAATGGTGTCACAGCCACATCGCCTAAATTTTCAGGGTGTTCCCGTGATGATGGAGGCTGAAACGTCGAGCGGAGAGTTCAAAAACAATGAAGGAGAAAAACAATGACCCCTGCCCGGATTGAACGGACGACCTTGTGGAACCACTCACTGGAATCACACATTCTACCACTGAACTAAGGGGTCAATGAAAGCCTTTAAAGTTATATGTATATAAACTTCCAATGCAATCACTGAGACATGAAAGATAAACCTTCCTGTTCAGAGCTATACAAATGTAGCTCCCCTTCTATCTTTTCACGGTTGAATTGAGGTTTGAAGTTGGTGATCAGAAGACTGAAGCCATAGTAGAGTTTATTGTTCAGTGATAAACCCTGTAATGGAATTACATTCTCCAATGACATCATCCCGCATACTCACACATAAAGGATTTGTCTTGCTTGGCTCCTACTTGCAAGAAGTATGGCTGGAGGTTGCACTGAATATTCAAATTTATCTTTGTCTCCACTTTCCTATCAAGATGGACCTTGAGGTTGCCCTTACACTGTCTGATCAGTGATATTGACTGTCAAATGGTCTGCCCAGTGCCAATGGATAGTTACTTTTTTTTTTTGGTTTTGAGCTCAACCCTTCTTGCCAAAATGCAGGAAGGTTACAAAAGGTACGCTGCTGAGATTTGACAGGAGTAGGTCCAGCATGTACCTACAGCCTACTGTTCAGGAAGAGCTCAGGTACAAGAAATTCTTCCAAAGGAAAGAGGTATATTTGAAAATTGGCTAAGAACACTCAAACACTTGGAAATACTGGCCAGAGAGAATATAAAATGAGAGCTGGACAGATACAAATCTAGCATGTTCCTCCTGTGCATGCACATGATCACTTTTGGAGATGAGCATCAAAGAATTCCGCTAGAACTTTGGTGAGCCAAGGACAGCACCATAATCTCTTTGACTCACCCAAAGCAAAGGCAGATCTCTTGTAGACTCTTTCGAGAGTAGTGTAATTGACATATTGAATGCCGAATTTGGTGCGGATACCGTCGTTCCATTCCAGATTGTCGAGCATAGCTGCAAGAGCATGTGAAACATCAGATGGAAAACCAGCTGCAGAACTTACCCCACGCAAAGGCACCGGAGATTGGCACTCCATCTTCATGAATAGACAGCATGATTTCGCCGAGATAGGTCATGTAATAATCTTCAAAAAGCTCAGGCCGAGAGCACTGAGGGGTGAATATACTCACTGGTTCGTGCTACATCTTCCTGGTATCCGGCAGTCAATCAGCAGGGCAGACAACAGCAAAAAAAAGGTCTCACCGTGATGCGGAACAGATCAGTCCAGGCCGACTCAAAGGGTTCCGAAATTCCAAACTCAGATACATACTAGCAGCACGGGGCCAGTCATCATCCACATCCACATCTGGTGCAAGCACACACCAGCTTCTTGGAAGGCCATCGGGTATGCAAGCCCTTCAATAGTCCTCGCAGGGTATTTGGAGTAGCCTGCAGCCAGCTCGAACCTGGATCGGCACTGACACCCACTGCCCAACCTGCATTCGAAGAATCAAAAAGCACCACGTCGTGGCACTCCGGCCATAGAGGATGCGAGGAGTTTGCGACACATGCGTCGATGCCTTCTGCCGGAGCCACTACGTACTGGGAACGGTAGCAATCGGTGGCAAAAAAGTCGGCCGTCCCTACGAACAGGTGTTATTATGCAGACTCGTGCACCAGAGAAAGTTGACCCACCGAGATTGTCTTTGATCTCCTGGGGAGTGAAGCGCGGCAGATAATTGGGCGGGAGGGTATCCTTGAGGATTTTCGGCCAGTCACCGGTCGTGTAAGCTGGATCAGCAAATGCCCCAATCCGGAACGCAGCGTGACGCTCGACAGCAAGAGCATCTTCTGTCGAGTTTGCTCGCCATGGAACACCACTATGATAAGACTGAGTTCCTTTGCGACTGCATATATGACAGTGAAGACGCACATGAAGTCGTCACTCTTGAATCCAATCTCTCCACTGATCCCCATTTCCCTGAAAGCTGCATCGAAGTAAGCACTATGACTCAAGTCGAATGAGGCAACGCACCTTTCACAGTAGCAGTATGGGCTTTCACTGGAAACAGCAGTCAGTTTATGCGATACACTGTGACGGCTCGTGCTCACTCAGATTATATGTGCAGACGTAAGGGGCCATCGACGCATTGACTCCCGGCGCAAGCAAAGATGCTGAGAGCTATGAGATGCACGTAAAGATCATTTGCATATCACACACAGAACGGCGGATTAATGAAGAATGCACAGAAAACCCTGAGTGTGTATGAGTATTTGCGCAAAGGATAGGACAGTCGCCAAACCGAGGTTCATTGAAGGTGTACCAGGTCTTGATCCGTCCATTGTAAGCCTTGAAGACAGTCTTCGCATAGCTGACATTTCATGAGTGAGGCTCGAAAAACAGCACATAGACTTACTGGACAAAGTCGTCAACAATCTTCGGAGAAGAGAAACCGCCGTAGTCGGCCAAAAGGGCCAACGGAACGTCCCAATGAACTAGGCCCTTGCGTGAGCGCCACTCCCAGTCAAAGGCAAACGAATGTTACATAATGTTGCCACGGGCTCAACGCCCTGCTCCCAATGATAGTCGATCACTAATCAAGTCAGTAGATGTACAGACGCAGAGAACAGACAACTTACAATCCGAGTAATGCTGCAAGCCTTGCTTGTTCAGCGGGGAGTCAGCTGCACCAAAAGGAAAGATGCGGGCCCACGAGATCCTGAAGATTTGAGACAAGCAATGAGCCAGACTAACGGACTGACGCACGAGAACGAGTGGGCCGTGATTCCGAGCGCAGCGATACGAACAACATCCTCTTTGTAAAGGAAGTACTGCAAATCAACGATGTCACCTGCCAATCATGAGCACAGCACGCGAGAGCGGAAACAGCCTACCAGTGGAGTTGTCAAGTATACACCCCGGTAGGTGACCGCACCAATCCCACATCGTGGGCCCCTTCCCTTCGCTTTTCGCGGCGCCTTCGACCTGGAACGCAGCAGTGTCGATGCCGAACTTGAAGCCAGGCGGAAACTTTAGGTGTGGCAGAATGTCCTTGGGAGCCGGAGAAAAGAAGGAAGGGTAGAGCGGCGGCGGTGACGCAGGCAACTGGATCTTGGTGCTCGTCGGAACACGCGTTGTAGTGAACGGAGGAGGCTCGATAGATCCGACCTGTGCACATTTGGATCAGGGCAGACACCCGAGAAAAGCAGAATGCGCGCACGATATCCCAGAGACGCTCCAGACCCGCGGGAGAATAGTCGCGTGGAATGGATCCCACGGGAGGGGCATTAGTGGTTATCGTGCTCACAGGCGCGGAGATCGTGGATGTGATGTGCGCAGCGCTCGAAGCGGGGATGCTGGTTTTGGCGGCGCTCAATGACGCGGACCATCCTCTAGCTGTAATCGAAAGAACGAACAAAAGCCAAGCCCTAGAATGCATCATGAGCTGTAACCGACCTGGGATTTCAGCCGGTTTACTTAAGGGTTGTAGGACGGTCTCATGACCGTGCCGCAGTCTGATTTCGAAGACGCAGATGATGCGGCCGCCTTGTGGAAAGAGACACTCGATGCATGAGACAGTGATATGCGAGGTTGACTCCGATGGCGAAGTTGACGGCCAAGGATTTTGGTGTAAGCTGGAAGAAAGATTAGGAGACAGCCGTTTACATGAATAGCATCGTGGAATCAAGGAAGCGCCCGAATCGCCTGTGAAATCTGAAGGTCCAAGTTGGATAGGCTCACTTGCAGTGTTGTAGAGATGCCACTGTGCGGTGCGAGAGCAGGGAGCTCTAGGCAGCTGAGCGCCGTGATTACACCCGTAATGTCGAAGTTTGATGTTGTCAATGATGATGTGGTCCCGCTGTCATAGGCGACACACAGATTCTACGTGTTCCCTGGCCACCCTGGCGAAAGCTATCGAGCACACTAGCCGCGACAAACTCGGCGCTGAGATATCCGCCTTGTTTATTGGACCCAACCCGCCGTCTATCTGTATCTACGATCCCATCTCTCCTCGCACAACTGCTTACATTGTCGGATTCGTGCTGGCATTGCTCCCTCCCATCCCGACGCGCACGGACGCGTTTTCCCGCGACTGTCTCGCGTATTTGTACGCCCTGGCGCGTTTCGGCCCGCTTGTGCTCTATGACATAGTGAATCAGCTCATGGGGCAGCGTATGGAAGGAGAGGGGGTGCACAAGTGAGTTCGTGGATTTGATTCGGATTACCTTGTCTCCATTCTGAGAACTAGACATGATCGACTGTGTGCTGAGACTCGACCAAAGTCCCGCACTCTCCGCGCTCCCGCCAATGTAGAATCGGGAGTGAGACATTTCTTCCGCGAGACTATAAAAGCTCCCGATCTGTTAGCTGGAAGAGCAGGTCCCTCCGCCTCCTCCTTCTTTGTGTTCCTCCTCCTCTCATTGCCAGTCCCTGTCCTCGGTGTGTAGGACGCATGAGCTCAGGATGGTCGGCACTCGATGTAGGAGGCGGATCCTATCGACTCCGTGTAAGTGCCGTTTTGCTCGCCGTGTCGCACATAGCACTTACGAGTCCACATGCCCCGTTTGCTTCGAGACGAGCACGCCGGCAGTCGGACGAATGGGGGTCGTTTACCAAACTCCCGTGTCCTTCTGCTTGGCAGTGTCCTCGTCTGCGTTGTGTCTCGCGCTGCGGCGTCTAGTTTCTGGTCGTGGTGTTTGTTGATTGGGCGCTACGGCGTTACCCTCTGCTTGGAATTGCGGTGCTCGTTGCTGATCTGGCGCCTGGGTTCACATAAAAAGGACCCGGCCTGCGGCTCGAGTTTCCCGCTCGGCGTGTCTCCCGTTATTGGTCGGGCCGCTGAAAAGTCATTTCCGTGTTTCTGCACGATGAATCCGCTCCGGCGGTGTGTGAGAGCTGGCCTCGAGCATTTCTTGTACCCACCCCCAAGTCAGGGATTCATGAACCCGCTTGGCCCCTCTTGAATAAGGATCTTCATGGTCCAGCGTCTGGCCTCTTCGTGGCTCAAGAGACTAGTACCCGAAAGGGGAAGCTAATAGACGTGTAGTGTAGAAGATACGTAAATTTCGGGATGTTTTACCATATAATCCATACGCCTGATACATACGGAGAGCAGCAGGACTACACCACCAAGCCAAGCGAGCCAACCACCACCACCACTGCTATCCCCATCACCCCGCCTATTCCTATCGCGCTCGCCCCTCCCTGCTGATCCTAAGACGGCAGTTGGTTCAGTCCCGTGCGCGCACCTCCAACCTGCGGCAGCGGATCCGCCACAACTGTCGTAGAGGCACCCATGGTCGGATTCGCGAGGAGCGAGCGCACGACCGTCGCATCCGGGAGAACAAGCGTCATCTCGTCGTCGGCCTTTTGAGTCTGCGTCTGCGTGTTCGTTGCGTCCACGGTCTGAACGGCCTCGACTGCGGTCTGCGTGGCCGAGCCGCCGTCAGTCGACACGCCGCTAACCGCGTCCGGGTTCGCGTCGATCGTGAAGTCCGCGGTTCACATTCGGAGGGGCGGGTCATCGCATTTGAACGTGATCGCGCTGTGGGGCACGGAAATGGGCGTGTCGCGCAACGCGCCATGATGGGAGAACGTACAAAGTTCCAGACGACAGGGTGTTGGGAATGTGTACGACTCTGTGCAGGACAGCCGGATCCACACCCTGAACGAGATTGTGCAGCACGGTCTGTGCGCGATGAGCTTCCGACTCGTGCGTTTCCAAATGCGAAACGCGTACCCCGTTCGGTGTGCACAGATCGATCCTGACCGCGTTCATCTCAGAGATGAAAGGGTGCTTGTCGTTATCCTTCCATCTGAGCGCCACGTTCTTCCCCGGTGCGAGTTGCGAGTTGGCCATAGGAGATGTCGGGTAGATATAGGCCCGAGCGAAATCGAAAAGTAGAACAGATATTGCAAAATGTAGAGCGGGGTACAAGAGCATCGCCGGACCCTGCAATAGGCGACGAGGTCGGAGAACGAATGCAGGCCAGAGGGGATAAGAAAGGAATAGACGGTTGTGGACTGGTAGCAGAAGGGAAGACTCGAGCATCCTTGTGCCCACCCCAAGTCAGGAATTTACTTGCCTGTCACTGTATATTCAAGATAATCGGCAACCTGCTGTCAACAAAGCGCATTTCCTTGCCCGATGATGACAACACACTCATAGGAACTGTGCGGTAGAAATGTGAGTAATGTGGGTGGCACAGTCAATGCATTCAGATCTTGTAAGAACTCCGGATCTAGTTCGATTCGGGAACATTCCGATTCGTCCGTGACGATGCAGCACTGGACGGTCAGAGTACGAAGCTTGGGTGCTCCTGACGGAAGTGAAGAAGAAGAGGGATGGCAGATCTCGTGCAGCTCCAGGCAAGGGGTGCAGGCAAGGGCGCGCTCGTTTCGGAGAGCCAGGAATTCGGCGAGCTCCTTTAGCAGGATGGTCGCGAGCGGGATGTCCCATCAAGACCCGAATATCTGGAAAACCAGTCGGAGTTCAGCCACGGATGCCGCGTCCATCTTTGACACAGTCTTGATAGCGCCTCATCCTCGCATAGATTATTCTCTCAGAGCGCCACTCGACTCAGGGAGCGTCTTCATGACGGGCGTCGAACGGAGCGTGATCGTGGTGAGACCCGCCATGCTGCTCATAGCGCGCAAGTTGCGACCGCAGCGTACGTGTGCACAGCTTCCTTCGAAGACCGTCCGCCAATGACGTGCACAGAGTATTATTCAGGGTCACGCCCTTCGTCGGTGCTGATTCTTCGCTCTGTGCCGAGATTCAGACTTGGCAGGATATTGCGGGGAGATTCGGCGATACGGTGCGATCAGAGACGCGATATTCATAAGTGGAAGAAGCGGTACACGTACGAGAGGTTGAAGACGAAGTGATTGAGTGTGGGGCCACGGGGCTCCAACTTGTACGTGAAGATTTCCAGACTCACTTTTCCAGGAATGCGGGAGAAGAAACGGTGGCTCAGAGCTGCGTCGTGGCGGTGGAAAGCAAGCAAGCCTTGAAGCGGCGATGGGGAGCATGGTGCGCACTGAATCATATTCGGTCATGGACGCTCCGAGTAGTTGCTGGCGACTGTGCCACGATGATCCAGTGCCAGATCCGGAAATGATAGTTCCTCATCGGGTTCGCGCCCGTGATCTAGTCACCCACCCACCATGTACAGCCGTTTCACTTTTATAATATATATCTTAAATAATTTTCAAGCCTGTCCTAGCAGCGGAATGTTCCAAACGAAGTAAACGGAAAAACGTGAGCCCTCCCCGAGTCGAACAGGTGACCCTTTGGAAGTGAGACATTCTGCGATTGCATACTTAGCAGCCGTACACGTGCACAGGCCCTCAATAGTTCGCAATTTTCCGCCCTTGGGTTTCCTTTTTGGGAAGCACGTGAGCGCCGCCGCCGCTGATGAGATCACCATTGACCGGCAGTTCTCAATTTTCCGCCTTTGGGTTTCATCAAACATCATTTCTTATTGAATAAATAGGGTACAGATACATGGAGTAATTACTAAGTGTTAGAAATATACTTAGAATTCAAGGAGTTTTTTTAGAGCTCAGGAAGAGGGGGCAAGGAGGTGGCATTTACATCTACATAGAGGTACATACAGCACTGTAGCTAGTAGAGACAAAAAAACTGGTAGTTACTTAGGTACATGTACAGCAGAGGGCAGGAGGTGCTGTGTGGCACAGGAGGAGGGAGAGGGGACGACGTGAAAAGGGCTGGGGATGAGGGGGTGGTGGAATGAGGAGGGAAGGGAGGACATCGGAAGTGTCACCGTGACCGCTTGCTCACGGCGTCACTTCCGATGCCCTCCCTCCGTCAAGTATTGGCTTTATGTGCGCGCGCACATCGCGTGGCACGACCAGCTGGGGCGGGTTATCGTCGGGTCGGCGCGTCGAATGGGAGGCGGGTGATGGGCAAGGGGGAAAGGTGGGAGGTCACGAGACCATCAACAAACTTGCTTAATGGACAAACACATGAATAATTAAAATTAATCAGGATCGGGACTCCGGAGCCTCCGTGTGCACGTGCCGTACGCTTCCCAAAAAGGCAGGTCACGTGAAAAACCCAAGGGCGGAAAGTCAAAAACTGCCCTCAATCACCCAGGAATGCGATTCAGAGTGGCAGCAGCTCCAACGATAGGCCTCATCTTTGTGGGTTTCCCGATGAGCCCCTTCACTGGTCGCGGTACCGTATACAAACCGTGGGATGGATTAGGTCATGGAACGCGACAAAACCCAGCATCTATGATGTCGAATCCACAACCTTCTTACAACCGTCATGCCAATGGGTCGGGTGGTCATTACCAGTCGGGTGACTGCTTACGCCACCTACTCACTCGCACTGGAGACATCCTCGGTCATTCGGTTGGCCTTCCGCGTCTTGGCCGCAGATCAGCGTCTTTTGTCCAAACTTGTTGTTTCCCTCAGACACGAGGCGGCTTCATGATAATCGACTCTTCGAAATCAAAGCACGGCACGGTCATGAGACAGCCCTCCGCTCCATAAGTAACCGCTCTGGAGGGCGATCCTGGGTCACAGCCCTCAATGCATTTGAAAGCTTGGGTTTTCCTCGTTGTTTCCAGTGCGGCTGGAGCGCGGAGCGCGTCCCTGAGCGCTGCAAAAACTAGCGTCCCCGTCTCGAGCGTTACCCCCGCCGCACCCACGCTTTCCGCACCAGTCAGCACCATTACCGCCAATGCCCCTCCCGTGGGATCCATCCCGCGTGACTTCTCCCCCGCGGGTCTGGAGCGTCTGTGGGATATTGTCCGCGCTTTCTGCTTTCTCGTGTGTATGCTCTGACCTAAACGCGTCCAGGTCGGACCTGTCGAGCCTCCCCCGTTCACCACAACGCGTGTTCCGACGAGCACCAAGATCCAGTTGCCTGCATCACCGCCGCCGCTCTACCCTTCCTTCTTCGCTCCGGCTCCGAAGGACATACTTCCGAACCTCAAGTTTCCGCCTGGTTTCAAGTTTGGCATCGACACCGCTGCGTTCCAGGTCGAAGGCGCCACGAAAAGCGAAGGAAAGGGGCCCACGATGTGGGACTGGTGCACTCACCAACCGGGATGCACGGTCGATAACTCCACTGGTAGGCTGTCTCATTCGCTCTTGCGTGCTGTGCTTATGGTTGGCAGGCGACGTTGTCGACCTACAGTACTTTTTGTACAAGGAGGATGTCGTTCGCGTCGCTGCGCTTGGCATCAAGGCACACTCGTTCTCGTGTGTTGGCTATTCCTTGCATTTGAACGCTGAACTCACGGACTCCAGGATCTCATGGGCTCGCATCTTCCCTTTCGGTACGGCGGACTCTCCGCTCAACCACCAAGGCTTGCAGCATTATTCGGATTGTGAGTTGTCTGTTCTCTGCGTCCGTAGATATACTAACTGGCTTAGTGATCGACTACCATCTTGAGCAGGGCGTTGAGCCCGTGGCAACATTATGTAGCGTGTTTTTGCCTTCGAGTATCAGTCGCGCTTATGCCAGAGTCCAGTCCATTGGGATACTCCGTTGGCCCTTTTGGCGTACTATGGCGGTTTCACTTCCCCGAAGATTGTTGAAGACTTCGTCAAGTAAGTCTATGTTCTGCTTTTCGAGCTTCACTCATGAGGTGACAGCTATGCCAAGACCGTATTCAAAGCTTACAATGGACGGGTCAAGACTTGGTACACGTTCAATGAACCTCGGTTCGGCTTCTGCGCTCTCATTACAGCAGACATACTGATACATACACCAGAGTTTTCTGCGGATCGCTGAACGGATCGCCTTTCTGTATGTGATGTTCTATGGGCCATTGTCCTCATCTCATAGTTCACAGCATCGCTGCTCGCGCCGGGAGTCAATGCGTCGATGGCCCCCTACGTCTGCGCCTATCATTTGAGTGAGCACGAGTCGTAACAGTGCATCTACTAGAACTGACTTCTGTTTCTAGTGAAGGCTCATACCGCTGCTGTCAAAGGCGAGGCGCCTCCTTCAACTCGAGTCCTAGTGCTTATTTCGATGCAGCTTTCAGGCAGATGGGAATCAGCGGAGAGATTGCTTTCAAGAGTGACGACTTCCTGTGCGTCTTCACTGTCACATATCCATCCGCGAAAAGGCTTAATTCCAGCACAGCGGTATTCCATGGAGATCCAACTCGACAGAAGATGCTCTCGCTGTTGAGCGTCACACCGCGTTCCGCCTCGGCGTCTTTGCTGATCCAGTGTACACGACTGGTGACTGGCCGCAAATCATGAAGGACACCCTCCCACCTGAGTATCTGCCACGTTTCACTCCCCAGGAAATCAAAGATAACCTCGGTGGGTCAACTTCCTCTGGTGCATGAGTCTGCATTAACACTCGGAACTAGGAACGGCGGACTTCTTCGCCATCGACGCCTACCGTGTCCAGTACATCGTGTCTCCGTCGGTTGGTATCGACGCGTGTGTCGCAAACACCTCGCATCCACTGTGGCCTGAATGCAATGACGTGATGCTTTTCGATTCTTCAAATGCGGGTTGGGCGGCTGGCATCAGTGCCGATGCGCGTTCGACCTGGCTGCAGGCTACGCCGAATGCCCTGCGAACATTCCTGAAGGGCTTGCACACCCGTTGGCCTACGAAGAAGATGGTAAGTGCTCGAACCAGATGATGATGCATCCAGCCGTTTGACCGAACTGCTAGTACGTCTCTGAATTCGGATTGACAGAACCGTTCGAGTGGGCCTGGATCGATCTGTTCCGCATCACGGTGAGACCGATTTTTTTGCTGCTGTCTGCCCTGCTGACTGACTGCTGGATGACAGGAAGATGTAGCACGAACCAGTGAGCATATCCATCCTCTCATACTCTCGCCCTAAGCTTGTTCGAAGATTACTTCATGACCTATCTGGGCCAAATCATGCTGTCGATTCACGAGGACGGCGTGCCGATCGCTGGTATCTTTGCGTGGGGTGAGTTGTACAGCTATCTCCTTGTAAAATGCTTCACGCGCTCTTGCAGCTATGCTTGACAATCTGGAATGGAATGATGGCATTCGCACCAAGTTCGGCATCCAATACGTCAACTACACCACTCTCGAAAGAGTCTACAAGAGATCCGCCTTTGCTTTGTGTGAGTTTAATGGTTTACGGATATCAACCTTGCCTGATCAAGATGCCAGCGGAATTCTTTAGTACTCATCTCCAAAATTGAATATCAATATATGCCTACGTAGACAGAATCGAATTTAACTGGATTTGAGTCTGGCTAATTCTCGTTGCACATTCTCTCTGGCCAGTGTCTCCAAGTGTTGTGTGTTGTTACCCAAGTAGATTTGCTTTTTTTGGAGGAAACTCTCGAGTATCTCCGTCCTGCCCTGGTTGTAAGCCTCAGCAGGAAAATGGATGAACTCCTGCCGAATCTCTGCAGCATATTTGTCGTATACTTCTGCACTTTCGGCGAGGATGGCCATGTCCAGGTCCATGAACAATGCGAACGTCTCCGTAGGTAAGCCCTCCGGCAGGGTCTGGGGGATGCTGTGAACGATCGTCCCCTCGATGAGCGCTGAGACGGGTTGCTTCAAGTTCATCTGTTTGGATCCCAATCAGCCGGGTCGCTCGGTATCACTCGAAGGACAAGGATGCCGCTTGCCAATTGGGTCGAACCGGTCGAGTCAACGAAGGCCTCCCACACGCGAATGCTCTCCTGTTCGTTCCAGGGGCTGCCCCGCTCGGGGTCGTACACACAGTCGTGAAACCAGATGGCCAGCTCGACCATCAGCAAAGGTGCTCGTCCTTCCAAGTGTGAGTCAAGCGAGCTGAACATGTGTGACAGATGGTCCAGGGTGTGGTAGTGACGCTGAGATTCGGCGTATCGAGTCTGGAGGTCTACAGCCATGCGGCTCAATATTTCAAAGTCAATTGAAGGGTCAATGGCTTGGACGGTCTGGATGAAACGGGCTGCAGTGGCCATTTGAGAGATGGATGGTCAGATGTGAGTCCTCGAGTCCTCTTAGCCTGTCTACGTGCTTCGACTCGGAGATTAGATTCGCTATCAATGATACAATCAACAATTCCGTTGTCAACATCGGCGGCATACACACAAATTCCACTCCTCTGACTCCATGTCGATGGCGCTCGAGCACCCTGGCTACGAGAAACTGGAGAATGAGATATCAGCCCTGTTTCTTGGACCCGCTCCGCCGTTCATTTTCGTCCACGACCCCGTCTCTGTCCGCACGACGGCACACGTCGTCACATCCGTCCTCGCGTCACTCGCTCCCAAATCGACGCGCACGGACGCGTTTTCGCGCGTCTCTCTCGCGCATCTGAATGCAGTCGCGTGTCTCAGCCCTCGCGTGCTCTACGACACGGTGTTGAATCAGCTCGCGGGGTGGCAGGCGTCGTGGAACGATGGGGCCAGCGTTTGGAGGGGTCAGAATGGCGAGCAGAGGTGGAATGAGAATCTCGATGGATTCCTGCACGGGCTTCAGGCTGTGGGTGGACGTGAGGGCCTCGGAAAGGAGAAGGGGAAAGAGAAAGAGCATGAGGTCACTCACATGGCAATCGTGATCGAGCGCGCTGAGCGACTGAGAGACCAGCTCCCTGAATTGGTCGTTCCTCTGACGAGATTAGCAGAAATGGTACGTCATTTCTCTGAATGTGACCACATCTAAACCTGCGCAGGCACGAGTCCCTTTGAGCGTCATCTTTATCTCGGAAGTGCCATGGCAAGATTTGCGGCCTCCATTCGGTGCATCTCCCGACCCATACTACGTGGATATGGCGCCGCTTGCCAAAGAAGGTCCGTTTCCTTCAACCCCAAGCCTTCTTAGGCTAAGCATCTAATAGATATCTCGCGACGCTTGAATGCACTTTTTCGTACTATTGCCTCAAGCGTGCCCAAATCCGACCTCTCCAATCCGTATAATCCCACACTCCAATCGCTCTACGCCCATTTTGTGTCCGTGCTTCTGGATAGCTGCACGTTATATGTCCAGAATCCCGACGAGCTGCAATATATCGCTGCTGCGCGTTGGCCCGGTTTCGTGCAACCCGTCTTGGATGCGAATAACAGGGCAGGCGATCCAGAAGATGCGGATATAGACGCAGAGTCGCTGACGATGAGACCCCCCAACGAGGGCGAACGGATGCGGCTCATACGCCTATTCAAGCCGACATTCAAGACTGCGCTGGAGAAGCTTTACCCGAGGCTGAATCACGCGGCAAATTGGGCCCGGTCGAATGCCCCACCGCATGATTTGCTTTCGAAACCCGTGCGCGAGACGCAGCCGTTCGGGGACGGAGCTGAGCCTGCCGGCGATGCTATGGATAAGCGCATTCTGGACCTAGCTCGGATGTCCAAATTCATCCTCATCGCTGCATATCTGGCATCGACTAATCCGCCCAACTCGGACGTCCGAATGTTCGGGAGAGGTCTCGATGAGAAGAAACGCAAGCGGAGGACGGTTCGAGTGACCAAGGCTGGAACCACGAAGGTTGATCATGGTAATCTTGTGCTTCTTGGATGCTGATACATTGACAGGCGCCTCAGCGAGTTCTAGGGCCCAATCCAGTCCCGCTGGACAGGTTGTTGGCCATTCTAGGGATAATTCTGGAGGAGAACGACGCAGACAATCGTCTGGACTCAGACGAATACCCGATTCCGGGAGAGTATACTGACATGGAGCTGGCTCGGGTTGGAACAAATGCACTGGTCAGTCTTCCTATCCACACACAAACAGTTCGACACCTGAAACCGATCTAGATATTGGAACTGAGCAGCATCGGCTTGTTACACCGCACTTCTGCAGCAGATCGCCTCGACGGCCCACCGACGTTTAGATGCGGAATCTCTTATGCTACAGCCTCGATACTGGCGAAAGAGCTCGACGTTGCGTTGGATGATCTGCTATGGGACCCGGCCTAATCTATCCACTCGATTTCATACGAGCATCAACGTCAGAGGCCAGAGGGATGCTCGCCATTGCACCCGGCTTTTCCACACACATTCCCGCGGCCTGGAAGCATATCAGCGACAGGCCAAAACTTTTTTCCTGCTTTGAAACACACCTGTGTCGCTCGCCGGAGGACCGCGACGTAGTCATCCGTTTGTCCAACCAACAGATCCATCAACCCAGCCACAAGATAGCCAGTGAAGCAGTCGCCGGCACCCGTCGTATCGCGATTTGATCCTAGTAGCTTGGCGGCGGGCACGTAGACCGGGTCTTCCTCGCCCAGTCTTGCGAGCAGCCCATCACCGCCGAGGGTGCAGACGATCTTTGTTTTCGGTGTGTGCTTCGCCAGCAGATGGAGCAATACTCGAGCGCAATCCACTGCGGCACTCGGCAGTGCGGGTGGGATGGCCAAGCCGAGTGCGACACAGATCTCTCGCATCTCGCCGCTGTTCACTACGAGCCACGTCAGGTCGTTCCACGGGAAGTGAAGGAGCTCTTCGGCTGAGGGCATAGGCGATGGGTTGAAGACAGAGGCGATATTCCTGGCTGATGTAATGGAGAGATAGTCGAGGGTATCCTTGAGAGGGATCTCGTTCTGCAGAACGAGATGTGTGGTATCTGGGTGGATCGTGTGCGATGGCAGGGTCGAACAGTTTGCGCCTTTGAACAGAACTAATCCAAGTGAGCGGCGATCGGTGTGGACTGGCTTTTGATCTACTTATGCTGTTCTCTCCGCTCTGCGACACTTGGATGATCGCGCGTCCGGTGCTTTCCTGCGCGGACCTGAGATTAGAGCGGCCGCGGAAATTGAGACCAGGTGCACCTGCACGACCGCTACGCTCTCCGTGTTCACGCCCGATGCCGTGAGTTCGTCCCTGACCCATGTCCCATCATGCCCTACCGCGCTCACGAGGTCCACGAGCCCGCCGGCGCGTGCGATAGCGGCAGCTTGGTTAGCGCCCTTGCCGCCTGGCCGCCTGACGAGTTTCGTGGACGAGATCGTTTGGCCTGGAGAGACGATATCGTCGACTAAGGGAGCGATCTTCAGTCAGCGCGATCGGGAACGCGTTCCAGGAACACCCCTTGCCTTGGAAGAACTCGTCCACATCTAGAGGCACAATCCTCGGGATCGCGTCAGTTGTCGATGGGACGTGTCGGCGGAGACGTACTGATAGATCCCCGTACGAGACACCGCGGGGCCATGAGAGATAGGATGGTTCAAAGTTGAGAGTTGAGAAAATTTATTTGGTCGATCGCAGCGGTCAAATAGGAACGGGGGGATGAAATTTCTGTCCATCGTTCTGCCTATAACCTCACACCCATCCGCATTATACAGTATTTTCCTGAATATCTGTAGAACATATCCTCTAGCATTGAGTCGTTGAGAGCAGGTCCCCCCACCTTTGCTTCAAGAAAGCTTGATGATCGGACATCGGGACGCCCGGCCCGTGTCCAGACCGTTGCTGCTTCTCGTATTCGTTCAGCAGGTGCGGGGCACGGCGTTCCTCTCCCCACGTCAATGATGATCCTATCGCCACCCAATCTTAATTTTCTTTCTCCATGACACTCTCCATTCCTCTTGCCGCCAAGCTCAGAGCCAACGCGAGGGCTGCTGGAGCGTGGCTCACCCTGCCCAGGTGAGAGGGCGAGAGGCTCCGGCTCCGCGGCATGCCCTGTCGGGCAGCATCGAACTCACGCTGACATCGCAGCTCCGCAATTGCTCGCACCATCGCGCAGACTGAGGGAATCTCCTGGGTCCTGATAGACGCGGGTAATTATCCTTTTGCGCCCTTCTAGCTCCGTTCAATGCTCAGCCTCTTGATTGTCCAGAGCACGGCCTGATCACCGGTACACCCTATCCTGGTCGCGCTTGGACTGGCGGCTGACTCCCCTGCGCCAGACTCCAACTATTATGACCTTGCGAATACAGTGGCTTCCTCCGGGGCGTCGCCTCTGATTCGGGTGCCCGCAGACGAACCCTGGATGATCAAGGTGCGGTTGTCACCCCCAATCTATTCCGGTCTGAACGAGGGACCCTCAGCGCGCGCTGGACGCAGGTGCCCATGGGATCATGATTCCCATGGCCAACACCCCGGTGGGTCCCCCTCCCCAACTTCCTTCAGGGCCACCCCGGAAAGACTGAACGACGTTCCCCCCGTGTGTGCAGGAGATCGTCCGCCGCGTCGTGTCCGCGACCAAGTATCCGCCGGTGGGGATCCGGGGCTTTGGCCCAATGTTCACACACGCCGCCGGAGCGCTCGGCGGACCGTACAAAGCAGCCGCCAACGAGGCGATGCTGATCGCCGTGCAGATCGAGCACCCAGATGCGATTGAGCAGATAGACGCGATCTGCGCCGAGGGGATTGACATTGCATTTGTATGTATTACTTACTTGTGCAACCCTCTTTTTGGACGAGAGACTCACGGTGTACCTTCTACTCCCAGATCGGCCCCTTTGATCTCGCGACGTCCATGAACGTCGAGTTTGGAGGCGAGGAACACGAAGCGGCGATGGCCAAAGTCGTGACTGCCTGCAAGAAGGCGGGCAAAGTGGCTGCCATATTCTGTATGCCATCTGCCGCCTCGCTTTCCCATGTGCCAGTGACCAATCCTTCCCAGGCTTGAACGGAGACCAAGCGGAGAAGCGCTTCGAGCAAGGGTTCCAGATGGTCAGCGTCACAACTGATATCGACACGCTCGTGGCGGGCTTCGCTACCGAGCTGGCAAAGGTGAACGGAAACGCAAAGTCCGCTGCAACCGGTGGATATGGATACTGAAAGTATTAGACGTTGAAGAAGGAGAATGTATGTAACTTACTTGTAACCGTGACGGCAGATGACCGGTCTGCCTTCGAACGCAATGTCACCAGGCCGTCTGGCTGACCTGTGCCGGGCCGTGCACGACTTCTACGAACTTCAAAAAGTGCTTCGGCAGCACGCGATGCTATCATAAGCCGATGATCCTCCTTCAAGTTGTTGCCATTGCTTTCTTTTCGCTAGCCATCAGCGCTGCAGCTGAGATCGACCGCCATGGACTGGTGACGCGATACAACCCGCGGCGGAACGCGTCCAGCTCGAGCACGCCCATGCAGGTCGGGAACGGCAATTTCGCGTTCGGCGCGGACGTGACAGGCCTGCAAACGCTGCAGCCGTGGGCGATCATGTCGAGCTGGGGCTGGAAGAACGACACACTGCCGGCGAACAAGACCGTCGAGGACGTCGCGGACTACAGCGGCGTCAGCTTGGACAACCACGGCCGGCTTGTCGAGTATATGTTCAACGGTCCCGCCCCGCTCCAGCAGTGGATGATCGCGAACCCCAACCGCGTCAATCTCGGCAACATCGGGCTCGTGTTCTTTGGGTCCGACGGAGCGAGACTGAATGTCACTGAGGCTGACTTGAGCGGTGTAGACCAGGTCTTGGATATCTGGACCGGCACTCTCACGAGCCGTTTCACTTTCAATGGGTCCGATGTTACTGTTACGACCGTCTGTGGGCAAGAGGATGATACTATCGGAGTGAAAGTACTGTCTCCTCTGCTAGATTCCGGTCTTTTGGGAGTATTCATGGATTTCCCTTGGAACGACGGAGTGAGAGGTTGATGCTTCAACCGATCAAACTGTATCTAACCCTACCACAGTCAGCGAAGTTCTCCGCTCCATTCGTGGGGTCATGGACCAATGCGAATTTACATACCACTCAGCTACTCGTACATGGCTCGACCTCGGCGTCGATATCACACACGATTGGAAACTCGACCTTCTCAACCTCAATAGGGGCCGGGAATGCCATCAATATTACTCGCGACTCGCCGAATGCTCACCGATACACCCTGCGTCCGGTCGCAAAAGGGAAAGAATTCACTTTATCTACGACATGGGGCACGTCTACGCCGCAGAAAACTCCAGCGCCGTTCGAATCTATTCGACAGTCCTCGAATCGCGCCTGGCAGGATTTTTGGTTGAAATCCGGATTTGTGGATGTCTTGACAGGCTCGAGCGATGCGAGAGCCGACGAGCTGCAGAGGAGGATAATCTTGTCGAGGTATTTGATGAGAGTCAATGAGGCGGGGGACTTCCCGCCGCAGGAGGTGCGTCGCAGATTTTCTGAATGAGACGAAGAGACCAAGGCGTACAGTCTGGGCTTGTGAACAATGGTTGGGTGAGTGGAATTTCCTGTCTCGGAAGACCTTATCTCCCATCTTTTTATTCAGTACGGGTGGGTGCATTTGAGCTTTGAGAAGACGCGTAGACTCACTCGCATAGGAAATTCCACCTCGAAATGTATTTCTGGCATTGTCAACATTGGGCGTTGTGGAACAACTGGGACTTGCTTCTTCGCTCGAGCTCGATTTACGAACGCTTTCTCCCAACCGCGATCGCAAGGGCTCAAGTTCAGCAGGGCTGGCCGACCGGGGCGCGGTGGGGGAAGATGAGCGATCCATCAGGTCTGTGCTCATCAAGCCGCTCCGGGCCAGTCATCTTCATTGATGATTGTATCTCAAGGCCGTTCTGCTCCTGGGCAGATCAACGAGCTGCTCATCTGGCAGCAGCCCCACCCGCTGATCTTCGCTAACTACGAATACCGCGCGTTCCCCACGGCAGCCACACTGGCAAAATGGGAGCCCGTCGTCCGCGCCACCGCCGACTGGATGGCCGCATTCGCATGGTTCAACCAGTCGACGGGGGTCTACGACCTCGGTCCGCCGATGTACCAGGTCGCGGAGGACAACATCTACAACAACACGTACAATCCTTCCTTCGAGCTGGCCTACTGGCGCCTGGGCTTGGGCTTCGCCGAAGAATGGATGCAGCGCTTGAACCAACCGGTGCCGAGCCACTGGACCACCGTCAAAAACGGGCTGGCTGGGCTGCCGGTGGGGAGTAATGGCCTGTACAAGGTCTTCGAGGACGTGGAAGATGGATTCTGGACGGATCCCAAATACACCAAGGACCATCCCGCGCTGGTGGGGCTGCACGGATGGCTCCCGCTGACGGCTGGCGTGGATGCCAATATCTCCAAGCTGACGACACAGAAGGTCTGGACGACCTGGAATGTGTCCAACCTCTGGGGGTCAGTCCCACTTGCTGGCCTCGAAACGAGTCTCATGCGATTTTCGCACAGCTGGGATTTCCCGATGCTCGCCATGTCGGCTGCGCGCATCGGAGAGCAGGAGCAAGCGGTCGACTGGCTGCTTCATCCTGATTTCCAGTTCGACGATGTCGGGATGCCGGTGGGAGGAGTCCGGTGCGTACTAGCCACCCAAGTCGCTGCTTTGATTGTGCCTGACGTATCTATGTATTTGTCTACTTACTTTCCAGGGTTCCGACCCCGTATTTTCCGGGGGCAGGTTCTCTTCTCTATGCGACTGCCATGATGGCCGGAGGTTGGGATGGAAGCAATGGAACTGCGCCCGGGTTTCCTGCTGCTGGATGGAATGTCCGGGCCGAAGGTCTGAGTAGGGCCATCTAAGAGACACAAAGTTAACCTTGTGCTGCATACAAGTTGATCTGTTCCTCCTTCGATAGACCCATTCGGCCTCTCCAGAACTGTGGCAAAAGCGGAGGCTGTGTAAGACTAGACGGTCGCAGGTCCGTTTTCAGAATGTCGTCGAGCACCGCTGGCACATCTTGGGGTGTGAGATTTCCCAGCCTGAGCACACACATCGATCAATCAATGGGTGATCAGGGCTCTGGAAGAACTTGCCATTCGCCGTGAGGGAATACCAAGACGTTGGCGGCATGTTTGTGGCCGCCGACGTGGGCCACCTCTCCCAGCACGACGTGTTTGGCCAGGTCGTTCGGATCGAGGCGGACGCGTCGGTCCGTTTCCTCCCGCAGCGCACGGAGAACACCCCCTCCGATGTCGCCACAGCGGCAATCCCGCGCTCCGTGAGTGCAAACGTACAGATGCAGCTCGTCGTCACGTGCCGCAGGCACCTGGGGTGTCAGTGCGTGTTCTCGCAGTTGCTCTGAGACTTTGTCGACGTCCGACAACGATACAGCCGGGATTTCCAGCCGGCCGCCCAGTGTAGAGAAGGCGGTCAGAGATGGGGCCTCTTCGTTCACAGATTGATTTAGCGCTGGTCTCCAGGTGAAATTGACGATGCCGCCCCAGCGACCGACTTGGAGCTGCAGTGCTCGCTGTAGGGGCGTAGAGTGCCGCGCATCAAAGGAAGACGGTGGATTCGGAGAGTGGAGTAGGATGTACGACTGGTGCGAGATGACTGTGCCGAAGAGCTCTGAGGGCGCTTTGGAGGAAAGCGCGCGAGAAGACCGCAATCTCACAGTGCGCCCCGAGGGAAAACAGTCGCGGATGGCGCGGGTGAGATGGCGCGTCGTCATGCAGTCCCTTTCCGCTTTCCAAGTCGGAGTCCAAGTTCAAGTGGTGGTTCTTGTCATATTGCACTCGAGAAATGGATAAATATAGCCGCTCACGTGCTCAAGGCTGCGACTGTTCTCTCGGAACCATCTTCGCCAGTTGTAAATACGAGATCTCGGTCGGCTGAATATCTTTGCTACATTAATCCGACGACGCGATCGTGAATGTCGGTCAAGCCACCGAGAAAGCTGCTTATCCTCGATCTCAATGGGACTCTTGTCTTGCGCTCCAAATACGGCCGGGGCACCGTCCAAGGCAATGTGCGCATGCGCGCGGTGCACCCCCGCCCCTACCTGGCGTCTTTCGGGCAATACCTATTCCACCCGCTGACGATGGAGTGGCTCGACTCCATGGCCTGGAGCTCCGCGCAGCCCCCCAGTGTCGCGGACATGATCAGCAAGTGCTTCAGCGCCGAGCAGCGGGAGAAACTCCTCGTGATCTGGGCCCGGGACAAGCTGGGTCTCCCGCCGCATCTATACCGTGCGCTCCACCGTGCCGAGTGAGCCGTTTGTTGCACTGACCCTTGCGCGTCTAGGGCAGAAAACACAGACCACGAAGGACCTGGCGAAACCCTGGGCCGAGTTCCCGAGCCATTCAAAGCGCACGACGCTGCTGCTCGACGACTCGGCGTTGAAGGCACATCTACAGCCCGACAACCACGTCTGCGTCCCCGAGTACACGTCCGTGACGAGGCGGCGCGATCTTGACACCGCGGAGCGCGCGCAGAAAGCCGAGTCAAGCACGAAACCTAACGCGAAGGCGAAAAAAAGCAAGACGCGGCAGCCGGTCCTGTTCGCGCCTGATCCTGCGTTCGCGAAAGCGGCGCCGCATGCGCCAGCGACGGCGGGACCCCCGGCGGATGGAGACGAGCCGAGATACGACGAGACGTTGCTGGCTGTGGTCGGTATCCTGCAGACGCTCAAGACGGAGCCGGACGTCTCGCAATGGATCGCCAACGGCGGCCTGCTAAGAAACGAAGACGGTGTAACCGCGGCCCCGAAGGACGACTCGACAGACCCACTCGTGAAAGAAATCGGTGCGCTTTCGCTGACCCCCAAACTGTGGTTTGAGAGTGCGCCGACGGTGGACTACTGGGTGAAGCAGGGACGCCACGCGTTGGGGGTGCTTGGGATCGACGAGGTCGCGGGCATTCATTCAACTTAGACGACACGCGACTGGCTTCTCATGATGTCGTGAGCAGTTCGGAGTGTGTAGACGCTAACACAAAAGCAATGCCATACAATCTCCCCCCGGCACTAGACTCGCTTTAGCATGAACACGCGACAACGAATGTGATATGGGCGGCAGCCACTGCATGTCAGCAGGAAGCTTGCTCGCCACCATATCCTGCAGACATGTGTTCTACAGACGCGCAGCCTGTCGTGTCGAATCGCACAGGGAAGCCTCCGGACAGCACTTTTCTCAGGAACGAGTGACAGCACTTCCGAGTTCACACCTTTCTTCGGGCGAACTGGTTCGCCAGTCCTTTCCCAGGCAAAGCTTAAGCAGGCATGGAACGCGGTGACTCGCGGAACCGCCGAATCCTTCCGAAAGCGCATAAGATAGTGACGGATAGTATAAACAGGCGCCTGCGGGATACTTTTGTTACTGTACCATCCGGTGGAGGGCCGACCCCAGCCATCCCCACCGCATTCGGCCCTGTAGCCCGCCAAGAGAAGAGGTGATCTAGGCCAGTTTGTTACTTGGAGAAGGCACGAATGACTTTGGCGGAGATGTGCAGGAAGAAGATAGACGCGATGAAGGACAGCGAGAGGATGAGCACGATGAACGGGTCACTGCAGACGGAGAAAACAGAGGGGACACCCGTCAGCGGAGCCAAGGAAAGAAAGGATGGTTGGGGAGACGCACACTCGGAGTCCAGGAGAGTCATCCGTGTAGAGCTTCAGCATAGTGTTAGAGGACCCGCCAGCACCAGCAGCCCGCGTCGAGTTTGGCCGTGTCACAGCACCGCCTGCACGTCGCCTGGCACAAGAGAAGAGTTGAGCGCATGTGCTCGCCTGCGTGTCGAACTGGGAATGGACGAACCGAATTTGAGTTCCCACCGGAGGCCTCACACCAGAACCATTAGCCTTGGGCGAAGGAACATCTGAATCAGACTGTCAAGAGCCATGAGAAATGGACCACCGCGTGAGTACGGGAAATGACAAACCATGTATAAACGAAGGAAAGGATTCAGTGGAGGGGTAAAATTTGGCCGGTGAGGAGGGAGGAGTGTAGTGTGACTGACACGTCCTCATCATTCGACTGACACGTCCGCATCATTTGATGTGACATGTCAGGTCACTGACATTGATGCGAGTGACTGATGGACGCCTCATGGGTCTCTCCGAGACCTGTTCTGCGTTAACCCTGGAATCCTGCAGTCGTTAAACGTTAAACCGTGGCATGGCGCTGAACGTTTGGACCTGAATATACTCTCACCTGCTCGCGACCTCCCGCAGACACTTGGCAAGAATTCTACCGTGGAGTACTTGGGGTGGCACGCGCGCAAAATGCAGCCAATGACCGCCTTTGTGGCGACCACTCAAGACATGTTCTATGTCGGAAGAGCTTCATCTTGGAAACTCCATGCAGAATATTTCCGGGCAATATGGCCTGGAAGCTGTCGTCCAGAATGGCCATCTCGAGTCTGGGCACTACGCACTCCCTTTGTTCAGTGACCCCCAATCATTGTGGCTCTTCGCTGCTGTGCTGAATCTAGGCCTGGCACGGATCAAACGCAGCGGAAGGGTGATGCGCAGGGACGCGCAATTTCTCGCTGGGATTATGAAACAATCTTCAGAAAAAAAGTTGCTGGTGTGCTTGCTCTTCTGCTGGGTCCATCCGCAAATGACAGGATCATACCACCCATCACACGGGCGCATCGCCTTGGCCCTAGCAAGGGCTCTTCTTTTTTCGGCAGCCCATTCCTTCCCTGTCCTGTCTGTCCCTGGTCTAGCTCTGACATCAATGGCGGAGAGTCCTCTTTGCCGGTAAATGTGCCGGCGTTGGGCATTTCTGTGCGTATAAAAGCAGAGGCACATTTGTCTAAATGCATCGAACCACTCGAACACCATGCGCGCCAACGTCTTCTGCCTCCTCTCTGCTCTCGTCGCCTGCGCTGCGGGCATGGCCGCCCCCAATGCGGCTGTGGTGACGACCGCTGTGGGGATCCACCCCGGCAACAACTACGGCGCGCCGATCCCGCCCTGGGAGACCGGCTGCCAGCCCGGTTGGTACTACGGCCAGCCAAGCAACGCGCCCGCCGAGCTCGCGTCGCTGGTGTACTCTGTTGGCAGTCTCTTCGGCACTGTCCGTTTCTTCGCTTTCCTCGATATGTCTGTGCTCAATGCCGCCGATCTAGCTGCTGTGCGATCTCCTGCGCCTGCTGCTGGGATGCGCGTTCTGCCCGTCCGGGCCGCCCCCGCCGACGATGCTTCCGGGCAGCGGCGCCCCGTATAGCAAGCCGCCACCCCCGCCGCCTGCTCCCTACGGCTACAGCTATGGGTTCCAGAATCTCACGTGCGCGATCCAGATCTTCGTGCCGGCCAATGCGTACGAGACGTTCGGTCTGGTCGATTCTCCGCAGGGTAAATCTGCGCGCCTTGCGCCCTCCCGCGAGTTTGATTCTGACCGCTATTTCAGCCTGTGCCGACATGTGCACTGCGAACCAAGACTGCTGGAGTGCGAACTGTGCGTGCATGTGACTAACGTGGTTCTCGCTCACTGAATCCAACCTGCTCTCCAGATTACCACGACAACAACAGCATCGTCCGTTGTCCTCTTCCCCTATGGAAAGCACGATTTACTGAATCACTGATTGCAGAAAAGCTCGCCGCTGCTCACGTGCTCGCTGTTCCGTGTCGTTGCGACTCAAAAGGACGCCATCAACTGTGGCCAGCAGCAGCAGCTCGGCCCGCAGGGCCCTCAGAACTCGATCACCTCCAGCTATCTGCTTATCAAGTCCGGCCATTAGGCCCATCCGCTCTCTTTTCTAAATATGTTTATTTACACCTGTCCTCCCTATTAATGTCCCGCTTTAAAATCCACGGCGATTGCCTGTTTGACTTTGTGAAGAATGGCAATGAAAATGGACTGTTAGCTACTCCATCTCCAAGGTAAGCTGAATCCAACGCCTGGAAAGGAGACTGTTCTCAGCCTGAGACGCCAAAGCGAACTGAACATGAGGCACGGGAGTCGAAATCGGTCTATGTAGACGCTTCGCATTCAATGAAATCAGGACTGGTACTCGAACAAACAGACGCGGAGAGTGAAAATGTGTGAGATGAGGGTTCGGTTCCTTCATAAAACTATAAATCTCGTGAAATAGATTCGAGAAGATTGATGGCTCTTGTGTCAGTCGGATTTTCAATGAACCTTCCGCGGATTCATAGTCAAGCATAAGTATGTATATGTGCAAGAACCGCACTTGCTTGCGACAGCTTGCACGCCAATCAGCCACGTGCGTGGCACGCGTCCAGAATAACCCAGACTGTTACTGGTGACGACGGCGTGACCAGTTTTGCGTCGAGTCAGACGACGGACTCGTTGACTCGCATGGGGCTACTTACCTTTCCCTTTGACTACCATGTCGCTCATGATCGTACATAACGCTTTCCTCTCACCCCAGCCTTGTGTGCACGGCCCTTTGAATCGCTCTCACGACACTGTAACGACAAACCCTACAACGCATGGTTCCAGCAGAATGGAAGTTGGCCCCCCACAACACCCGAGTGCGGCCGGCTTTGTTCCAAGCTTACCGCAGCTGCTAGTGTAATCCTTTGAGCTGAATCCCCCCTTGTCATTCCTGAGAGGCTTCGCGATAGCATGGCGATGAGATGAGGTTGTGACAGGGTTCCACCGTGAATTGCTGATTTCTTGGGATCGATGGCGAGCAGGTGCCGACTCTTTCATCTATTATCTCCGGGAATTTCATTTGCGGACTCTCACGATGTCGGCAGGGTATTCCATCGCAGTGCAGCCAGCGCACATTGGGGCTTTTGTTAGGTTCACTCGCAGTGACATGCTCCCAGCACGAGGCCAGTCTTCGTCCAGTCGAACGAACGGAACCGGTTCACCGGTGTCTTGGGCCTGTCACGCGATTCTTCCACCTCCCCCAGTCCTGCGCCGGAACTTTTGCCCTCCGCACAGCACTTATCAGCCGCGCCCGCTCTCCATCTGCCCTGGCCAAGGCGATGGTGGGATAGCGGATCGGCGCGCCTCAACTTGCCTGATCAGGCGTGTCGTATCAGGGCATAGTGTTACTTGCCTGTCAAGTGTTCTGATCGAAGAGTCGGCGATGTCCTGTGACGATCTAGTTCGTTTGTGCGCGCTTACACCTCCCGTTTGGTTGATCTTGCCTCATGGGAGGGCATTATAACTGTTGCTTGTTTGTTTACTCCGCGTTCTGGCCTCCTCCATTCCGGTCCTAATCGGGGTGCTCCATTGACCTGTCCCACTTATATCACAACCGACCTCATCCCTCCTGCTCCCTGATCGCAGCAGTATCATATCCTGTCCATGCTCAGTCTCGGCCCCGGTTCAGCATGCGACGTATGCCTCGACTCTTTCACGTCGGGCGAGGGCAAGTCCCCATCGTCAATCCCATGCGGCCATGTCTTCTGCGTCGCGTCCGTCGTTCCCCTCGCGCCCGCCTTCTCTGCGCCGTGCTCACGCGCCTTGCAGGTGTCTGCGCCAGATAGCGGCCCGGCCCGTGTGCCCGCTGTGCCGGTCGCCCTTCCAGCCGCGGCACATCGTGCGGCTGCACGTCGACCTCGACAACGTGCGCAACTACGCAGCGGCGGACGGCACGGCCCTCGTGCCGGGAACCGAGTCCGAGGCGCGGCAGCTCCAGGATCGGATCAATGCGGTGGCCCAGCGCGGCGCGTCGGAGGTGCAGACGACCGAGCTGTTGCAGGAGTGCCGGCGGTTCCTGGGAGGCGTGGACCTGAAAACGGTGTGTGTGTGGCGCAGCGATGCTCTTCCATTGAGTCGTAGCAGCGTCGGCTGACACGTCCTGGCGATTAGTTCCCGGAGCTTCGCACGTCGTACTGCATGATGAAGTACATGTGTCACGTGAAGCGGATGTATCTCGAGCAGTCGGCTGTGGTCTCGCAGCACACCCTCCAGACCGACTTGAAGGACAAGGACATCCAGAGCCTGAGGACCGCACTCGACCTGGCTCAGTCGAAGAGGGACGAGCACTCGAAGCTACTGGAAGAGACAGAACGTCATGAGAAGCTGCTTGATGCCCAATGCAGCGAGCTTACCGAGCAATTGGCGACGATGGAAGCCGAGATGAAATTGTTGTCAGAGTGCGTTCATGTCCATATCCGTTCTGGGCCCCAAGCGCTGACGGTTATACAGGCAAGTGAGTATCTGGCGTCTGAGCTTGTTGGCTTCTTTGGCTAATGCCATGCTCTGTCGCAGAACGAGGCCGCTCAAGCCCAACTGCTTCTTGTGACCGACGAGCTCCAGCAGCTGCGCGCTGAGGTCGAGTTCTCGTCACCTGAGGGCGAGAGCCTCGCCGAGTTGCCGATCGAATCGATGCCTCTTTCTCCGATCACGGACTTGAAGCCGCCCACCGCGCCGGATCTCGAGGAAGAAGAAGAGGACGAGCCGCCCGCTCCATTCCTGTCGCCCTGGGCTGCTCTGATCGATTCGAAGACGGAGCCGCTGGAGCCGATGCGAGTGTACTGTGGTGCTGCGGGGTGTCCGCATTCGTGCAACTGCGTGCCGTTTCTGCTGTTCTCGCCCGGGTCGAGGGAGGCCGCTGCTGCGCGGGCTCTGGCGGATTCGGCGGTCACGCCTCCCTTGCTCGGATTCTCTCCTCCCAGCGGTCTTTCATTGCACCTACAACAGCAAACGGACCGCTCGCGGTCCCATTCGCGGCCTCGTAGCCGGTCGCTTTCCCGAGCTGCATCGCCCGTGGCTGGTCCACTCAAGCATCATCATCATCATCATCCTTCTTCTTCTGCGCAACAGACCCATATGCGTGGTCGTCTCCATGACATCCTGCACGATCCATTTCCGACGTCATCTTCTCTGCCCAATATGTCGCGGTCCCACTTTCTCCCCCCATCGCCCCCCACGCCGCCCCAGCAGCCGCCGAAGAAGAAGGAGCGCACCGGCAAACAGAAGGAGCGGGAGTCTCTGCCCGAGCCGCTGCCGTTGTATAGCCAGAGGCAATCAAGTCCTGCGGTCGAGGCCCCGCCAAGGTATCGAGTGTCGGGCAGTCCGCCGCAAGATCGGAGGACAGCCACTCCTTCGGCAGTGACAACCCCTTATGTTCATCCGCCGATGCTCTACATCCATCCTCCGATGCTCCATTCCGATACGCGGCCGTTTGTGTCTGCGTCGGCGGCGGCGGCAGCAGCAGCAGCGGCGTCTTCTACCGCGAGTTCTCAAGCTTCGGCGTCCGTTTACAAGTCCGGGCTGTCCCAGACGTACGCTTCGAACGCCCATCCGGATCCCATGTACCCCCGAAGCCTAGTGTGCCATCAAAGTCTGCTTATCCGCGGCCCCCGTTCATGTACACTGCGCCCGTCGCGCCTGCGCCGCCGGTTTCTGCTGTCTACGCGTCCTCGAGTCTCCCGAATAAGGCCCAGGCGCAGTCGCAGCCCATCGGATTCGATCGATCGAACACCACCACCCCCACCACCAGCACCAGCACCAGCACTCCTACTAGTACTCGCACGGACAAGTTGAGCAGGCGGGGATCGAGCAAGCGCGTCCCGCCGCGCTCGTCGTCCTCTGCCTTGTTCGCGTCATAATATGATATCATATACAACACCTTGTACCATATCCTTATTTCCTTCTATTCTGCACGAAATGCACGCTCCCCCCGGGCTGAATCTGCCTCCGTGATACCGGCCCGGCGCTCCGGCGTGGAAGCATCGATCGAGATGGCAGATATCAGATACGATGCTGCTACTGCAGGTGTGTGTTTGTTATCATTGAGCCAAGTGTCTGGACCACTCGAGATCCGGTGGCACCTCAATGGAATCTGCGCCAGCGCACTGAGTCTGCGTGTCTGGTGATGGGGGGCCCTGGTCAGCCGTCTGCGCACCACGCGACCCACCCAGTCCAAGCTAAGCTCAGCCGAGCTAGGCTGAGGTAACGCAAGTAAGCTCAGGCATACTCAATGATATGATATCGGGGGCTGGTGTCCACATCACACGAGCTCGAGATCGACAGAATCCACCACCACACACACACGAGGTACGTAACGGCGCGCAGCGCTGTCTTTCTCCGAGTGCCTCTCAGGTACCGTACGCACAGCAGTAAGATACATCCCCAACCGACCATCCAGCACGGACTGATGGGATGCCAGTGAGCCGAGAATTGACGACGGGGTTATCGATGGGGGGTGGGTGGATTCAGAGAATCGCACAAGCAAAAAAAGAACGGAAGGAAGAGAAGGGAAGAAACGTCTGGCCCAGGTCCATCCATCCATCGAACGTGCGCAGCAGCAGCCTTGCATTGCATTGCCTCACGCTCACACTCGCACGGAGAAACACAACAGCGTGTGGCGCCTGCTCACCGGCGCCGCCGCGACTGTCCGTCTGTCTAGTAGCCGGCCAGCCAGCCAGCCCCACGCACCCGGATCGCAGCCCAGAATAACAAGCTTTCCGGGGGGAAGACCACCACAACCTGCCACAGATCCTGCCCAATCAGGAAGCCACCCCGTATGTCCAAGCCAGCCCGGGGGAACGGAAGGTTTGCGATCGCGCATCCGGCTGCGATGCGGGATGGATGAATCTCGTAGACAATCCAGCCTGCGCAAACGGACACGATTGTGTCGGGGGCACAGCGATAAACAGGCCACGGAGATCCCCACAAGACACGAGAGACCAAATATATCCGGAAAGAAAACACGAACGATAGGAAATTCCCGATCTTCCTGAAACAATGCAACGCAGCACCGGCGCACCAATGGCTGCACTACCCGAGGGCTTGTGTTGTGTTGATAGATTGAGAAGGCGCTAGCACAGAAAACCCGGGACATCGTGATCTCTTTCGCCATTGTCCTCTGGAAGTTGCCGGTGGAGAGAGGAACGATCCCGGAAAGTGGCGAGACAGACAGGACCGCATGCAGAATGGTTGGAGAGCGACGAAATATGACATGATATCGTAGGATAGATGATACAGCAGCAGCAGACGAGGGACGTCATCGCTGCCGATCTAGCCCTTCTTGGAGCCACACTGGTTAAGACCCGCTCCACAGAACTGCGCGACCAGAATCCACAGGAAGATCTATCCAAGCGCGTCAGAAATACATCGTCTCTCTCTAACCGACGCGTGCTCACCAAAGCGACCAAAACACACAGCGCCGTGATCTTCGAGTTGCGCCACCACATCTGTCGCCGGACTGTTCGCGCTCCTCTCCGGAACGCGGTCGCCTGACCGGCCATGACGTCGGTCTTGTCCACCAGCAGCTCGATGCGCTCCCCACGGCTGAGAATCTGCTCGACGTTCTGCACCATAATGTTCTTCACCTGATTCAGCTCGTTCTGCGCGCGCGACAGCTCGTCGGCGGGTGGGGACGTGTTGTACGTGTTCATCAGGTCAGCGATGGTCGGCCCGAACGAGCCTTGCAGGCCGTGCACGGGCGTGTCGAGCGATGCGGACGACGGAGCTCCCAAGAACTACACATGCACATGCGCAATGATATCATGATCAGCTTCGCGAAGAGAGAGGGATACCCGAGCACGACAAGCGAGGCCGCACCTTCCTCTGCAGGTCAGCCAGAAACGCGAAAGGCATGCGCCTGATAGCAGCGGCCTCAGCGCAAGCGAACAACCGAAACACCGGGTGCACGTACCGTCCAGCCGAATCGTCCGCCATGACGAGATACGTGAAGCCGCCCTCGGAGATATAGTGGAACAGAAACTCCTCCCAGACGTACGTGAGCTTGCTGTGCCACTTGCTCAGGCCGCGCGCACACATGATGACGATCCCACACTCGGAGACGACGCTTACCTGTCATTGGGCGGGATCTTCGAGAGGATCTTCTCCGTGGCTGCGTTCGCAAAAGAGACGCGTTAGTTTTGTGTGAGCTCACCCCCCTCCCCGCGCAGGCGTCACTACGCACCTTGCGAGAAATTTCGCTTGCCCGCTTGATGCTCGGCAAGAATCGTCGAGCCGCGTGCGACCAATGCGTGTATCTTGGGGGATTAGCCCAGCTTCAGTACCGTCGGTTTCGCAGGGGTGCAGGCGGGAACGTACGAGAGACATGGCGGGCGTACTTGGTGGTGGTAGTGGTGGTCTGAGTCGGTGCTTGATCGCTGTTGCTCTCAAGCTGATGTCATCGCCGTCGCTTGTGTGACGCGTCACTGATGCGTCCGGTGTTTGCCGCAGAATGTAAATAGGAGAGTTGAATTTCATGCGATTGTTGGGTACATGCAATTAGGTTTACAGTAGACTACGCGCTCAAAAAATTCGGACTGTGTCCAGTCTGTCAAAGCGCCCAGTGCCTCCCGAGCCAGGAACCGGATATGCAGGCGGCGAGGACACCCTTGGCCGCGGGCCAGGCGCAAAAGTCGTGACTATCTCAACCGGGAAGAGACCTCGAGGCTTCGAATCATCCGGCTTGAAAGCAACGGCATTTGGAGGCGTGATGACGATGGCGTACTATATCGAAGAGAAAATCAAGATAAAAACCGTGTAGAGGCATTCGCTCGTACTTACCTCCAGGCTGAAGTACCGGATTTTACCCGAGGGCGACAGATCCTTGCTGAGAGCGATCTCACCCACCAGATGCCGGACGTGGTTTCCCCCCGTCACGGACACGGACTCGTCTGCAGCGACCGGTGCTGGCGACCACACGACCTGGCCCAGCGCCTCGACCTCGCTGCTCGACACCTCGTATGTGCACCGGACACAGCGCTGGAGATGCACACCGGACGACTTGATGGACGCAAACACGTCCGCTGCCTGTCGGTCCGCGGTCTCAATCGTCATCGCACACGGAATAGCCGTGCTGCGGGTGTAAGTGAACTATCACATGATCGAGTTCAGACTTGGAAACAGCAGTTCAGATCAACCGCAATCTTGTCACGCACAGGTTTGGCAATGTATACCTGTGCGTGCGATACGAATCAGATGGAATTTGGAAGCGGTATTAGAGGTGCGCACGCTGCATTTCACCGCGATCGCGCGTTCTCCGAATAGCGTCCCCCGGAATTCCACCGGATCCAGTGCTCGCCATCCATCTGGATCTTCGAAAGGCCCTGGAGCCGTCGTCCCATTCCTATACGCAAGCTCGCGTCTTGGAGAAGGCCGAGCTGGCCGATTAGTCGTAAAATAGTTGAAGTGCGCCACAATCCTGGGGTCGATATTGAAGATGCGGACTGCCTGACACACCGGTCGAGCGGGACTCGGACTCACCGGTCATTCGATTGGAATTTCCCCTTCCTCTCGATCAGGAGCACGAGATAGTAATCAATCGCTGCCCGCGAAAAGCGCTCTTTGAAGGTGTGCGGCATGCGATAAGGCTGCTGCCCCTCTTCGGCGCCAGCCACGACGAGCTCTTGCGTCGGAATAGCGAATTGCCATTCGTAGTCCCCTTTGAGTTTCTTGTCCCACTCGGGACCCCCGGCTCCGGGACCCGGCGCGGACGGATCCCCCATGGACGGATCCCAGAGCACCCTTTTCACGTTCAGGAAATTCGAGCGCTGGACCGGCTCCCCGGAAGTACAGAGGTCGCCCCGGATCTGCCGCAGAGCAATCAGCCGCCCAACTGTTGCGCGCGCGCGCCGATCACCCGAGAGCAACCCACTTGGAGCGTGATCGCCTTGACGGGATCGGGCGAGCGAGCAAAGAGCTTAAAACTTCCGGAGATCGCGGAGCCGGCTACGAACACCGGCGCGCTGACGCTGAGCTTTGAGTGCGCTAGGATCGTGAGCGTCGCGGAGGGTTTGCTCCAGTAGTTTCGTATATCAAAAGTGTACTCCTTGGGATTAGGATCTGCGAGCGGGTTACCAGACTGCGCAAACATGTCAGTCGGTCGAGAAATTGTAATTGGCGCAGTCTGAGCAGACTCCGTACCGTGGCCTGAGAGGGCTCCAGGAGCTGCCCGTACGCCGGGAGCTCATCCGGGCTCGTCTGCAAATACGTCGGGGGACTCTGAAGTGAGGTCATGGAAGAGGGAGAAGCGCTCATGGAAGAGGGAGAAGCGCAGCCAGGGCAGGTGTCGTCGCACAGCGCGATGGTCTGTTGACAGGTTGACGTGCGACAAGTACATACGACGCACTAGCTGGCTACACTGCCGAGGTACGAGCTGTCTAGGATAATGATGCCCGCGCCACCTGCTCTTCCAACCAGGCCCAGAGCTCCGAGCCGGATTGAGGATCATCGACATCAGCACGTGCATGGTTCACTTTGGCCCATGGCGAAACATACTGAAAATCGACGGTCAAAACATAGCAGAGGAAACGAAACCAGGGCACGTCTTACTTTTCCGTTCAATTGCGCTCCTTCTTCGGAAGTGCCCGCCCACAGCTGGGAGAGCACACCCCATTTCACGGGCCGGATCATAAGGATATTCTATGAAAGATATACTGTCAGCCATAAGCATGAATACGCCCAGGATGTGACTAGCCGTGCCCAAGCGTGCCATGCCAGTAGCATCTTTGGCAAGGTCCGTTCTTAGATTACCTATGTGAGGAACGTTCAACATTGCCATGCGGCCAAATTGAGTGCGAACCTGGGTTAATAGACACAGAAACAATCCCCCTGTCAGCATATCTCCTTGCCAATTCTGCGGAAAAGACGGCTGTGCCCTGTGAGCGAGGAGCTTAGGGAAACAGGGCATCATCTCCGAGGACACGTGCGAAATACCCATTTGCTCTGCGCATATAGATCTGATGGATGCGATTTTCTGCGGACTGGGCCGTCTTTAAACGACGCGTAGTTGATGACGGCGGCGTAGTGGATCATCGAGGTCAAGTTCAGAACGCGGCCTGTTCCAGGTGTCGACGCAGCCGCGGCTTCAAGGGCCGGAAACAGGAGTTTCGTCAGGTAGAAATGACCTGGGTGCAGTCAGACATTGATCGTCTGTCGCTGGACTGGCGTACCCAGAACATTCGTCCCAAAGGTAAGGTCGTAGCCTTCCGGTGTCACCAACTCGATGGGAGGGACCATAACACCGCTGAAAAGGTTAATTCCGAATTTTCTAGCGATTATCTAAACACTCACCCGTTATTGTAGAGGATGTGGAGACGGGACTGCTTGCTAGAGATTCCTCTTCGGTCCTTGAGACAAACTTGTGCGATTGAACAAACCTTAGAAACTGCTCGGCGGCAGCCTTGATGGAAGAGAGACTGGATAGATCACATTCTAGGAAAATTGCTTCCTTTCCTGTCACTCGGAGCAGCTCTGCGATGGCATCTTGTGCTTTCGCGCGACTGCGACAAGCCATGTAGACAGTAGCGTTGTGCTCGAGCAATGCCTTTGAAGAGAAGTGAAAATCAGCTTCAGATGAGACGCTACAAGTTTCTGCTACTAGCCCGAGCAGTTTCCTTCCCGAGTCCCGCATTCGCCCCAGTGACAATAGCGACCTGACCCTCAAGATCAGGCATGTCACTTTCATTCCAGCCAGGCTCGCCGAGGAAGTATGACTGGCGATACATATCCCATATATTCCTGGGAGTCATTCTGGCGAAAGAGAATGGAATGCCCATCGTGCGGGGTGCGGTAGTGATGGTGGAAAGGAAGGAAATGAGATCAAAGTCAAACACTACGTTCTGATGCGATCATTACCGCGTAACTTCAGGTTCAAGTTTGCACACATGGAAAGCTACAGACAAAGGTACGCAAAGAATGTGACGAAAAGCAAGCTTCCTGTCCTTCATGCGCAAGATCGTACAACGTCGCCGTGCCTTCGCGTCCGGGACATGTGATCGTGTACCCTGAGATCACGTGAATAAGATCTTCCTTCGAGAATCCAATTAGCATATGTTCGCATTGATGCCCAGAAGCTGAGCCTCTGAAAAGTCGGGAGGACCCTTCACCCGAACCTATCATCGCGCTCGAATTATACAACTTGCTACGAGACTGCGAGCGAAGACAGGAGTTATCTAATCTAGCCTTCGAAACTTCGGTCCTTTTGATCCGATCGAAGTCTCATCGTTCTTACAAAGGGCCAGGGCTCCCAAGAGGAGTCGACTTTCTTCCGAACCACTATGCCGCCCGGATTTCTCTTAGTTACGTCTTTGCCAGGGCCCAAGGTGACTCTCGATGAGTTCCAAGGTAGGGACATGCTGCCTCTCGTTCCAGCTGCGATGCCCTTCACATCTTCCGCGCAATAGACTGGTACAACAACGAGCACGTTCCGCTGCGCCTGAATCACCTGCCGTCTTTCCTTACCGGGGCACGCTTCTCTGCCGCGGATGATCTCACGCCCACATGGCTGGCTGTGTACGATATCGACGATACCGCGACGTTCAAGCACGAGAGCTACACCCGCTTACGTGCCAACCGCAGCCCCCGCGAAGGCGAACTCGTGAAGCGCCTGGCGATCCTCGATCGCCGCACGTACGAGCTCGTCGCGGACTCGGGGGAGTCCGCACTCACCACGTCGTACAAACCCGAGAACCCGACGCAGTATCTCGTGACCCACTCGGTGAACTTCCCAGGCGACGAGGCCGCGTTCGGCGCGTGGTCGCAGGATCTGTTTGCTTCGCTCAAGGGTGTCGACGGCTGGGTGCGATCGCGCACGTACAAGTGCATCGATAACCTGAAATCGGGTTTGGCGGTGCCCGAAGGCCCGGACGCCCAGGTGGTTCCCAAGTACTTGGCAGTCCATGGTACGTGTTTGCAGTCAGTTCTTCGTGGGTGGGGCGTCTGACAAGTCTTCTCTCGCAGAATTGCTCTCTGCGTCCATCGCCCGATCGGCTGCCTGGGCTGCTGCTTTCAACCCTGGCGATACAGCTTCGCTGGAGGAGTCTCGCGAGTGGAATCTCTACCGAGCTTATCCTTGTGTCGCGCAGGGCAATCTCACTGCTTGACCCTTCCAGCAAACAAACAACGAATACAATGTAGAGTTTATGTAAAACCCGAATGCAGCAACAGATTACTCATGCTCTGTCCGGTGGATCTCGCATGTTCTTCCGCGTAATGAAATTCCCAAGGCGGACGATTTGCACGTTCCCGTGCCGATATGTAAGCTGTGCTCGAGAATTCGATAGCCAAACTCCACTCCAGTTGCACGCAGCTCCGTGCTTGCTGTCTCATTCATTCATTCATTCATTGCGAACATGCGTCCAGCGATAAGGCCTGGCAGTCTGGAGTAAAAAAGAAGATGCATTCCGAGCGAATTATGTGCTAGGTGAAGGTATGGTACTTTCGGGGGACCGGGCCGGCTAACAGGCGCAGCCCGATAAATACGTGCGGGTCGTCTATATGAACTAGATGCTACAAGGAGTCCGGGAATATACGTGACAGATAACGAATAAACGGAGAGTGTCTGATCCACCGCAGGGCCGTGGGAAAACGAAGGAGCCCGGGCGTGTTCGATAAACAAGTGTCAAATGGCTGGTATGTACGTGCAATGGTATCCGAGGTGAGAAGGTGGCTACAAAGGGCATGCAGGCTTCCGAGATCGGAAGCAGGGAGGATAAAAAATGGTCATCAGCGTGATATAGAACAGAACGGGTTTCGGAGCCGGGGCGGCAGAGTCGTAGTCAGAGCGTAATTCAAGCGTGGGGCAAGCGTCAAAGGGCGTAATCGTGAAAGGTCAGTCAGGGTCATCGGGGTATCGTTTGCGGTCATGGATTAGCAAGCCTAGCGCTCGCAGATCAGTAGTCATCCTCAACCGACAGGCGGAAGCCGTGCATAGCAGGGCCATTACGTGACGGTGATCGGCTAGACGAGTGGTGGAACTTTTTGATTTCGTCGGGCGAGTTCGGTCGTGTGTTCGGCTTCCACAGCGCGAACATCTGCGCGTCGTGTTTTTCGTCGCTGATCGAGCGAGTGATGCTCGGGACAATGACAGGGGGTGGTACGGGCTGTGACATGCGTCGCTGACGCTGCGGAGCCATTTGCATCGGCGCAACCGGCGCAGGCGTCTTGGAACGCGCGCTCAGCGAAGTATGCCGTGTTTGGGTTGGCGTCGTGGCGCCCGCACGAGACATCGGGCGGGGAATCGACGACGCTAGATTGGGTGCGGGAGTGGCGGATCGGGTCGGCGAGACCTCCATCCGCACACTGCTCGCGCGGGCTAGCATATTGGGCCCGGGCGTCTGAGAACGAGCAGCGGGTGTCTGTGCACGCGCTGCTGCGGCTGAAGCGGACGAAAGAGGTCCTGGGGTTTGCGATCTCTGATGGGCGGGAGAAGGCGTGGTGGGGCGCGTCGCATATTGCGAGGCGGAAGAGATCGATGATGTCCGCATGTGGGTGCCATAGCGCGGCATCGTCGGTGGCGGGGAGCTGTACGGAGATCGCACAGGTGGTGGGGATGGTGATCGGTGACGATTGGGTTCAGGCATGACGGAGGTCGGCATCGGCGGTGAGGAGGGTGTGCTGGGCACCACCTTGAGCCGAGCCAGCTCCTGCCGCAGACCCTGGCATTCCTGTATCTTTTGGTTGTAAGCGGCACGCTGTGAGGAAAGCATGCGGTCAGCATGAGAACAATGGGCCGCAGTATCATGACTCACTTGTCTATCGGCACAGCGGAAGAGAAAGAAGAAAAAAGAAGAAAAAAGAGTCAGGCCGAGTCATCGGGATAGAAAAGATGGCATACCGCTTTAATTCGGCATCCAGTCTATTATTTGCAGCCTCCAGCTCGTCGAGCCGTGCCTTCATTGTGGCTTCGACCATTTTAGAGTTGCGGCTAGCATCCGAGTGTGCGACATGGTTCATAAGAATAGCGCGGAGGAGGGCAGCACTGAGTGTCAAGGCCGAGATCTGTGTAGGACAGACATATCAGTGATGATGTCGCAGACGAAGGAGACGAAAAAGATGGGGAGCGGGTAACAGACGGCGACATGAAAAAAGAGTGGAAAAGAGGAACTGACATCGTCTTCTGGCTTGGTCTCGTTCATGAGCCAATCTTGCAGTTCATTGTGGAGCGCAGTAACTTCCTCTACGGAACATCTTTTCCCAGCGACCTTCGCAACCTTAGCCTCGAGCTTGCGAGCGTCCTGACGTGAACGAGAAGAGCCATCCGGCTGCATGAGCCTCTTCAGCCAGGCATCCGTCATCAAGTCCGGCGCGGGGGCTGCTATGTCGGGAACTCGCCGGGGGGTCGTCCACCCACTTGTATTGAAGTCCATTCGAATAAGGCGGACGGCATCGGTGTTGAAGGTTTCTCTGCAGAAAGGGCAGGCAGGAGAGGCGCGGGAGGTCTTTTGGGCGATGTTGTTGCAGCAGCTGGCGCAAAGAACATGGCCTGAAAAAAAAAGTGGCATCCGCCTCGCAGTGAGAAAACCTCAAAAAATGGAGAGATTGGCGGTGGCGTACCACACGGGATAGAATGGGGGAGACAATGGGGCCCGTATTCATCTGCGCAAACGTCGCAGGACGAGCCTGGGGTGAGGGTCAGCATAGACCAGCCTGACGCCCTCGACGAGCAGAAAGAAAAAAGAATTGAAAGGGCAAGGGCAAATCTCGGTTAGTGTGTCGCGATCATGAGTTATATATTTAATGATCGGGGATACGCTAAAAAGGAAAGCAGCTGAAAACTCCGAGGCTGACGAATCGGGCGCTTTGACTCGGTCGGCTGACCTATCCACCGAGTCCCTGCACTTGCACCTTCTAGAGCGTTCACCTGAGGCCGCGTCTGCACTGTAAAGTCGTACAAAATACGCAGATATCGCGTAGATGAGTACGAGAGGTGAGAGCCTCGTGCTACTTAGCCGATCACACCGAAGTGATGGCTGGAATGCCCTTTGCCCAAGGCAGCACCGCAGAACCTTGAAACTTGCCTACTTGCCTCTTGTCGCTGTCGTTGCTGACGCCAATTCACCGAGGGTAGCGGGGCTGGACATGATCTGTATCTGCGCGGCCCAGCCTCTGGAATGCTGTCGAACCTACTGGCTCATGACGGATATTTTTTGCTTAGCCATTGTCAGCTATCCACTTGGAGTCATTCATCTCGTTTAAGGCGCTGACGCATCTGGTGCTCACGCAATGTTATGCGTGTTTTTGAATCTGGATGGCATCTGGAATCTTCCCGCGGAGGCAAAAACGGATTGAAGTTTGCTTCCGTGGCCGTGGCAATGCGATCGGCCTCCCGATCTCATAGGATCTCCACCGATGCAGAGGTGCAACGGGCGTGGCAATATCGATAAACTCTTTAAGCCTCCTTATTCGTGCCCAATGGGATTCATCGGGCGTTCAAATGTGGTGGCGTCCATGCCGTGCGCCCTCCTCGTTGCGGATTGACGTTGCCACAACAAAGACCAGTTGGCGCGCTCTCCAATATTCTGCCGGTAACCAGTGCAGACCGAGTCCGAGCTCGACCCTTCCTGGCCTCCCCGTCCCCTCGCTTAGACTACCGGCAGCGACTGCCCGTGCCCACACAGCGCGCATGATGACAGATCGTCATAGTCCGCCCCGCAAGGGCGTGGCACGCATCGTCGGGTGTCAAACCGAAACTCATGTGAAATCCTTCCATCTGATCACCGCCTGCCAACCGGGATTCGGGAGGAGCGTGTTATCTCTATCAGATTCCAGCTCTGAAGGGTCGTCGTGTGCGAGAATCAAGTCTCCGGGAACACATAACGTGCGAGGTGGTCTACCTACGTTTCTTACCACGCGAAAGCAGCGAGTCCGAGATAAGGATATGGACTCGACTGCCGTTCGTTATTCAATCCAACGTAACGTTGCCCCCGGCTTCGGCATCGAGGGCGAGGACCTGCATGCATCTCAGATCGAGGGAAACCGACTGCTGAAAATCGAACGGACCTCGTCCAAGCCGACCATCTCGAAGAAACCTTTGGGGCCGACCCCTTCACAGCTGCTGGCGTCCGTTCCCTGCTCCCGAATCTCTCTGTAAGCTTTGCGCACAGCCAATGCAGCGGGAATCATCCCAGCGCACGGAAAGATGACGAGCTTGAAGCCCATCTCGCGCGCTTCCCTGACAGTCCAGTTCGGTGTGACGCCGTTCGTCGCGAGGTTGAGCAAGACGGGTGCTGGCGCCAGAAAGCGGATTGCCTCTTCGGCCTCTGCACGTGACCGCAATCCTTCGACAAAGGCAACGTCGGCGCCCAGATCCAAGGCTGCCTTGCAGCGCTCAAGCGCATGCGCGAGTCCCTCGGAGAGAACTGCGTCGGTGCGGGCGATGATGAGGATGTCTGATTGCAACCGTGCGCGTGATTGGACGCAAGCCCGGATGCGAGTCAAGTAATCTGGCAGGGGGACGAGTTGCTTGTTGCTCAAATGGCCGCAGCGCTGGGTTTGGAAGTGAACACGAATCCCATCAGCGGTGGACATTGAGCGTACCTTCTGCTGGACTTGATCCTCGATGTGGAAACCAGCTATGCCTGCACGAGCATATAAAGCTGTCGTCCTCGCGCACATTGCCGCCCCTCCGAATCCCGTGTCTGCATCAGCGATCACCGGCACACCGGGCTGCAGACCTGCGATCATTGACGCATTCATAACCATATCGTTGAGAGTCACAAGCTATCTAAAGATTGAGAAGACATCATCAGCGGATAGCGAAGACCAGTCACCCCGAGGTCAGGTTGTCCCAGAGCGCTTGCACTTGTCCCGGCGCCTCATTTCCAGGTCAGTCCCAGTGATGTCTCTTGTGATTAGGCAACTTGACTTACCGGTCATGTACAGACCTTCAAAACCCTCGCTCAGCGCGACCCGGGCAGAGATCCCATCATAGACACCAGGCAGCACCACGATCTCCCCTTCACGGCTGATGAGCTGGCGCAGGCGGGTGGAAGCAGGGAGCAGAGTGGGCATGGTCCAAATGAGCCGGTGCAAGCAATAGATTTCGCATTTATAGTCTAGCTCGGCACAATCGGCCGAAGAGCCGCTCTATTCAGGCAGAGCCTGGGGGCGAGTGGAGTGAATTGGGCAGGCTGAGGGCGCCACTGTGGCTGCTGCATGCAGGACCGCGCCGTTGCAGCAGCAAGAGCGACCCCGGGCATGAGTGCTAGTAGCGTCGGAACCTCCAGAATGAGGATCGGAAACTTGAGCTCGTCCACGTCTGTCACATTCGATCTCGCAATTTGTCGCTGAGCTTGCAAGATGCAGTCATGGGGGTGATGGAAAACGCGCCAGTCCGATGGGCCCCGAACGCGGCCGCCAGAGCTCACTCCCATGCGTCACAGCCACCGTGACGCAATACACAAAGAACTAGGCCGTCGGACATGTGAAAGTCGAACGTATCAGAAGCATGCCTGCTCTTCTTACCGAACTCTCGAGCCATTCGTCTCCGTGAACGATGAGGAATGTCGTCCCCTTCTCCATCCGCCATCTGAGCCCACGAAACACCTATGAACTCGTCAGCCAGTCCTACTTCTGCGGCAAGCCCACCTGGGATCCTGCTCGCGACATGCCAGACATGAGTGGGAAGACGGTTGTTGTGACGGGTGGAAATGCCGGCATCGGGAAGGAGACTGTCAAAGCAGGTATTGATTCGTTGCACACGAGCGGGGCAGCCAATACCACTGCCAGGTACTGCTGACACGGAACGCGACGGTGTACATGGCGTCCCGAAACGCGAGCAAGGCTGAGGCTGCGATACAAGAGTTGTTTGAAACTACAGGCAAGCGCGCGATTTTCTTGGAACTCGATCTTGCGGACCTGGGGAGCGTGAAACGAGCCGCGGAGGAATTCCTTCGGTAGGTGCTGGTGATCACATGTCACTGTGATGAGGGCAGGTCCACTGAGACTGGTCAGAAAAGGGACTCTGCTGCACATCCTGTATAACAATGGGTGAGCTGGATCATCGCTATATCTCACGAGCGGATCCTCGACTTGCGTTTGCCCAGCGGAATTATGGCTCCTCCCATCGAAGCAGCAACGTCAACCGGCTACGACCTCACGTTTGCGACTAATGTGCTGGGTAGGTGGCTCCTGTCGCATTAGCCCATTGCCTTGAAGTCACCCTGTACTTAGGCCACTTCTATCTCACGAAACTTCTCTTGCCGGCCATGATCTCGACTGCAAGCAAAGATGGCTCCAGCACACGGATAATCACGATGACGTCCATGGCTCATTATGTGGCGTCGGTGGACTATGCGAGCTTCAAAGATGGCGCGCTGCGCCGAAAGAGGACACCGTTTGATCTGTACGCACAGAGTAAATGGGTAAGCTTGCCGTCGGACTTGTTTCAAGAGGTCGACTGATCGATCCTTGAGGCAGACGCAGTGTTTGCAATGGAGCTAGCCCGAAGATACGGAGACCAGGGTATTGTCTCCGTAGCGGTCAATCCTGGTTCGTATTCCGTCGCCCTTGCATTATTTCCAAATCCTACATAATCCAGGCAACCTAAAAACCGACATATCTCACGGGACGAAGGGAACACTCACCCTGCTCTCGGTGCGCATGCATCTTGTCCGAGCGGGCACAAAGCCGGACCAGTCGCGCTAATCACGCCAACGTAGAGGATGACCCTCATCCATCCTCCCGCTTGGGGATCAATCTCGCAACTGTGGGCAGGCACGGCAACCGAGGCTGGAGATCTGAATGGGAAAGTGCGTGTCCGCATACTTTAGAGAGATACGAGGCAGACCACCGAGTCCGATTCCAGTATGTCGCGCCGTGGGGCCGGATCGGACGGCCTCGCCCTGACGTTGAAGATCCGAAGAATGGGGCGCTCCTTTGGGCGTGGCTTGAAGAACAGCTCGAGGAGAGGGACGTCGGAAACAGCGAATTGCTCCACACGTAGCATCGTGTCGTTTCCCATTCTATCTACTGGTACTGAATTCAGCGATGGAGTTTCGAATATTTGCCACGACCATTGACATGAGAAGAGGGCTAGAGGAAGCCACTTCCAGAGCTGGATACCCTCGGAACAAGTTGCAAGTGGCGAGTGAGTCTGATCTCTGCTCTAGGACATAACGTTTTCTCATAGTTCAAACATTCATGATATATAAGCACAGAACTCTTCTCTAACCTCGATCACCACCGAGTCGGCGCAAGAGCCATGTGTCGGCCCTTTGGAACATATGACGCGCTGCGCGAGAATCCCACGCGAACGACCGACTCTGCATAGATCCTCGACTCCCAGCTGGCATCGCGCCTCGAGCCGAGCCGCCCACGCAAGACGTCCTCGAGCTCATGGAGGAGCGCGACGTCCTGCGCGCAGTACTCCAGAAGATCGCCGGGCAGCGGGCGCTCCTGGAACACCTCGTACCGGCCCCCGTCCTCCGGTGAAAAGCGGCGCTTCCCGCCCTGCTTGATCCGCATCCACTCGCGCACGGTCGCGGCGGATTTGAGAGGCGCGAGGTACGCGTCGAGACTGTTGGCGAGGCCCTTCAGGTGGTTCTGCGGCACGTGGCACGAGCGCACGGCCAGCTCGAGCAGCTGCAGATCGTACACGTTTTGAAGCGCGATGCCGAACTGGTTGAACAGCGCATCCGAGTCGTTCCGTACGTCGAAGAAGATCTAACCAGACGGCTCAGGACCGGATGTGACGCTGAAGGAGTGGGGGAGTCACCTTTTTCACATCTGTGCTTTCGAGAACGTCCTTGAGCGTGGTCCCGCGACGTCCGGCAGCGGAAAAAGCCTGGCTCCCCAGCGCCACGACGTCGACGACCCAGCAGATGCGGCTTTCGACGGCTTTGAGCTGGAGGAGGCACAGAGTCCCCCAGCGACAGAGATCAAGTCCTTCGGCGTCCACGGCGATGGACGCGCTGGACTTGACGTCGTCGATGCATTGAATGAGCAGCGCGAGGGAATCGACGAGCACGGCGGTGGTGGACATGGATCGGTGGGGATATCGGTAAAGCTGATTCTGAAACCTGAAAATGCGGACTTTTCAACGGATCGCAGATGCGGTTGGCGCCCAAGAATCAACGCGCGCCTACTTCGCTGAACATGTTTAGTAATCCAAGGTCTGGGCCCAGCTTTACACTATGGTGTCCCACAAAGCAGTTCGTAAGCGTTTAATTTCCGTCTGCGTTCCCCGCACTTCGATTGTGTGCATTACGCAGTGCCTGGCAGTGATTGTCGCAGTCAAGTTGCCTATCTAGCATCCGCTCCTGTCCGCCAAGCGGAGAGATGACCAAGACTTTCGCACGGTTGGATTTGTGGATTTGATGTCACAGTTCGACGATCACCCGTTCAACGCCGGCAATCTGGGGCACTCGAGCTCGAATTGCCAGAGAAGAAAATTTAATGGGATCGGGTATCAACATAGCGATCGCTGTCCCGAGTGACGGTCAAATCGTACATAGCATAATCCGTAGGAGTTATCCGCTTGCCTGCAGGCAAGTCGTCAAAATATAATTAACGCGCGCCGACCAACAAGCTTCGTGAAGTGACGGCCACCATAAATTAATTAGGCAGTACTAGCCGAGATGCGTGCTACGCCACGGGAATGAAGCAAGTCATCGCCCTCGCTCTTGGATCATATGGCACACTCACTGATTAGCCGGCAGAAGACGGGGCGATACGATGGGACACAGAATCTGAAGAACCCTGTTCTTTTGTCTCACAGATACTCGGTCAAGAAAGCTAAGCCCCACCACGGAGCGATCAGACCACCATCGGGCAGAGCACCAAGGTTCAACGACCAATCCCTCGTCATGTCTGAGTGTCACGGCCGGAAGGGTTCAGCCGGGGCACAATCAGATGAGATATAATCGGTGCAAAAGCATCGCTTGACAAGGGCGAGATTCGAACTCGCGCCATTTCTGACTAGTAGAACCGCATTCCTGGAATGCTAGACCTGAAACTAGCGCCTTAGACCGCTCGGCCACCTTGCCATGCACGCCGGCTTCACGAGGAGAATTATGATTCAAGGGCATGATGGTTTCCGATCTCCAGATTGATGTCCGACCCCTGTTATCGCACTCTATTCTGTGTGCATTTTTGACCTTGTGCTGCATATCTGCCTAAATTCTGTCTGAAGTGGCACGGCCATGGATAATTGATTGCACTCTGTACGGAAGCACGTGATCGCGTCCACTGTCACGCCACTTGTCACCAAGCGATTGACCGCTGAGGCTCTGGGGACTCGGATACGGTAAAAACATTGTGCTGCTAGTATGGCTGACAGTCCATCGTTGGTCTCTCTCAACAGACACAAAGACTCTAGACGACTAGAATCACTCGAGAACCAAGTGAAAGCAGAACTGCTCCGACTCCGAGTGAGAAACTGGAAAGCTGGGCAAGCAAGCCACTAGGGATTTAAGCACAAAGGGGACCGCCTGGCCGTCTACAGATGACGGGGATTCTACCGCAGGAGGCTGCTGAAGCTTCAGAGAGAATGTCAGGGCCCGTATTTCAGCCAGCCGACGACACGTCTCCCGATGTCTGAGTCGGCGTGGCCGAACCGGCCGTACACAAAGATGTGCGTGTGTCCTTTGCTTGCGGGGGATTACGAGGAGGGCGGCGGGGCGAGGGCCAGTGGTACGCTTGTAGAGTTTGTCCACCGCCGTGAAGCAACTTGATGGAGAGAGGCAGCAGGTATGCATAGAGATGGGGGAGATGTTCATGAAGATAGACTCGAGAGAGATCGAACAGGATCATTGGAGCGGCGTCCCACAGAGCCGGAGAAACGACCTCTGAGGGGAAAGGAGGAGGGGGAGCAAACGGTGTCGCTGGAGCCAGATGTCCGTCCACAAGTCCAAGCCACAGTCCTTGTCTTCGAAATTCGAACGCTTTGAGTCTGACGACATATGATCCAGCGCTGCCCCATCCCACCTCGATCAGAGAATTTAAGAACCCCGAGCAGCCGAGTCCGATGGGAACGTAGACCGTGAGAATGTGACGACGATGATTGGCAATAACCTGGCGGAGCGATCCGAGAATTGGCATCTTGGGTGTGCTCGACGGGCTATCGATTGATCGCTGCCGTGCATACCACTCCGTGTCACGTCACTCCGCCCGAGGCGCCGGAAAGTCAGGATACTGTATATCCTCCAGAGCGCATGAGCCCCGTCTGGACGGCGGTGGTCGTCGCGCCATCACCGAGTACATAAAGCTAGACTGCTATTTCATCCCCACCACCTTGTTGTGCTGCTTAAACTTAAACGACGAGAGTGGGGTGCAGGCGACAGACAGCAGGACCGAAGCGATTTCCGCGTGTCGGATGCAAGCTCCGGGTCTCAGAGGTTTGACGAGATGTGTCATGAGACGTGGTACGAAACTGGAGCGATTGTGGGCCGCGAGCGGTTGCGATGCACGGTGGCTTCAGGGTGCAGACGGTGAGCAGGCATTGTATCCAATTATCTACCGTCTACTCGCGATTAACTTTGCATGAAAGAAAACATATATCGGACCGGTCGTGCCTTGAGATGTCTTGATCAGTCCTGATCGCGGGCCGATTGTCACAATCCATGACGGAACCCCCAGTGTAAGGTTGACCATACAGGACATGGACTGTTATGGTAAATGCGATCATGATTCGGCGTTGGGGCCTTGAGTAGGGATCGCGTCACATCGTGACACGCCCACCCGTTGTCATCCTATACACGACATCCTCTCGCTTATTTTCTCCCTTGTACCTCTCCGTCACATGCACCTCGACGCGTCGACGCGCCCGACCAGGATGTACCGAAATCTACAGAGCTTATAATCAGTAATGCATGTTGACCTCTCAGACTTTGTATTGAGAGGATTGAGGAATGAGAACGAGTTGGTTAACAAGTGCGGTGAGTCGACAACAATCAAAGATTATGTGGGCAAGGACATGGTCTGGCAAATATTTGATTTGATCACCGTCGCTTTTCGCCTTACGCCATACCCACCTGTGATGACAGCTAACAGCTGAATTCACTACTAGTAACCTAGTCAAAAATAAAATCCTTGTTGTATTTTACTACTCATGACTAACATTGGCTTGTCTCAAAAATGGCTAATCAACACCACCAGAGCAGACAGCTACACTATAGCTACTGTACTATTTATCCTTACACTCCCCAGGTGAGTCTTGAGGTCCCACCCTCTCGGTACCCATCACTGACATCTTTTTCCAGGTCTTGTAGAATGGGATCTCTCCGGCTCCACACTGACGAGACTCGAAAGTGTCGACAATTTTGCAGTTAAGTTAGCTGGAATGCATATGTGTGTTGAGACGTTTGTTGTCCTTTGGCTCATTTTAAATTTACACGTAATTAGTAGAAAATGTTTCTTAACCTGTCGTTCGCATTTATGGCCAACGATACAGGTGGAGTGTGTATAGAAAACCTCTCGAAAAGGCTCGATTTGGCGGCATGAGCTCGCTGTCATCAACGATGAACGCACGGCCCATCAACGATGAGCACGCTTATGAGGTGGACCAATGGTCTCAAGCCCGCGGTAGTAAGCCTGTATCAGTCATGAAGTCACGGAGTGCCAGGACCCCGAGCACAAGGACGATCTCCCATCATGATATAGACCATGTCCTGTATGGTCAACCGTACCCAGTGGAACTTCAACCCCTCTCTCGTCCTTTCCTTGGCTGTTTAAGGGACGACGACCATCATTTCAAGGAGAGCTTCGGAACATCCTGAGCGGACGTCCGGGCCCGAATCCCCCATGATGACTTCCACGACACCGAACTTCGCGTGGAGAAACTTCCTGGCTTATCACTATAATAACGCTACGCGTCCACAAGTCGTCCGCCGACCAATGTCTCCCAAATTCGCCATCTCCACCCTGTCCCTGGGGACCAACCTCCACCACGATCTCCCGACCAAGATCCGGGTCGCGGCGGAGCAGGGCTACGACGGCGTCGAGATCTTCGTTCCGGACTTCGAAGCCTTCGTCGAGGAGGTCGCGCAGGGCCGGCACCAGGACCTGCTGCCGCGCCCGCTGACGGACGCGGACGACCGCGAGATCGAGTGCGCCAAAGCCATAGGGGCGCTGTGCACCGCGCATGGATTGAGTGTCCCTGTCTTCCAGCCGATGCGCAACTTTGAGAACTTCGACTCCCCGCGCGCGCTTGGGGGCGGGGGACTCCCTGCTGCGCTGGCGGCGGCTGAGCGGTATATCAGACTCATGCCGCATCTGAAGACCAACCTGCTCCTCGTCTGCTCCAACTTCATCGAGCCCGAGGACCACCCGTATTCGCCGTATGATCCGGAGAAAGAGCCGCTGCCCAGCTTCACCCATGCCTCGTCGGAGAGGACTGTCCCCCCCGGTCCGGCGCCGTCGACGTACTACCCGGCGCTGACCCAGGCCCAGTTGGATCAGTACCTGGACACGCAGGTCGCCGCGTTCCGGGAGCTGGGCAAAGTCGCCGCCCGGTACGGCGTGCGCGTCGGATACGAGGGCCTGGCGTGGGGGACCGTCGTGGACAACTGGGAGCAGGTCTGGGACGTCGTGCGCCGCGTGGGGCGGGACAACGTCGGGATCATCCTCGACTCGTTCAACCTGCTCGGCAACGAGTACGCCGATCCGACCGTCCCCTCGACGTTCCTGCGCGCCCCAGAATCGATCTCGCCGACGCCGGTACCCGCCGCGGGGCCCCCGCTCCCGGCTGCGTTCGCCGGGGAGGGGAGCAACCCGACGCACAAGGCGGTGCTGCAGAACCTCGCGGTGCTGGCGCGCACGATCCCGGCGCACAAGATCTTCCTGTACCAGGTCGCCGACGGCGCCGCGCCGTGCGAGCCCCCGGCGACGATCCCGGCGGCCCCACGGGCGCCGGCGCGGATGACCTGGTCCCGCGCCTCGCGGCTGTTCCCCTGCGAGGAGGACCGCGGCGCGTGGCTGCCGGTCGTGGACATGAGTCTCGCGATCACGCAGGCGGGCTACCCGTCGACCCGCCCACAGGACGACGGCGCGTGGTGGAGTCTCGAGGTGTTCAATCGCAGTCTGTCCGATTCCCGCCCCGAGTGTGTCGAGGAGCACGGCGCGCGGGGCATCGCTGGCCTGCGCACGCTCTGGGATCGCGTGTCGAAGCGCATCAAGGCGGAGTGCGAGGAACCGCCCAGCGCGGTGTTGTGAGATAGATCATCCAAGGGAATATGCGTGTACAATGTGGTCGGTAGCCTGAATATATGTACAATATTTACTTACTATATCCTAGTTTTTCAACCGATGGCCAGCCAACACCGCGTCAACCGAGTCTCCAAAACCTTTGACGATCGCCTCGATCTGCTCCGCAGTGATGTTGTAGGCCGGCGCGAGTAAGATCACATCGCCCTTGGTCCCTGCGAGATTCGCGTTCCCGGTCATGCCCATGATGACCAGCCCGTTCTCCATCGCCTTGGCCTGCACCAGCATCGCGAACTTCTTGCCCCCAAAGTCGAGCGCTGCCGCCTCGGGACAGTCAAAGTCGAACTCGATCCCCCAGAAGCCGCCTCCCCCGCGGATGTCGAATACGAACGGCGCGGAAGGCGAGTTCGGCCCCCGGAGCCGCTCCTTGAGGAGCTTTTCTGCGGCAGGTTATCAGCGACAAGGGTTGCCGAGACTAGGGCTGAAAGGCGCACCCAGGTACGTTCCCTGCTTGCGGCAGTTCTCGAGCAGATTGTCATCCCTCACCGTTTTCTGTACCGCAAGAGCCGCTGCACAGGCCAGAGGATTTCCCTGCGAGAGATGCCGTCAGTGACGCGCCCCACGCGTTTAGAGCGCGGTCACCTGATACGTGTGTCCGTGCGCCCATAATCCGGATCCGGCACGCAAACCCGCGGCGATCTTGCCGGACATAAGCACAGCACCAATGGCCGCATATCTGAGCAAAAGTTCAGCAAATCACTCCGAAGTCCAGACGACTACACCTACCCTCCGCCGAGACCTTTGGCGACAGCTTGTATGTCGGGCTGAGTGAATAGATTCAGAAAAGAGCACATATCCGCAGGCCACCGTCACTGACCGATTCTCCGTCTCCGAACGACTCCCAGGCATGCAGCGTTCCCATGCGACCCATCCCGCTCATCACCTCGTCGAGAATGAAGAGCGCGCCGTACTTCTCACACACGGATTTCATCGCCTTGAAGTAGCCTTTCGGCGCCGGCAGCACACCCGTGGTCGCGCCGACCACGGTCTCTGCAACGACTGTGCATGCGCATCAGAAGACAAGATGAGAGGAGGAGGGCGGGACAAAACACACATCCGATGACCGTATCGGGACCCAGCTCGATGAACTTGGCCTCCAGCTCCGCGCGCAGCCGCTCGACGTACTCCTCCTCGCTCTCGCCGGCCTTCATGAACCGCTTCGCATACGCGGGGGACACGTGGTGGAAGTGCTCGGTGTCCAGGATGCCCGCGTACGGGGCGCGCCGGACGGGGTGGTACGCCAGGGACAGCGTGCCGACGGAGTTGCCGTGGTACGAGAGCTGGCGCGCGATGTAGTTCGTGCGTTTGGGCTGTCCGATCTCTACGAAGTACTGCCGCGACAGCTTGATGACGCCCTCCATGGCCTCGGTACCTGCGCGATATCGTCCTTAGCTTAGATACTCCGGGGAGAGAGATCGGTTGGGGCATACCACCGGAAGCGTACCCCACGAGCTCAAACGCCCCGTTCGAGGTCTCTATCAGAAATTTGGCCAGATCCTCCGCCGGCTGGTTCGACAGCTGCATATTGTACACGTCTGCGGAGGGGGGAAGTGTCAGATGGCGCATTCGGGAGTGACACGACGCGTACACGAGATGCGCTCGACCTGCTCCTTCAGCGCCTTGTTCACGGCCGGGTGTCCGCTGCCCAGACACGCGACGGCAGCCCCGCCGACGGCGTCGAGCAGCGTGCGCCCGTCGTCCAGCTCGATGTAGGGTCCCGAGCCCGAGACCGCGATGGGCGGTACCCAGGGCGTACGGTGCAGGATCGCGGTCGTGGTCGGGTTCGGGGTCGTCTTGGACATAGTGGTGGCAAGAGCGAGGTTCGGATCGATGGGACAGGACAACGAGGCGCAGAGGAACTTTGCTTTCAAAAGTGACTCGATTCCACACCGCACCAGTGATGATGATATTTTAATTTATGGGTCTTCTCGATCTGAGGCTGCTTTGCATATTTGCCGTCGGTGTACTCTTGCGCGATGACACGCAGATAAGCCGTGGATGATGGTGCCGAAGGGCCTCGTTATCGGGTCGGAAGAGCGTCGGAAGTTGTATTTAGGTAAGTAAAATGGGAGGAAGAGGGCCTGTGCGTGTGATTTACGTACGCGACTCCGTTCGCGACTCATCTCCGCATCGTCACCCGTAACCTGGTTCCGTCTCCCAGTAAACATGCCTCACTTGTCCAGCAGCTCTTCAAAGGATTGCTTTGCTCTCCTCTGAGGCTCGGTGGCAAGTATAGTGGATGCAGAATTTCAGATCGACCAAGCTGCGGCATCTCTCGGATCTGCCCCGAACTCTTCTACATACTTCCCAACTCTCCCACTGTCGTCTTTTCGGCGCTTAATCGGCCGCCCATGGGTCTCATCATCGCCCGCGTCTCTCAGCGGTCATGCGAGCTCGTCGGGAGCGCGTTCTCCGACTGCTACTCATCCTAGGCATCATCGTAGCTTTGGGCCTCTACTCCAAGGATCTCTCGCCTCTGCTACAAGACCTGCTGGAGCCATGGAATAGACATTTGGTAGAGTTTATGAACGATGACGCGTTGGCTGAGAATCACCTGGTGCCGGAGCTGCCACTCCCAGTAGCAGCCCCTCTCGGGCGGCACACGTATCTAGACAACGGTCTCCTCCAAGTCAATCCGGAAGGTGTGTGTTCGCTTGCCATCGTCCGGAATCGACTGGATAATCTGCTGCAGGAGGACATCCGATCTTTGAGCTCATTGCTAGCGCCGAAGAGAGCTGGCGAGCGAAGCGGGACAGGGCCAGCACCAACTTCCCGCAGGCCGTCGCGGAATACAAGAGAAGATACAAACGCAGCCCTCCGAAAGGATTTGACGACTGGTCAGTAGCACCTCGCCCTCGCATCCCCGCTCAGGACTTTGCCAATATGCGCCTGCTGCCAGGTGGATCTATGTCCAGGAAAACAACGTCCAGCTCCCGGACGAATACGACACGATCTACCACGACTTGGAGCCGTTCTGGGGAGTCTCTCCCGGAGATCTTGGTGCCATTCGCGAAGAACTCGAGGGCAAGTTCGACTCGTTCACGCTTGGGAAGACCGAGCAGACGGATCGGGTCCGGGTGCTGAATACGTCATTGACACCGAGCCACTACCACGACCTTTTGAAACGATCGGAGGGGATCCTCGATTTGTTGAACGATGTCGCGACATCTCTTCCGCCGTTCAGGGCGGTGTTCTCGCCCCATGATGGCCCGAATCGGGTGAGTTGGCGCACTGTCATCCACCTTTCGGTTACGGGTGCTGAAAGACCCCAGATGTCGGACTATCGTGTGCTCCAGACGGCTTTGAAAGCCGCTTCAGAAAGTCGATGTCAGTGTGTTGTGCTTCGTTGATCGATTTCTGACTGACCAAGCGAACGAGCTTAGATGTGAGCCGCAACGGGTTTCCGTCGATCTATCATTCCGGTTGGAAAGCTGCTTGCAGTCCCGATGCGCCTGCTGCCCGCGAAGACATCGACCTCGATGGGGAGCTGCCGGAAAAGTCGACCGGGAAGACCTTCGTATGGGATCACAGGTTAGCCATGGACCCATGTAAGTCCGAGTTTCCGTTTCTGGGCCCTCCTCTGAGTGGCCGGATACAGGTCTCCATCCACGACACCTCTATCAACATGGCCAATTCCTCTCTCATGGCAAGGGTCCCACACCTCAGAGAGAAGTGATCCCAGAGTTTTCGTATTGTACTTCGACGCTGCACCACAACATCCGCATTCCCACGCTCTATGGCTGGGTCGAGGACCTCTATCCGCGGTCGGATGATCCCGAGTGGGCGGACAAGCCTGACGAGCGCCTGCTCTGGCGGGGCAGTAACACGGGCATCACCTACTCTGCCCAAACACGATGGGCCAACTCGCACCGCATCAGTCTCGTCCGTGCCGCCAACGATCTGCGGGGGGTTCTGGCATTGCTGCCGCCTACCGTTGACTCGGATACAGCGGCAGCGCCCGTCGGCCACCCGGTTCGAGCGAGGAAGGCTCACGTGAATCCCGCCTTGATGGATGTTGCGTTCACGGAGGCCCCTATCATGTGTGATGCGGAAACGTGCAAAGTGTTAGAGGAGCTGTTCCCGTGGCGGGAATGGCAGAGTCGTCGGCAGGCCGGGAAGTACAAATACGTGATGGACGCGGATGGAAATGGGTGGTCCGGGCGCTTCAAGCGGTTGCTCACATCGAATGCGGTGGTTTTCAAGTCTACGATATACCCAGAATGGTCGGTCGGTCGGCGGTCTCCGCATTGAGAAGCTTTCTCAAATATAACACTTCCAGGTATATCGACCGAATCCAGCCCTGGCTCCATTATGTCCCGGTCCAGCTGGACCTCTCAGATCTGCACGACGCGCTCACCTTCTTCAGAGGCGATGCAGGTGGAGTTGGATCGCATGAAGAACTGGCGCACAGGATCGCTGTTGCCGGCCGGATCTGGAGCAAAACCTTTTGGCGGAGAGAGGATCTCGTGGCTTACTTCTACCGGTGTGTCTCCAGTCGTCATGGATTTCTAGATACCTCGGGTCTGACCCACGTTCAGATTGATACTGGAATACGCGCGAGTTATGAGCCTCGATAGAGACGCCATGTCCTATCATGGCTGATTTGTGTTGTATATCTACGAAGGACGCTGATAATCAAGCCGTTCGGTCGACTTCCAGACTGTTCGAATCAGGGCTTCCTGTTGAGCCCTTGCCGATCGACCCTGTGCATCTTGCGAACATCCGCGGATAGCCAGGTATCGCCTGCCTCCCAGATTGGCCATGGGAATGGGATCGATATCTTTCAGGCCAACGGGAGGATTCGAGTCAACAATAATGCCTCCTGTTTGTAAGAGAATGGCGATCCCGGCGCAAACGTCCTGTTAAGGCGTCAATGATGACTCGGGAATAGCATATAAGGAAGTTCAGACCCATTCCCAACAACCGGCTTCATCATCCTAAGCACAAGACGGGAGGAAGAGGATTGAGGTACACACCTTCGAACATGATATCTCCCTGGCCACTGGCCACATACACCATGTCCATCGTTGAGCTGTTTCTACGCGTAAGAGCCGGGCGCATTCCTATCTGAAAGGAAACACACCTTCCCAGGCTGCGAATGCCATGGACCATTCCTCCCTTGCCGCCTCGCCCGCCAATCTCAGTAGCCATGTTCACGAAATTGGCTGCCTTCTTCGTGAGATTGGATTGGGGATGGTCACGTCGGTCCTTCCCGTACTCTCCGAAGAAGAGACATCTGCAAGCAGCTTGAACGTTCACCCGATACGTAGGACAAGGAAAGACCGAACCCTTTCGGTGCATCGGGCGGTAGGGGTGGGGCAGGAGAGACAAGCGGAAGAGACGTCAGAGGACCTTGCGGGCCAAACTCGGACATCCATGCGCCGCCTTCAGGATGTCTGATCGCCGAGTACAGGGTCCCTGGCACCCAATCAGCGGGTACTTACTCCATAAAACGCGTAGATTCGGACCTTGGCCGCCAAGGAAGGGAGCGAACACGACACCGATGGTGGGGATGGATTCCAGGCAGAATCCGATGGAGATTGCAGTCATAGGGACTTGTAGGAGCATCAGATCGAGGCCGGATTATGAGGCAATTCGAGCGCCTACACATGTGCACCATGTTGACGGTCCCATCTAGCCGACGGCGCGTAAGTAGACGGAAAATAACCCATAGGGCTTTGGACGTGCCTATTGGGTCCACGATCCATGTGGGCCCATCCTTCAGCAGAAACCTCTTTTCCTGCCCTGCGGAGTAGGACTCTTCGCCGATGAACTGCACGCTGGTCGGAACTGCTGAGTAACTAGCACAAGAACGGTGTACACACATCGTGGTCCGGGAACTCTTTCAAGATAGATTCTCTGTATTCGAACATCAGCAAGGAGACGATTCGGTACCATCTAATTTTCAGGGACACACCGGATGAGTTTCTCTACCCCCTCGTCTGCGTCCGTCACAAGATCGACGGAGTTCAGCTTCTCTCGGGTGTCGAGATTGACGTTGCGCCTGCGTACTTGGTCCTGGCGCAAATACTCCCCCGCTCGGCGCGCAACATCGCACGCGACATCGTGAAATCTGCGGAGCTCTTCGATCGAAGTCATGGTCCGTCTCCAGGAGTAACGAGTTCTAGAGTATGGGCGGCCCGAGCACGGAGCTTGACTGATAGTCTGCCCGGATATCTCCGCTCCAGATCACGTAGGGCTTGGCTGACAAATGCCTCACTCATCTCTTCCCCTCGAGCTTGTGCGCGAAATCGCCAACCATGTCGTTGCCTGCCGTGTCGCACCACTGTCTTCGAGCGCTGACAGAAAAGATCCCTGGTTCTCGATAAACGCGCTGTCTCGGTCGTGCAGGGCGTATAGGGTGCTGGCGCTGGAGGCGTGGTTCTACGTTCTGTGTGCGGACTCGGGAGATTTCAAGTTTCTGACGGATGGAAGCCTTCCTGAAGTTCGGACGGTATGGACCAGGTACGCTTTCGCTCGCTTAACAGGTCCGAAGTGAAATTTATCTACGATAGGGAAATGCACTGCACATCGCACAACTCGTCAGCGACTAAGTGGGATCTGACTGGTTTTACACGCTTGCACACTATCCGTTGGCACTCTCCCCCTGCACGCGTGCGAGACGAGCTCCCATTCCGAAACCTGCCGGAGATCCTGGAACTCGACATCCGGGACCTCAAATGGCCCTCCCCGTTCCTCTTCTACGCGGTGTCGGGACGGTTCCCCGACCTGAGACGCCTGCGGCTGTTGGTAGACTACATCTGGTGTGGGCTCTGTCATTTATGCTCTTCCGCCGAGTTTGCGGAACCCGTGCCCGCGAGCATTGTGTACATGGATGGACTGGGTCTTCCCGTGAGTGCCTGGCCGCATCGTCATCCATATCCCGCAAGTGCTGATCAGCCAGATTCATTACTCACAGTCGCTTTCTGCGCTTTCCCATCTCTCCAGCGTCTCGATTCAGGTGCCGTATAGCCCAGGCGCGTCCATCCACCTCGACGCGAAGGATCCGATGCGGGATCTTTGGGCAGGAGAGTGCGATAGTTGCGTGGCCGTCTTGTATCGTGCGTCTGCCCGTGTCTTCCTTTACTACGTTCGAAAGTCCTTTAACTTGAATGCACAGCGGATGAGGCGTTCCGGGAGCAATGGAAGGCTCGCAAGCAAGGCCTGTTGAAAGATTCCAGCCAGGACGCCCGGAAGCAGTATGTCAAACCGCCAGCACTGGAGAGAGTGGAATGGATCTTTGTGAAGTCCGAAAAAGACGGCGATTATACAGAGTCGGATGAGGATGCAGTCATGTAGCTTGATTAATCGCGGGGATGTATGACTGCAAATTCACTTATCGATAAGATAAAAAACTGCACGTGACGAATACGCTATGTCACAGTCAGGTGTTGTGACCTTCTATTATTGTTCGAACTTTGCGGACATTCGTCTCTTTATCCATCCTTCTCCACCTCCACCGATGCCAGCTAGTAGCCACCGTCTGGTTAACACTCACCTATGAAACGCACTGTGGCTACTCAGTTTGATCCCCGCGCGGGCCACACTCACCCGCAAGCCCTATCCCATGGCGAGGATGATGAGTCAGTCTTGTGGAGAGCGTCGCAGACCAGCAATCGGGCATTGGATTCGCTCATGATGGAGGCCGCTGAGAACGATTCAGGTCGGATAGGTGTGTAGGGCTGTCATCCTATCTCTCTGGTGGGGGGTCTTCCAGCTAAGTTCCCTCAGTGGCTGATAACTGGGGATGGAGCTCGCCTGGGGCGTCGACTTCTCAGCTCACCGTCCCGGACGTCTTCGACTCACCCGCTACCACCGATTTGTCCGCCCCGTCGAGCAAGCGGCGCACCCGGGCGTCCATTTCGCAGCGTGGAAAGAGCCTCTCCGAAAACTGGACCCCGTCGCTCGGATTCGGGAGTGGGACGTCGAGGACGCCGGATACCGTGCGCTTCATGCGGCTCGTGCAGGGGGTCTCCAAGCAGGCTGATGAGCGGGCCGCTTTGCGCGCTGCGAGCGGGGACCGCACGACCACACCAGCACCGCGCAGCAGCAGCGGTGGCAGAATGGGCGTCAAACAGAGCACGATGTCACGGAAGCCGCTTTCCACGGGGTCGTCTGTGCGTCAGGTGAAGGGCAAAGAGCGGGAGCGCGCACCCATGAGCCGCGCGTCGTCGCTGAACTCAATCCCATCGCTATCACCGTCGTCTGTCTCCTCACCGGACTCCAATTCGTCGTTTCACTCCGTTGACACCGTTATGACGAGCCCGGAGCCTGATGAGGGCCCCTTGGAACTCATGCCACCGCCGCCGATACCAGCGAACAGACTTCCGCCGCAAGAGGCGTCGCCTTCTGCGTTGGCGAAGGCGAGGAACGAGCCCCGCGTGACAAAGCGAGGTGCTTCTCCCACCCGTAGCGGTCTGCATACAACTACGAGCGTTAAATCCGAGCTTCGATATCATCCGATGATCATCGAGAAACAACCGCCGCGAAAGCAAGTACCCAAGACGGCCGATGCACCTCTCGCGCCCCTGGTACTCTCACAACCTGCGACTCAGCAGCGCAAAGGGCCTCCGGCTCTCGGCATGCGGCGAGCGAAAACCATACCAGGCCAGGAACCTCTGCCCGCGTCTCAATTCCGGCCCCCGAAAATCAAACCATTATCCACCGCCCCCGATTGTCGACCCCCGAAGGCGGCGGCAGCGGATATGCGGGCTCTGGTACATCCCCGTGTGCAGCAGGTCGTGCAGCGGTCGGGGCCGCCTTCGTCGCCCGACAAGCCGGTGGGATCTGACTCGTTTGAAGAGATGGATTCGTTTGATTTGGAGGACTTGGAGAAGGTCATGCAGGAGTACGATTGAGTATGATGGATGCATCTTGTACAGACATGGTACTATATATCGCTGTCGGCTACGTCGCTGCAGTGTCATAACGGCTGAGGAAATCCTCTGCAGAATCTACACTTTGACTAATGAGCTGCTGATGGTCAGGACTGCGCAGCTGTATAGTGCATGTGAAAGGATGCGGGTGAACGATAAATCCCTGGCATGTAGCATTACTAAGGAATCAAGTGACGGAGACAATCGGCTCACCGCATCATAGCAGTCGAGATCCTGTGGCATTGGCTTTTGAGTTACTTGGTCTTTGGCATCCGAGAAACTGAATGCCCAGACGAGGCGCATCGCCGCGAGTTGCTGGGACCGACTTCAGTAATTCATCCGATTACAATGCGAAAGAAATTCGAACCATCGCCTGCCAAGCAATCCATTGGCCAGGGCAAACGCGCTGTGGAGCAGACCAGTCATTATCAGTTGGAGAACACACGTCGAATGCGAGGTTCACTTGCCCTGCCGGCTCCAAATTGGAGAGACATCCGGAAGTCTGTGTCCGATCCAGGAATGGTGCCCTGCTTGGAGTCCAGGAACCGCTCGGGATTGAAAACTTCTGGTGCCTCAAACAATGTTGGATCACGGAAGAGACCATCTGCGGCTTGGGGTGAGCGAAATATCGGAATGCGAGATGCGATGGGCAGACATGTGTTGAGAATGACGGTGGCGTTCTTTGGAATGCGAAATCCATTGTACTGGAGCAGGAAGGCGTGAGGGACAGCGTTGATATCAGCACGATTGAAGGTAACGTACGCTCACATCTTCTGATATGCGATGGGGAACTCCCATCGGGAACTGAGGCTTGAACCGCAAAGTTTCCTTGATAAGTGCGTCGAGATAGGGCAACTGAGCGAGGTCCTCTAGAGCGGGAAGCCGCAGTCCGATCACGTCATCGATTTCTTGTCGAGCTCGGCTTTGCATCGAAGGAAAGACACATAACACCAGTATGAAGGATAATATGAATGCTGCAGTCGTATCAGAGCTGGCGTCAAGCATGGAGATCCCCATGTAGCTGTCGACTGTCAATGCGACGTTCAATCGAAAGATACGCAAGGAACTGACGAATCGAAATGCGTGGTTTCTCCGGCATGAATGCTTTGTCCGATGTAGGAGTTCATAACGTGCTCATTTCCTGCTGCGACCTGAAGTCGAGTGGAATCGAAGAGTTGGGTGTGAAGTCCCGCTCGCAGGCGTGAAATTTCTTGCCCGTCCCTTTTCCAGGGTGCCAGGAAGGCAGGCACATGCTTCAGACAGGGAAACATCTCTAGAATCGGGTACCTCCCGGGTGCCAATGCTTGTAGTAAATCATGAGCTGACTGTGTGTCGACCCATTCAATTCTCTTTCGGTGAGCTGTTGAGGTCAACTGACTGAATGGAAGGTCTGCATTTCTTCATCGTCCGAGCGTTTGACGCGCTTCCCATACGCAATAATCTGCAGGAAGTTACTGCTATAACCAAATGGGCCCGGCTGTATTGAACCGCGGACCTTGGCAACCGAGTGGGTCTGTCTGCGAACTGAATAGGAAAAGTTCTGGAAACAGGTCAGTGTCGGCGGGTAAGGGACGCTGACCAAGGACCTCTGGGCGCAGCATCAGATCGCGCAAAAGAAGAACGCTCTCCGCTGATTGTGCAGGAAGGAAACCCATTGAGTTTTGAGTGGAGAAAAATCGACCCATCGTCCGGCGAGTGTCTCTCAAGAGGTCACCTCGGGTCCATGTCAGGAGCTGGTACTGCAGAGGGTCATAGCAACGCACAATCCGAGAGAAAGAGCAGGCTCGAGTCAGGTCCCATGCCACAGAGGCCGGCGGTAAGATGGATCGGCCTAGAGTTCCCTACCCATCCAGGTTTGTCGATGATCTGTCTTATGGCCGTGGCGCTAGTTAGGACAATCACATCTGTCGAGCCGAGCTTCAGCTGGAAGGTCGAGGGAGTCTCGATCAACAAACGGCGTAGACAAAGTGAAAAATTACGCACAGAAAAGACGTCCCCGTACGCACGAGCCCAGAGCGACAATCTGACTTGAGCATGAGCGAGGCTGGTTCGTTGTTCTTTGGATTCAACCTGACTGCTTGGGCATGGTTTTGGCATCTCCGAGCATATGTGCATTGCCGAGGAATGGAATGACAGGAGGACCTGGACAAAATCAGACACCCAACATCTCCTGAGGAGATTGGCTGACCCGGGGGAAGACCACGGGCGCGTCGGACCCGGTTTATACACCACAAAAACATAATGCTGCACGAGAGCGCCAGAGCCAGATTCAAGGTGGTGGCCATACTCGAGAGTCACGTCGGGGAGTCGGAGAGTATCAGAGCCGTCGCCTCAAGGTCTGTGCAAAGGTAATCGGTAACCTTCGCAGCCCCGGCGGTACGCTCAAAACGGGAACGGTGTCACCGCGAAGCTACCCAACGCAAGTCGATTACATAGGCATGCGCGGCTAGAAGTCGCATGTCGTCCAAACTTGAGCCCTACACGGTCCCAGAGGAGCTTACGAGGACTTCGATCGGTGCACGTCCTCTAAATTGTGGAGCCCGACTCATTCGCAATCCGATTGAACATCAAGTGAGCTGGGTTCGAGCAGAGGCTGTATGGAAAGTTCCGACACGGGGGATCGGACGACCTTGGATCGTCGGCCCGACGACGGGTCATTGTGCAGACGTGATGGCGAATCGTAGTGTCATGCAGAATTTGTATGTCGGACGGCGCGGGCCTGTGTAACTCATCAGGCAGTGCTGTGAACCTGTGCGAAACACATGGGAACACACGTGACAGCGTGACGAAGCGGCAACGGTCGCAGTCGTGGGAACAACGGCAGACTCCACGCTTCCCCTTCCCCCTCCACTTCGTTTGAAACGGTATGCACGTTGTCTCGAGGCGTCTCGCCGCACCACACGCTTGAGTCTAACCGTCTTTCGTAGACCCGCACGCATTCATAATGTCTGTATCCTGCCAATTCCGCTCCTGATCGCCCCACAATGGACGAATCACACGAACTCGCAACTTACTTGCCTTTCCTAGGTCTGAACCCTACGACCCATACCTTCCGCGCAATGGCAGCTCCTCTGGCGCCCCCGGTGGCGGCCAAGGCGGCAACTCGAAGACCGCAGCAATTCAGGCGCAGATTGACGACACTGTTGGCATCATGAGGGAGAACATCACCAAGGTTGCGGAGCGTGGCGAGCGGCTCGATTCTCTCCAGGACAAGACGGACAATCTCGCTGTGTCCGCTCAGGGATTCCGCCGGGGAGCCAACCGGGTGCGAAAGGTGTGTGATGCTGCGCAATGACGTTGTTCCTATACTTACGAACTTTGGCTAGAATATGTGGTATGTGCCTCGGTATCTTGATTCTAGTTACCGCGCCTCACGACTTGACCTTCCTTTCTCTCTCCCTGTTGCGGCTGAAGGTGGAAAGATATGAAGGTCTGTGCTTCTTACTGCTCATTCTTAAACTATCCCACAACGTTGCCATCCAGATGCGTTTGATCATCGGCGCCGCGATTGCAGTCATCATCATCATCATCGTGGTCTCTGTGGTCAAGGCTACGAAGCACTGAGATGTATCGTCGACTGCGTGCTCTCAGCGTGATACGGATCTCTGTCGGAGCTGCACCTTCCGCTTATATCTATCCTGCCTTTAATCCGTTTGTGCCCGACTACCCTGTCCACCTACTCTCTGTGCTTATTTTATCTCTGTTCTCCCGAACTTTCATGCCATATCCTTTGTAAACTTGGTCGGAACAAAATACATATACGTACATGTGTGGGAATCAATGTACCGTTGTATGTTTACCGTATCGGGGAGGATCACAGTGCTTGCAAGCGATACACTGTGAGTGGACAGGAAGAATTCTTGGGCATCCATTATATTCTGGGTGATTTCTAGGCGAGGGTTGAGCTGGAGCGGAGACCAGGACGTCGAGACAGAGAACGATAGAGGGATGTGGCGCCATTGAACGGCAAGCGAAAGAATCAAGTCATTGATGTCCTCGACAGAAGATACTTGGTCCAAGGATACATTCAATACATCCGAGGATTGGACGGGGACGTCTCGAGATGTCAGTGTGCCGGACTTCGTCACAAGAGACGGTTATCGGCAGGTTCCCCGTGGGCCAGCGGTTCAAGCCAGACGGCCTCTTTTCCAACCAGATGACTTATTCGGGTGATTGAAACAACAGCGGAGAGAAAGACCAATACTAAGTTCAAGAATGGGATCGATGCAGATCTGAGTTCGAGCGCCAAGACGTGGAAACAAGGAAAGATTCTGACCGCACCAGTCGACTCCGGAGACTGACCTTATGTGATGCCGTCATTGCGATGAGTAAACTCGTCGTCAACCTGTATAGCTGAGTGATCGATCGATCACGTGTAGTGGTAGCGGCGAAATCATCCTCATTTTCAACAGACCGCCGCGCCTCAAGACCTCGTCGCCACTGTGAGTGTCCATCCCTTGTGCTCGGTGTCGTGTCTGCCCGGTCAAAGTCGCTTTTGGAGCTCTCGTTGAGCGTCGCATGGCGTTTGGAAGCCCCAAGGAGGCAACGACACCAGGGTCTAGTAGTAAAGTGTATTTGCGAAATGCTGATCGATTCTCTCCTTTGCTTTATAGATGGTATGTTATCGCGACCGCAAACACGGGTATCCGCTGACCCTCGATGAGTAGAAGCTCGAAATCGACTCTTTCTCCGGCTTCCGTATCTACCCTTCCAAGGGCAAGCTTTTCGTTCGTGGGGACTCGAAGGTGGGCCGCACGCGGTACGCTCTGGACTCCTGCCTCTGACCCCCCGCCCGATAGGTCTTCCGCTTCGCATCCTCGAAGAACGCCTCCCTGTTCCTGCAGCGCAAGAACCCGCGTAAGATCGCATGGACGCAGGTCTACCGACGGATGCACAAAAAGGGTATCACGGAGGAGGTCGCCAAGAAGCGATCCCGCCGCACCGTCAAGCACCAGCGTGGTATCGTCGGTGCCGACCTTGCTGCGATTGCTGCCAAGCGAAACCAGTCCACCGCTCAGCGCCAGCAGCTCCGCCTTGCCGCTATCACCAAGGCCAAGTCTGAGAAGAAGGAGAAGGAGACCAAGAAGGCCAAGGTGCGTTGAATCGCTACATTCGTGCGTCTTCATTTGCTGATATACGTGCAGCCTGCGTCGAAGCCCACGGGTGCTGGCGCACCGAAGGTCTCGAAGCAGGGCATGAAGGGAGGCAAGGGTCGGTGAGCGGGGACGTCGCATCTTCTGTACTCTTATGCCGCATGCTTTCATGATTCTGCCCTTCCAAAATTATCCATCCATGCACTCATGTCGGAAATGATTGTTTTAACCATGCACACCTTGTTGAAACTCCAGCGCGGGCCGGAGGGGCCAGTCTATCGATTACTGTCCGAGCGAATTTCCCGTGTCGGCCCATCAATCTAAACTGTTCTGAGTTGGACCCAGCGAGGCTGTCATTTCAATCGTAACTTTCCGAGTCAAAGGACCTGATATGCTCACTAAGTGCAGGCAGTGGCTGCACCAAGAAGCTCGAGAATGCAGGACTGTCTCTGTCCTTCGCTTCCAGCGCTACGAAACGCCTCGCACTCGGATCTTGCTGTCAGCCGATCATAAGTGGTGTGGCCGACGCCCGACTGGAGAATAGCTAGCCTGGTGCCCCTCACCCGGGAGCCTTCCTTGCCTTTCTCACATCCCACAGGTGCGCTACGGGTCGCGGGGCAGCCTAATTGGACTCTAAACGCTCATGCTGTGAAGAAAATTGGGGGATCGATCGGACGCTGGAGCAGTCCTTCGACTACGACGGTTGCGCGTGCAAACGGTCGACTGGCCGGATCTATCCTCGCTTGTTCGGGACCTGAAATATTTTCAAAAATGCTGCTTGGAGATACTGGTGGTGCCCGCGACGCAACTCCGAATGCTGCGCACAAACGTACCGATGACCCATCTTTGTGGAGACCGTGCCAGTCACTCTGCACGTCGACCAAGCTTGTTTTTCGGGACCTCTGCATGTTGACTCACCTGGCATAGCCTGCGCGCCGTGGTCTGGAATGGCAATCTCGAATCTGGTGCCATACGAATCCATTTGTTTCATGGGCCACCGATTACTTGTAGCTGTTCGACTGGTGCTTCTTTCCCGTTCATTTTGGCTTGCCACGGATCAAATCCAGCGCATAGACCGACGCGCAGAAACGCACGATTTCTCGTCTGTGATCATGCGTGCAGCTTTGTGGTGCGTTTTGCTGTTCTTCTGGCTCCATCGGCGACTTGCATGGGCATGCCATCCATCACACCGACTCATCGCTTTGCTCTTGGTGAAGGTTCTTCGTTTCTCGGAAGCTCCATCCTTCGCTGTCTGCCCCTAGTCTAGTGCTGCCATCCCAAGACGGCGAACGGCGGAGAGTCCTCTCTGCCGTTATATTGGACTTTTCGCGCGTATAAAAGCAGGTGCAGGGGAGGCCGAATACATTCAACAACTCGTCTACAATGCGCGCCAACGTCTTCTGTCTTCTGTCTGCCCTCGTCGCCTGCGCTGCGGGGATGGCCACGCCCAACGCGACTGTGATGTCCACGGCTGTGGGCATCAGCCCCAGCAACAACTACGGCGCGCCGATCCCGCCCTGGGAGACCGGCTGCCAGCCCGGGTGGTACTACGGGCAGCCCAGCAACGCGCCCGCGGAAGTCGCGTCGCTCGTGTCCTCCGTCGGCAGTCTCCTCGGCAACGTCCGTCCCCTCGTTTCGTTTCGCTCAGTCCGTGTGTTTGCTCACCGCCGCCGCCGATCTAGCTGCTCTGCGATCTCCTGCGCCTGCTGCTGGGGTGCGCGTTCTGCCCGCCCGGCCCGCCTCCTCCGACGCTGCTTCCGCCCCCGCCGGATAGCCAGCCGACGCCGCCGCCACCACCGCCACCCTGTCCTGCGGGCTATACCTACGGGTTCCAGAACCTGACCTGTGCGATCCAGATTTGGGTGCCGGCCAATGCGTATGAGACTTTTGGTCTGGTCGACTCCCCGCAGGGTAGATCCACTCTTCGTTCGCTCCCGCGAGTTTGATTCTGACCGCCATGACAGCCTGTGCGGAAATGTGCAGCGTGAACAAGGACTGCCTGAGTGCGAATTGTACGTGGATGCAGGCGACTAGATTTTTTGGATATTGACCCTCATCTCCAGTCTACCACGACAATGACAGCCTCGTGCGTGGTTGCTTACTTCGATGAAAGCGGTCGACTGACTAACTCCCCGCAGAAAAACACGCCGCTGCTCACCTGCTCGTTGTTCCGTGTGGTCGCTGCTCAAAAGGACGCCATCAACTGTGGCCACCAGCAGCAGCTTGGTCCACACGGCCCACAGAACTCGATCACGTTCAGTTATCTGCTTGTTAAGTCCGGCCATTAGCTCTTTCCATAAGTTCTCTTGTTGTTCTGATACGGTTATTTACGGTTGTCCTCCTGATCAATCAAGTCCTGCCCTGAAATTCATTGCGATTGTCAACGTTTTAAATTGAATTGAACTGCTGAGCCGTTGCTCTCACTGTAGGACTGAATAGTGGATATTGATACCCGCAAACGGTATTATCTCAGTTTGCAGTCAAGTCCGAATGGGGAGGTGACATGATCCGGGCCAGATTATGGTAGAACGTGTAGATCTGTCCATATTTGGATGTGTCTCAGCCCTAAACTCAAGTCTCAGACTGCTCATTTGATAGGCAATGAATGTCGAAGCGAAATAACCTATTAGTCAAGCTCAGCGAGTGTCCGAACACATCGAAAGTATCCCAATAATATCGCATCGACCCAGCCATTCATTGTCATATGGCAAGTAGGCCGGATGACGTGCGCACATGCACCATGATGCACGACTGACATTTGGTTGTTCGGAGATCTCAGTTCAAGAACATCGTTATGTTCCAGAAGGCCCAGAATGGGAGGCCCAGGACATGGCAGATCGTACCTTGCATAGTTGCTGTAGGGTCCATCTACCAGCTGAGCAGAGGTCGCCGCCGCGGAAAGGGAAATCCCAGTGAACTCGAAATGACGTCACTGTGCATAGTTGCTCCTATTCGACTCTCTCTTCCCAACCTTTCAGTCGCCCTCTTGCTCTCGGGTGTCGGGTCTATATCAACGGCGCTCGACGCGATATGCGTCATACGAGGCTCAATCAAGAGCCGTTGGCAGATATTCTCTGGACATCACCGCACAGTCTCCTCGAGTGTCAAATGCAGCAATGAAATGACCGCCTTGCCAGCAATTGTACCTAGATGTCCCTTGATCCTGCTCTCAACACTCAGAATATGTCGAAATTCATGCTTCGGCGACAGCGGCTTGCTTTTGAAACGCTGTTAAACTTCATCAGCCATGGCAAGCGTGGTCAAATTAGACGTTTCCGCCAGACGCTCGGAGGCCGTCGGGCTTCTCAGTCTCGAGCAGAAAGATGACAATGCCTCAAGGGTCGGGATATCTCGTACGACCGTGCCGCTCTCTATAAAAGACCTGCAACACCGCTGGCAGTCTCCAGCAAACTCACAACAGTTGCTTCAACATCAGCATGCGGTTCAGCGGTCTCTTCTCTGCCCTCGCGGTCGTCTCGGCGGTGTCTGCGCAGTCCTACAACGCGCAGTCCATCACGAATGCGATGTCGTTGACTGCGCAGAACCACTACGGCGCGCCGACCCCTCCCTGGGTCACCGGCCACACTCCGGGCTGGTACTACGGCCAGCACGGCCCGCCCGATGGAGTGATCCTCTTCCTGGAAGGAGTGCGTTGCTCTCTCTGCCAGCTGATTGCAGCGACGCTCATGCACATCGTCCCAGATCCTGTGCGAGCTGCTCGACCTCTTCCCGTTCTGCCTGCACTGCCCGAGCCCGCCCAAGGCGCCGCCGCACGGATCGCCGCCGCCGCCGCCCGAGTTCAAGCAGTCGTTCTACAACCTGACGTGCGCGGCGCAGGACGCGAGCTACATGACCTACGGCCTGGTCGACACGGTGGCCGACTGCCAGACGATGTGCGACACGGTGCCGGGATGCAACTTCTACAACTGTGCGCGGCGCGTTTTGATTTTCGGCGCTGACCGCTGCGGCTGACCCCTCGTTGTTGTTTCTGTTTGCAGCGTACCACGACGTGAACGGGAAGAACGGCAGCCCGCAGCTGACGTGCGCGCTCTTCTCGGCGTCGTGCCTCAACGCCACCAGCGCGGACAACTGTGGCGGCCAGACGCAGCCGGACGGCAGCATCGACTATATCATCAACTCGGACGGGTACTGCCGCAACACGCCGTCGAAGCCGTCCAACCCCTACAACCCGTACAAACCCACCCACGGCTGGTAAGCGGCCGGGTGGCCTCCAGAATAGCTAGCGAACAATAGTTCTTTTTTTCTTTCTTTCTGTTTTCTAATTGTCTCGTGTGGTATTGATTTGTTAATGGACTGGACTGGTGCTGAATATATTCATGTTGTTGTCTCATGAGATCTGTGAGATGCATCTCGACCATGTCTGCACCTGCTCTCTATTCATTTTTCCTCCGTCCGCTCCCCAAAAACTGCACGCTCCTCTGCTTGGCCTGTCACGGATCTGAGCCACACAATCGGATTGTTAGTGGCTCGCGGATGTGCTTCAACAAGGAGATCTTGTGATATGACGAAAGAAAGATTGATACCGGAGGTCGATGCCGAGGGAGAGAACCCGCGTCGGTTCTGCGCGTCCGGCGTCGAAATAGAGCCTCGCGCCGGTGCTGGGTCCGTGAAGCTCCTGCGGCTTGCACTGTATTTCTCCAGAGATGCGTTCTTTGCATGTCGCGCACGAAGACGGCCTGGAAAAAAGACGGCTTGCTTGCTCGCCCCACAGTCTGTTGCAGGCTAGATCCGTGGCGGCCAAGAGTTGATGTCACCCGACGCGCATGCGTCAGCAAGTCTGTGTCTGGAGATACTTATGGACAAGAGATCCAGAAAGCCGACTGGTAGATTCCATTGGCCCGATCAATACCTACCTCTCTGCAGCGCAGTAGTGTAAATGTACAGCACAGCACAGCAGCTTCGACCAATAGGCCGTGATAAGACGCCTGCGCATGCCATTGGACGACGTCCGCGAGGATGCCGCGAAGACCCGCAGCCGATTCGCAGGGAATAAGGATTAGCAGCTAAATTGATTTGGGTGCCCAAGTCGGCCGGACGGATGTGCCGATGCCCTAAGCACTCACGGAAGGAGAAGCCCGCGCGCCCAGTGCTGTCCTGGCGTGTCTCGCTATTAGGACCGCGGTTGTGACGTGCCTTCGAATATCATGGGACATGGAAGTCTCATGTGAGAGATTCTTGCGGTGTGCTGCTTCATGGGGACATAACGTACGCGAGCTGCCGGCGGACGAGATGAGAACAACACACGAGACGTGGCTGGGTGGGCCCCTCAGTGCAGCCTGTAACATGGCATTGACAGATGAAGCCTGGGCGGAGGAGTAATTGGATGCAACGCAGATATTTAGCCAAGACACGGCGGCTGGATGCGATATGAGTGCCTCCAAGTCGAGAGAGACGCGATTCAATTATGGGAAACACTGCCACTGATAACGTGAGCTGATCACGTGCATGCACTGGGACCTGCGCGGTGCGCTGATCTATCGAGCCCTCTGAAAAACGCGACTGTCCGGTGGTGGTTCTTGCTCCACAGAACATGTATCACGTCCAAGTGCTTGTCACCGCTGAACACTTGCCGGCGAATGAATCTCGTTCTGTGTAGGTGCCATGCACCCCCATTGATTTGATCCTTCCTTGTATTTTTACGCGCTGGCAAGTCGTCCCATCCCAGTGTTGCCCGACGGGTGGTTCTCTGTGTTTTCCGCAATAGGGCATCGCAGTCCAGATCTTGCCGGTGTTTTCGGGGCCGCTGCTCGAAATAGGTTCTCCTGAAGAGTATAAGAGGGCGGCCGCAAAGCCAGTCGACTCCAGCACTCCCTCCTCAGTCAGTTGCTTCAACCACCACCATGCGCTTCACTGGAATCTTCTCTGCCTTCGTCGTCGCTGCCTCTGCCGTCTCAGCGGCGCAGGTCGAGGTCGAGAGCCGCGACTCGATCGGCGTGGCGCTCACTCTGACCGCCGCGAACCACTACGGCGCGCCGATCCCCCCCTGGGAGGTCGGGTGCACGCCCGGGTGGTACTACGGCGCGGGCCTCATCGGCGGGGTGGTCATCCCCATCCTGGACGGGGTAAGCAGCCGCTCGTGATCCGTTGTTTCGTCCTGGCGAAGCGTCTCATGCCGTGATCCAGGTGCTCTGTGCCGTGCTGGACCTGCTCCCCTTCGTGCTGCACTGCCCGCCGCCGTACCCGCCGCCCCCGCCGCCGCCGAACTCGCCGCCCAAGTACCGCCAGTCGTTCCACAACCTGACCTGCGCCGCCCAGGACTCGAGCTACCTCACGTACGGCCTGGTCGACACCGTCCTCGGGTGCCAGACGATGTGCGACGCGGTCACCGGCTGCAAGTTCTTCAACAGTGCGTACACTTTCTGTATGTTTCCCGAGACGCGGGATCTGGCACTGACGCTGCTTAGCGTACCACGACGTTAACGGCAAGAACGGCAGCCCCCAGCTGACCTGCGCGCTCTTCTCGGCGTCGTGCCTCGGCGCGAGCAGCGCGGACAACTGCGGCGGCCAGAAGCAGCCCGACGGCTCGACCGACTACATCACCAACTCGGACGGCTACTGCCACAACTGATGTTGAGGGCCCTCACCTCACACGATCTCACCCAGGAATTGTTTGCTTGTTCGCGCGGGAATGAACGTCCAGAAAAGCCGAAAACCCAGATAGTTCACTAGTTGCTTTGCGGATTCAGATAGTCGGTCGGTCGGATATTTGTTGATATATGAACACTGTGATCTACACATAAGAGCTGTCACCGCCACGCTTGATAGGTTCGATGGCCGCCGCGTCTGAAAGGATAAGAATACTTACAGAGAAGCTATGTCATGGCTGGATTGGTCTCGCGCCCTCGCACGAAATTCCCGGAACTCGTGTCCAGAGCGATTAAGCAGTCTCGCGGCATGTGCAGGCGGGTTTCGAGCGGCACCAGTAGCGTGTCCGATTCGTGTCCGTGGCACAAGCTGATGCAGGCGGAACTTGGTGCATCCCGCTAGAGCCCGTTGCTTCGATGCAGGAAGAGATAATAGAAAAACAGCGGCGATCGCGGGCATGGCCCCACTCTCCCTCACGAAGCCGAATTATCCCAGGCTATTAGTTTTTGACTTGACTCAGAGAGCTTGACGCACAGAAGTAACTGGAAGCTAGACACCCGACACGAAATGTGATCCGTTTTTGGCCTTTGACATTCGGCTTCGTCACATGACGACGTGGACAGTCCACTCTATCAAAGGACGCAGAATGTGATTAGCACCGTCGGATCAAAGTGCGCACTTTGCAGATCAAAAATGTTGAATTTGCACTCTTCTTCAACTTGTCAATCCGGGGCCGAAACGTTGGAAGAGTCCTCCCGGTGGCGGCGTCCTTCCAAGACCTGATGAATCTAATGAGAACAATTAGAGCCACCTTTGGTATTCTATTTTCGGCAGTCTCAGCCAACTACCTCGACAAACGATTAATGACGCGTCGTTTTTCGAAACGCTGTTCTGTTCCAGATGCGAGACCGACATTGTGCCGAATTCTTACCAAAAGTAATTATAGGCGTGTAATCAGTCAAAGTCCGCTGTCGAGACAGCACCGAAGCGGCATGAGCGACCCTCTGCTGCGTCTCAGGGAGAGATGCCTGCTGCAGCTCGAGTCATCCCCTGCCCAGAGCTCCACCGGGCCTCGATCATGCGGACGAGGGATGTCTCGTAACGCGTCAAAGAAGGGACCCAGTGAGCCAGCATACATCTAATCTCATTTTACTCTCGCCATCGGAACGAGCGCGACGTCGGACTGGATTCTTTTTCTTTTTCTTTTCGCAGACGACGGACCGAAGAGGACTGGCTCCACCAGGGTAGCACCCGTGGTAGATCCATGGGCATTCTCTCGATGTCATCCGAAGCGTGAACAGGTCGGTGGCTGCTGGGATGCACGCGATCCACAAACCCGACGGGCTGAATGCAGCGGAGTGATCCGCATCTCCTCTCTACTTACTGTACAGCGCGACTTGACACCTCACTCATGTCATCCAGAGACCTGGGGATCCCGCGAAGGCCCACAGCTGATTCGCGGGGAACAAGGATAACGACGGCTCGGCGTGATTTGCTCTATCTGTGTCCTCCAGTCGGAGGGGCCGATGGGCCGATGCCCTAAGCATGACGCACGGGCAGTGCCGTCCGGTGCTGTCCCACCACGAGACCGCGGCGCTAACGCACGCACTACGTCATCGAAATAGGCATCGCATGTGGGAGATGCGTGCTACGGCCTTCGCGGGGACACGGCGAACGCAGGCTGCCAGTCACGCACATCGTCCTGCAAGATGAGAACACGAGACATGCCAGTTTTCACCCTTCAGTGCATCCTGTAAGATGCCACTGATAGATGGAGACTGGGCAGACAAACGACCGAGTCAGCAGCGGATATCCAGCTCGCAAACGGCGGCGGTTGCTGCTGCATAATCCAGCAGGGCGCTCTCGGAATCGAAGAGAAGCAGAAATTCGAAATGAAATCCACTGCCACTGATATCGTGCGGATCAATCACGTGCGTCCATTGGGACCTGCACCCGTCCATGCACCGATCCATCGAGGTCTCTAAAAATGCGATTCTCTGGTGTCAGTTCCCGCTCCACACTTTGTAAGTTCATCACGTCGACACGCTTGCCAGTCATGCACCGCGTGCTCGCCGGCGCGTGAAGCTTGCACATTCTGAACAAGCCCGTGCCACATACCTCAATGATTGGCCTGATCGCTCCTCGGATTTCTACGCGCTGGCAAGTCGTCGAAAGCGAACGTTGCCCGACGGGTGGATCTCTGTGTCTTCCGCAATAGGACATCGTCTTCCAGATCTTGCGCGATTTTCTCGGGACCGTTTCTCTACATGGGGTGTTCTGAAGAGTATAAGAGGGCGGCCGCAGAGCCAGTCAACTCCAGCACTCTCCCTCCTCCTCACTCAGCTGCTTAAACCACCACCACCACCGCCATGCGCTTCACTGCACTCTTCTCCGCACTCGTCGTCGCCGCCTCTGCCGCCTCAGCGGCGCAGGTCGAGATCGAGAGCCGCGACACGCTCAGCGTGGCGCTGACGCTGACCGTCGCGAACCACTACGGCGCGCCGATCCCTCCCTGGCAGCCAGGCTGCAAGCCCGGGTGGTACTACGGCGGCGGCCTCGTCGGCGGGGTCGTCGTCCCCATCCTCGACGGGGTAAGCAGCCGCCCTCGTG